ATTGAGCTTATTTCTCCAAAATTGTCAAATTAAAAGTCATTTCTGGCCGTTTCTGTTATAATGCGTTACTCCACACATGATTATAACTTATAAACACATATTTCATATATTTTCATTTTCGCGCCATGCACCGTTTTCTCTTGCCTGTCGACATTAGAAAAAAAAAACAGATCTACGTTATCAAATATCTTGCTCATAATACTCTTAATAAAACAGCTTTTAGACTCTGTGGAGATGCCACTCAATATTTTTTTTTTTTGTTTGTTTGTTCTCGTGATTCAGAAGATTTTGCGGATTAGCAAAAGAAACAGGATTTCTAGACACAGAAAACGACGTGCTGTTCTTGCTACGCTAGCGAGACGTCGTCAGGCCCGGATTGGCTAATCGGGAGCACCGGGGGAACTCCCGGTGGGCCGGTCTGTTTTATTAGCCAGGAGGGCCGGTGTTGTCATGGCATGGCACTGGGTTGAATGCTTTCTCTATAAAGGCTCCAATCACAGCGCAGCCCCACTATTTTTTTATTATTATTTTCTCGCAGCCCCACACAGAAAAGTCAGTTGTTAGAGATGTGCGAACAAAAAATAAGAGATACAAAACATGGATAATAGGCGCAAAGGCGGCACTGAAAAGGCCAGAATAATAAAAAATCTCTAGAAACTCAAGCGGCCAAATAGCCTCAGGGTTTGTGAAACTCAAACTTTGTGAAATAATTGCCTAATATTACCTCTAATTTGGTGCTGCAATGATTCGCATATCGCGACGATAACCGACCTCCTCAGCTGCTTCAGTCCTCAAACACCGCTCGTCGACAATGGCTAAATGTTTGAGATGACCGATCAAAGCAAGCGGGATTTATGTTCACACGCGAGCCGCGGCCGCGCGCGAATCCCAACGCGACGCTTCACGAGATAAGATGCAAGTGCACTAAACAGCCGTTTTACGATAGAAGTTTTAAACGACCGACATAAATAATCAGTTTGCAAAGACTGTACCAATCAAAGCTCAGCTTCGGGAAGGGGAGATTTACAGGTAACCTAAAGATAAAGAGACTGAGAGAAGAATGAGAGAAGATGGAGATGAGAGAGGAGAGCAGGTAGAGGAATAGCCTATTGCATACTGTGCCCAGAATGAGAATAACTTTATTACAATGCATTGCTATTTAACACAGATATAAGTTACATCATACATCACACTGATCACAGCCAATGACAGTGGAAAAATAATATGCCCCCGAACCCAGATCACATTTGGGACCTTTGTATTTATAAAACCCTGTGTAATTGCACTGAATAGAAAATTATAGTTTTGAAAAATACAATGAATTACAAGGCTGTACAGAACAGTGCACTATTGCAGACTTACAGTATATACTGAGGGTTTAATTACATTATTTTAATATAGTCGGTCGGGAACTAAAGTGGGCCGGTCTAAGGCATGAAACTCCAGGGCTGAAAATTAGTCCCACTCCGGCCCTGGACGTCGTCATATTGTAAGTTAAAGATGAAGATGATGCTAGGTCTTTATCAGAGACGGACAGAGTACACAGCTTTATTACTTGAGTAAAAGTACACATACAGATCAGCGCAATGATGGTATGTAGGGCTTCGGTTAGTGACCATTGGTTGTACACTACTTTTCAAAATGCATTCTGGGATACATTGAGTGGACTATATAGGGTATAATAATCATCACTATACATTCGGACAGCACTACAAAATGGCGAGCTCACTATATAGTCCACTATATAGTGAGTAGTGGGAGATTTCGGACACAGCCTTAGTCTCTCTAAACCCCGAGAGCCTACTCTGCTCTGATTGGTCAGACGGCCCAGTCTGTTGTGATTGGTCTACTCTGCTCGGTCGGACGGCCCAGTTTGTTGTGATTGGTCGACCAGTTACAACAAGTGTTGGAAACTAAACGACCATTATCATATGTGAATTTCAGCTCCAGATCTTCCTCAGCACTTGATACACAGTGATACGAACAGTAAAGATGGCGTCAGTTTTTCCGCAACAATTTCGGTGCGAGTCCTCGTCCTTTTGAAGTGCATCAAAGTGTATTGGCAGTGCTGAAAACATCATCTTTTCAACATTTCGACAACATGAACCAAACTCTTTCAGGCCTCAGCTACAACTACAGTTTTTGAGGGTCAAAGTAGATGTTGTTCGGTAATACTCGAAAAAGCATAATTGGGGCACTTTAGGGAACAGTAAAGCAAAAGGCTTGTAAAAAAAAACCCACAAAGGTTTGCTAACATTGATTTGTGCAGATCTTCAAAGATGTGAATGATTTGAAAACCGTTGAAATACTTTCTCTGATCCCAGTTAAATGTGAGACAAGTTGACACCCCTGAGGAGTGTAAAACTGTGGCTCTGCTGCATTTTCAACATTCAAATGTTTTTGACCAACATAGAAATACTGGCTCATTCAATTGTGTGCGTTTGGTCCAAGAAACCTGTTTAAAACGGTCATTATTTTTTGTATTGCAGCTTGGTGCCGCTAACGCGGCAGAATTTACATTCTTCAGCTGTAATGAAAATGGTGAAAATACTGAATAAATAATCCATCAATACACCACCATTAATGAAACAATAATAGTGACTAAGACCAAACATTGTAAAAGTGAGAGGGTTTTTTTAAACTGTTGTAAACAATTATGGTAATTTAATGCAGATATGTAATTTTTTTTAAGGGATTAATAAGCTTTAAATGCAAAATTAGCCTTATTAAAGGTAAATTTAACACTAAATGTTTTAACAAAGTAATTTAAAATGCAGTATTAATTGTGAATTTGTGAAACGAATAAATTTAACTAATAAAAACGAATAAAAAAATGCTGTATTTTAATCTCTGATGACATCATTTTGAATAATCAGATGTTAAAGGTATAGTTTACTCAACCAAAAAAATAAATAAAATCTTTCATCATTTATTCACCCTCATGTCATTTCAAACCTGTATCTCTTTCTCTGCGGAACATTAAAAAAACAACCTTTCTCAAAAAAAGGTTGTTTTAGTCAGGGGCGTCACTAGGATTTTCATTTTAGGGGGGCTAAGCCCCCAATATGATTTTTAAACAAATTATAAAAAAAGGTAACACTTTAGTTTAGGATCTAAAGATCACTATTAACCATTTTCATTACGATGCAAAGGCACGGTTTTATAATAACTGTGGTCCCTAATGTGAGGCAGGGCAAATAGGGGGGTTCGGGGTCTCCCCGAGAAAATGTTGATTTCTCTGATCTACATATGTGCATTTTAAGATGTTCTGAAGGCCAAAAAACTTGGATAGTGGGCAGCTGACAATTTTTCTCTCCTCATCAGCAGCATCACTTTTTTTCTCTTTGTTTTTCTCTTGCCCTGTCTCTTCCCCTCCTAAAGCTGAGCTTTGACTGATATAGGCTTTTCATTTTTGTCTGTCAGTGAAGAAAGTAAACATAGGGTCAACTGATAGGTTGATTTTGCCTATGAATCATTTTCTCAGACGCGTTTATTTACTGAAAGCTACTAAAGGTAATTAAGTTTATTAAATGCATTCACAATATGTAGGCTACACATTTATTATTGATCTTATGCCTAATACAGGGCCGTAGACAGGGCTTTATAATCACAGAGGTCCTAAATTTGAGATTGGTAGGGGGTTCAAATTTTTTATTTCTGATATGTGCATTTCAAGACGTTTGAAGACCAAAAAAAAAAGGATAAGAAATAGCTTTAAAACCATGTCAGTGGGCAGATTATTTGTCAATACCTCCTCTCTTCTCATCTCCATCACTCTTCCTTTTTTTCTCAGTCTCTTCCTTCCTTTCTCTTCCCCTCCTAAAGCTGAGCTTTTTTAATTTACTAAAGGCTACAATTTGTATTATATTCTCAATATGTACACATTCATTATTAATCTTGTGCCTAACATGATGAAAACGGCTTTGTTAATGTTTCTTGTAAACTAATTATTACATTACATGAGTGTATAGGCCTATTTTCAGTTCAAAATGGCGAAATTAGACAAAACTATATTAGTTTGCCCGATTATTTTTTGTCATTCGTTTAACATTTATGACCTAAAAAAAGTAAAATATGAAATGTTAAGTTTAGCTACTTACATCTTATCTCGCACTTGACCGTACGCGTCGAGTCCATAGACTGTAAAAAATGGTCGTGTCGCACTGAAAATTCGCGCTCAGCAGCGTCTTTGAACATAAAGCCCGCCTACTTTGATTTGATTGGTCGTCTCTGACATTGACGAGCAGTGACAGACCAATGAGGCTCAGATGAAAACACAAATGAACACACACACCCTGTCCTCTGTTTCTGACGTGCTCTCTGCACGGCGCAGCTGTGGATTGAGAACGTGCTGAATCTGAATATAACAAGACTGAAGCGAACACGAATTTGTGTAGCCTACATTAATCTCACATTTTTAGGGGGGCTTGGCAGAAGTTAAGCCCCCCTAAAAGGGCCTAGTGACGCCCCTGGTTTTAGTTCATAGCGGCGAGGGTAAACTATACCAAATATATGATGATAATGCATATATTGTGATGTTTATTCCCCAGCATGATAAGTATTACGTGCTCACATACCCACACAACTTAATGTTGTTCATACTGCATAAAACAAGATTCACACGTGAACGGAAGGAACTTGACAATCCCGTATTGAGCCTTGATATATGGTGTGACGTAAGTGTGATGATGAGGTATTTAAAATAAACAGTGAATCATGAAAGCAGAGAATCACACTGCACTGCTGTTTCTGTTTAATGACTGCATTTTCTTTATAATGTAAGTCTGACATACGAGTCAAAGTCCATGTTAGGTGAAGGAGGACACAGGAAAGAAAACAGTGTTTTTAAATCTACACTTTAAGACATCTGAGGTGGGCGTCTTCTTTCGTTCCTTTATTTCTTTCGTTTCTTTTATTTTTTTCTAGTCTTGTACCCACAGTTTCCTGACTTCCTGTATCTTCACGCGCACAGTCAAACGTGCACAATATGTAGGCTATGTGAAGAGCAGGTCCGTAATGTTGCTGGCTTTCTATGCAAGCTGAATGACACTCGGACACTTCATTTTGAATTGCCGTAACCACCAGGTAGGTACTTTCATACTAAGCCCCCGCGATTAGTATGAGACTATTTCTATCATGCTGTATATTACCATGGTTGTATGTGACCCCCTTATTTTCAATACCTCACACATTTTGACATGTTTGTACATCTTATAGGGCTATAATATGAGACATTGGTTGGTTTCTGTAAACTCTTGCTAGAAACGACAAAGAACAGAAAAAAGAAAGGAGACGGTGATGGATAAAAGTGTCACCACATACTCGCATTCCTTAAAGGGATAGTTCATCCAAAAATAAAAATTATGTCATGGACCCAATTGACTTCTTTTTACTATGGAAGTCAATGGGGTCCATCAACTGTTTGGTTACCGGCATTCTTCGAAATATATTATTTTGTATGCATAAGAAGAAAGAAATTCATACAGTTTTAGAAGAACTTGAGGGTGAGTAAATGATGACATAATTTTCTTTTTTGGGTGAACTATCCCTTTAAATGATAAATCGGGTAATTTTATAGATAATTTTAGCCACAGTGTTTAGCACAGGTGTAACTGCCTTAAGCAACTGAGATCAAAGTACTGTAAGTGAACCGTTTTAGCAGGAAATGAAAGTCTTAGAAAAGACCTAGAGCCTTGCCTTAACTACATAGAAACACATTTTCTGTGTGCACAACATGACCAAGGGCTATTCTAAAGTTGTTGGTGTGGTGGCGTAATGGATTCTATTTTAACTTGACTGTGAAGAATAGAACTTGACGCAAGTATAATTTCAGCAATTCCTTTCCTGTCACCCACAGAGATGGAGTTTGCTTGCAGTCATGTTGTGTGTAACTGGAGGTCTGAGAGTTTAACAGAAGATGAAGCTAAAATCTCAAATCAAGGTTAGTCATATGCTGTGTATGTGATGCAAACATTTATTATTAGAGCTCAGATCATTCTGATGTGACATATAGAGAATTACTTTAGGAAAAGAAAATTTATCAAGGTGGAGTTGTCACAAGGGTTCTATCTTAGTAACAAAGTCTTACTTTCTCTAGCTATGGTTTTTTATGTTGCATTTAATGTCAGGTTAGGGCAGGTTTTCACATGTGCTCATGTATTTGTTGGTTTAATATTATTGCATGTTGCCTTTTTAAATATTGCTATTTTGTCAGTTGTTTGATAATTGTTTTACTGAAGCAACATTAAATAGTGTCTAATAATAGGCATGGTCCAATTGTGACAACTTGCTCCATATAGTGTAGTGGGGTACTATTATATTTTATTGCACACATAGTCAGTCAGTCTCCATCTGTCCCACATGATTGCTCATGTTTTGTAGGTATTACCTCCACTCTTCCCTGTGGTCTGTCCAGAGCGCATTCTGTCTCAGATCATCCTTACGACAACCGTGTAACCTTCATCCCGAAACCAGGTGAGTAAATGACACATTGTTTTTCACTTTAGCAGGGCTTTATGAAGATTGTTCCTAATGAGTGAAGAAGAGGCTTGTATTATCTCTGTATTTGTGAGCCTTCTTGAAATGAGGAGTGAGTTTTCTTTTTTTAAAGGTAGGGTAGGTAGTTTTGGAGAGGCTAGCAATAGCAAGTTAGCTTTGAAAGTATAAGATCCCACCCTCCCTTCAGAGCGTCTCCAAAGCCACGCCTCCTTTAAAACGCGCACAGCAGAGTCTGCAAAGCGTCGCGAGATGAGAGACGGCGTTAAATTACCTCATGTCTCAAAGCACACAACATTACAATAATAAGGAAACAACTTACAGAGATCTAGTTGTACCACCTGACTACTGCAGATTCATTTCGGCATTGATAGTGTTGACAGAAATGCATAAATCTGCTAGATAAAAACAGCTCGGGTTGTTATCTCGTAATTACAGTTACTACATAATCATAAACTTACAGAGGAACTGTAAAAGGCAGCTACTGTTTGTTTGTGGCCCTCGGTTACGGTGTGTCTACAATTCTGCATAGAAACACACTGATGATGTCTGCGTGAGCAGGTGCGCGGAGGTATGGAAATACATGTTGACAGGCCGGTAGAACTGAATGCAATGATTGAACGAACATTTTTTTGGTCCTTCGACTTTTGCAGAAGATATGTGTACATGTTTTAATATTTAGACCACTAATATTAATGATTGCTATCAGGCTGTGAAGAGAGTTTCAACCAGTATAACAAAAAATGTTTATGAAAAAAATTGCCTATCCTACCTTTAATGTTTTAATGTGACTAGTTCTGATAAAGAACAGAAGAATTTACTGATTTATTTAATTTAACTTTATTTGATTTACTTTAAGTCAAGTCACCTTTATTTATATAGCGCTTTATACAATGCAGAATGTTTCAAAGCAGCTTTACAGTGATAAACAGGAACATAATGATTCAATGATGCAAACAGAATTCAATTCTGCTGTAAAGCAGCTCTTAAAAGACAATAATGTGTAGTGAAACCACTCTTTCAATTTAAAAGAAGGTGAAAGTTACTTTGCAAAGAAATTGTTCAATGGAAAGAAAAAAACGTCACATCCTTTTTGTGGGTGTTAAAAACTGATGATAGGAACATTCTCAAGTGCATGTTCATGAATGCGTGCGAAAAAATCCCTGCTGTTATATATATATATATATATATATATATTCATACATGCAGTAAAAACATACAGTATTATAATTTAAAATAACTGTTTTCTATTTGAGTATATTTTAAAATGTAATTTTATTCCTGTGATCAAAGTTGAATTTTCAGCATCATTACTCCAGTCTTCAATGTCACTCACATGATCCTTCAGAAATCATTCTAATATGCTGATTTGCTGCTCAAGAAACATTTCTGATTATTATTAATGTTGATAATGTCGTGCTGCTCTGTGATTTAAAAAAAAAAATTCTTTGATGAATTGGAAAAAAAAGTACTGACTTTTGAACAGCTTTTATTTGTCTACGAAACAATATTATTTTTTATTATATATTTATTAATTACCTTTTGTTAAGCTCCATCGTTGGTTCCACCACCTGTACCGCCCCGTAACATACATCAGAGAAAGAGTCTGACTAGTTCTCTTCCACCACCGGTACCTCCAAGAGGTGAGAACACATTCACACACCCTTTATACCACAAACATGCACATAAAATGTTCAGTTATGCATAAATAACTTGAACTTTTTAATAAACAGGGTCAGTGAGTTGATTCTTTTGGGGGGGTGGGGCCAAACTCGCAAAACTTTATAAATTTTTCCTCTTCTCTCTCTCTCTCTCTCTCTCTCTCTCTCTCTCTCTCTCTCTCTCTCTCTCTCTCTCTCTCTCTCTCTCTCTCTCTCTCTGTATAAAGGGTGTGTGAACACATTCACACACCCTTTATACCACAAACATGCACATAAAATGTTCAGTTATGCATAAATAACTTGAACTTTTTAATAAACAGGGTCAGTGAGTTGATTTTTTTGGGGGGGTGGGGCCAAACTCGCAAAACTTTATATATTTTTCCTCTTCTCTCTCTCTCTCTCTCTCTCTCTCTCTCTCTCTCTCTCTCTCTCTCTCTCTCTCTCTCTCTCTCTCTCTCACTTTTTTCTCTCAGGTCTGGAGAATAATGGAGAGACTCAACTTAAAGCTAATGTAAACGTAGTGTCGCTAAAAGTAGGAAGCCTTGTGGACATTACTAAAGGTGTGCTACCCTGCTAAACTTCTTTTCTGAAAGTATAAAAATCCAAACTTTTCAATTCAAACCAGCTCACTTTCTGTCTCCGTAGCATCTGCTATACAGAGCAGCCAGAAACCAGTGCATTGTGGGAAATGCAATGCCGTCATGTCCTCTGCGAGCAGCCCAGAGACACACCAAACAACAATAGTAAGTTATACCAAGGGGTGCAAAACCCATTTGTGCATCTGATATAAGTGTTGAAATAACATTTTCTTTTGTTAAAAGTGATTCCTGTGTCTTTTTTTCTAGATGTGGAGCTGTGAGTTTTGCGGGAAGGAGAACGTTTATTCGCTGGCGGCACTTACGGCGGGACGGTTTCCCTTGCGCTCTCCTCCAGGCAGGGATATACTTTACATGGACGACAACGGGGACATGGAGTATGAGAACCTAGACGACATGCTAATCGTGCTGTGTGTGGACACTTCCGGAAGTATGAGTGTCACTTCTGAGGTGCCGGTCTTCTTTCATTACAGACGGCCAGGGCTTAACACCCTTTTTTTTAATTATTATGTTTACATTAAATATATTTTTCTCTCAGATCTCTCCAGGTAACAGCATGCGATCACCCACATATATTTCACGACTGCAGGTGAGAGGTTATGTCTGAAGTTTTGCTTATATAAACCGGCACAAAACATGTGAAGTTACTATTTTTTTGGGGTCCAGGGAGTCCAAGAAGCTCTTCAGATGGTGCTGACCACCCTGCAGAAAACCTCACCACACCGAAGACTGGCACTGGTGACTTTTAACAATGAGGTAAAGACACTTATAAGAGGAGACATGTCAAAACGTCACTAAAGTGCAAGTGCTTTTGAGGAAGAACTTGTCATTAGATGTGCCAGGATTTCCAGATTAATGTCATCAAGAACTTTGAAAGGCTTTTTGAAAACTAGATATTCACACAGATTGTCTATTATTCCAAGTTCTGATCCGACCTCTATTTTTTCTGTTCACTCGTTTACAAAAACCGCCACACCATTATTTGAATTTTTTGCAATATCATGACCAATTTTACTTTTGATAGGAAACAAAGTCTCAGATTTCAATTTTTGTCCATTTTATTATGAAATTCAAAGAATTAATACCATTTTGGCACTCTTTAAAGGAATAGTTCAAACAAAAATGAAAATTAGCCCATGATTTACTCACCCTGAAGCCATCCTAGGTGTAGATGACATTCTTCTTTCAGATGAATGCAATCAGAGTTATTTTAAAAAATGTTCTGGCTCTTCCAAGCCTTGTAATGGGAGTCGGGGGGGTTAATAAAGGCCTTCTGAAGCGAAGCGTTCGTGTAAGAAAAATATCCATATTTAAAACTTTATCGACTAAAATAACTAGCTTCCGGCAGATGGCCGTACGCAAGTTGACTTACTCCAAAAGAGTAACACTTGAACTTGACGCACAATGTAATGAACCGTGTGAGGCGTCAAAGCTTATGCTACGTCATACATCGTCAAGTGTTACTCTTTTGGCGTAAGTCGATCTGCGTACGGCCGTGAACTTCTTTGAGAAAAAAAGATAGAGGATGGTCAATTCCTGCTCCATCCTCCTGCATCAGGACTGCCCCGGCTCCTGCAGCGCTGGCATCAACCTGTAGTTTGAAACACCGTGAGAAATTAGGAGCAGAGAGAACAGGGACTTAACTTTTGTTACTCCCTTTAAGTAGATCTAACTTGGTAACATAATGAGCAGCACCAACTTTGTCAACACAATCTTCCATTCTTGGAAGAGTAAAAGAGTCTGGTTTGGTCACAACGTTAACTTTAATTACGATAGTCAGTGCAGAATCTGAATGTGGAGTCAGACTTTGGCACTAGAATACATGGTGAACTACATGGACTGCAAAAACATGCTCTAACAAATATGTTACCTCAGATTTCATGACGACTCGTTTCTTTGGATTTATTCTATATGGATGTTGTTTAATGGGCTGGTTATCTCCCACATCAATGTCGTGACACAGCAAGGTAGTCTGGGAAGGAACTTCAGAGAACAGGCCAGAATAGTTAACAATTAAGTCACTAACTGCTTTACTCTGTTCTTCTGTTAAGTGGAAGAGATAGGATTGCAGATCACTCAGAATAACTGAATTCTGCAAGCGGGCACACAAAGTTGGAGCATCTTTTGCTATTAGTCCGTCCTCCTCCAAACATTCATTAGGTAGCAAAACTGCTGCAGACACAGGTTTAACAGGAACCGATTGCATGAGCGCTAGACTTTTGGACTTGGAAGCAGCATTTTTTTTTGCTTCCACGCCTTACTTTCTGAAATTAAATGATTGGGGACAAGGCATAAAAAAAAAGCATGCTCGCCCGTCACTTGGACGTTTAGGACTCGATTTACGTTGCAAACTATGGTCTTGTCCGGTGCTGGGATTGCGACTAGGTGGTCGGAAAACTTCAAAGCTTTTAAAACAAAAAAGGTCAGGTTCAAAATAAATGGCACCCACCTCCCTACTAACCCCACAAATAAAGAAATAAATGATTAAATAGCAGATTTCAAGTAAACCAAGAGAAAAACAGATTAATTAAACCATACAATAAATAATCATTTAAGTTAACACTCACTTCTGCCTTTTAAGTCTCAATCATAGTGTAATCAAAAAGAGACCAAGGAGAGAAAACTCTACTACAATAAGTAGAAAACAAAATGAGGTAGAGATACACAACACTATCAACTACTTGCTTCAACACAACATCAGGTCTGGGGTTGAAGATGAGACCTCAAAGCTGTTGCACACAGTCAAGCCGCCACCAACACAGCACTGATTATGGTTGCAGTTTAAATACTCTCCTTCCCCTCCCAGCATCCAATCACAGCAGGGCACTGATTATTGGCATCTGGTGGAAAGCATTTCTCCTACAAAGAGAGACAGGTAGAGAGAGAGTAGGGTTGCCAACTGTCCCGAATTAGCCGGGACGTCCCGATTTTTGGGCCTAATTTATTTGTCCCGATCGGGACCTCTCTTGTCCCGATTATTGAGTGCTACGCTGATCTGACTGATACAACAGCAACACGACACGTAAATTAGTTCAAATCTCCTAGAATATAGAGCTGCGCATGCGAGACAGAACATAGCCTACTGTATGTGCGTCAGCGCCAAACCGTGTAGCGCGGAGAGAGAGGGAGAGAGCGAGAGACCTTGCCTGAGCGAGAGACCTTTGCCTGCGAGATCTCTATAGCTACCGAAAAAAAAAGCTAATCTGAAATCTGTCAGTTCTAGTTATAACCTGTCTAACGTCTGGGGTCTTTCGCAAAGGGATCGTCATATTTGAGGGTCGCTGGCATCAAAAAGTTTCAAAACACCTTGTATATATATTTAGGATGGGTTAGTGACTAAACAACACAAAAAAAACTATGTTTGTTTATTCTACATGTCCGTCACATGGTATATTCCTGTCTAAGTGGGCTTTTTTTGTCAGAATAAGCAGCTGTGTGGTCCAGAGTTTATGCCAGTAGACAAAATTTTGGCAACACATGCTGACCAGGCTGAATGTAACACCCTGTGTAAGAATCACAGTCAAGAGGAAGAACTACACACTCTACTTCTGAAGCCAAAACTCAACACGCCTATAAAAGCAACTGAGATGTCAAGATGTGATGACTGAGCACTTCCTCTTCTTGTTTTAGTTTTGACGAGCTTGTGGCTTCTGGTTGTGGGCACCAGAATTCACCATTTAGAAGTAAGAGAATAGCATGGTGCATAGTGCCGGAATAGCTCTCATTGTGCTTTATTTACTGTCATGTGACCAGATTTCAGGACAGTTGTGCGTGTGGTTTTCAGGTTACGGTGTATGGTGACGGTACAGGGGTTCCTCTCACCCTGAGAGACTGGGCGCTGGTGGACTATGACTATCTGAAGAAGGAGGGAGAAAACTACAGCACGCCTCACTGCATTGCAGAGACTATCCAGCCGCTCACCCAGAAAATCAAAGAGTGAGTGGAACGTACTCCGGCTGTTATTGTTTGTATGTCTGTCAAAGGTCACGCCACCTTGTCTGTATTCTCATCAGAAAGAGCCTCTGTGTATCTGCATGTGTTTGGGCGGTTGTTTTATATGTTTGTCACAGAGTTTCTTTCAGAATGTCAGCTGGTCTATCTGATTTTGTGTTTTGTGCTTGTCAGATCATTCTGTCAGATATGATTTTACACCGTCGGAATTGTACAAATTCCCCCAATTTTATGAAATAACTATAACATTTTTTTTTTAAATGTTAGGGATCATTTTTAATGCACAATGTGAAAGTAAAAAAAACACTCAGCACTAAGCAGTTGCCTCCGTGGAGTTTTAACGCGCACATTCTATCCAATCAGAACAAAGTATTCAGTTCCTCAGGAGCTTAAATTTGAAAAAATGGGCATGAATCACAATCCCCCGGTTTCAAGACAAGGCTTTAAGTCTAGTCCCAGACTAAAATGTTGAGCTGTTTTAACTGAAAGCAACTTGCACTGACACATCTTAAAATATGTCAGTGCCATTGTTTTGTCTCAAGATTCACACCAGTAATGTTTTCTTGTCCAAGGCATGTTTATAAAAGCTACTTAAATTTTCCTAATTGATTTAAGGCCTAATCCTGGCTTAATCTAACCCCTGTCTGTGGAACCAGGACTATAATTACTATATAGGCTGGGCTTGACATTAACACCCGCCAACCCTCCAAATGCGGGTGGATTTCAGTGGTGGTGTGTAACGCAGTCACTCCTATTAGCCACCTTTTATATATAATATATACATTTAGTCAAGTGTTGTCAAAAATATAGATTTTTCAATACATATCGATACTGAAATATCTAAAAATGCTTCCAATACTTATTTCCCGCAGAATAGATACACAATACTAGCTGTGCTCATCTCCTCGCTGCTTATTGCCCTTAAAACACAAAAAAATGTCAAAATGCCCGTCTTGGCGAGTATTCACGTAAACACAGTCAGTTATGTCTTAAGTGAACGTAAACAGTTGAGAAAGAAAACGCATGTATAACAGATCTGTGCGTCAGGTCTTAAAGTGACAGCAGCCTAATAAACCTGCTGCCAAATTATGAGATAATATTAAAAAATATCTATAGGGCAGTAAGTGGCTAGTAACTTTGGAAAACCACTAGCCACAGTGGCTGGTGAGCAAAAAAGTTAATGTCAAGTCCTTTATATATATATACACTCACCGCCCACTTTATTAGGTACACCTGTCCAACTGCTCGTTAACACTTAATTTCTAAGCAGCCAATCACATGGCGGCAACTCAGTGCGTTTAGGCATGTAGACATGGTCAAGACAATCTCCTGCAGTTCAAACCGAGCATCAGTATGGGGAAGAAAGTTGATTTGAGTGACTTTGAACGTGGCATGATTGTTGGTGCCAGAAGGGCTGGTCTGAGTATTTCAGAAACTGCTAATCTACTGGGATTTTCACGCACAACCATCTCTAGGGTTTACAGAGAATGGTCCGAAAAAGAAAAAACATCCAGTGAGCGGCAGTTCTGTGGGCGGAAATGCCTTGTTGATGCCAGAGGTCAGAGGAGAATGGCCAGACTGGTTCGAGCTGATAGAAGGGCAACAGTGACTGAAATAACCACTCGTTACAACCGAGGTATGCAGCAAAGCATTTGTGAAGCCACAACACGCACAACCTTGAGGCGGATGGGCTACAACAGCAGAAGACTCCACCGGGTACCACTCATCTCCACTACAAATAGGAAAAAGAGGCTACAATTTGCAAGAGCTCACCAAAATTGAACAGTTGAAGACTGGAAAAATGTTGCCTGGTCTGATGAGTCTCGATTTCTGTTGAGACATTCAGATGTTAGAGTCAGAATTTGGCGTAAACAGAATGAGAACATGGAACCATCATGCCTTGTTACCACTGTGCAGGCTGGTGGTGGTGGTGTAATGGTGTGGGGGATGTTTTCCTGGCACACTTTAGGCCCCTTAGTGCCAATTGGGCATCGTTTAAATGCCATGGCCTACCTGAGCATTGTTTCTGACCATGTCCATCCCTTTATGGCCACCATGTACCCATCCTCTGATGGCTACTTCCACCATGTCACAAAGCTCTAATCATTTCAAATTGGTTTCTTGAACATGACAATGAGTTCACTGTACTAAAATGGCCTCCACAGTCACCAGATCTCAACCCAATAGAGCATCTTTGGGATGTGGTGGAACGGGAGATTCGCATCATGGATGTGCAGCCGACAAATCTGCGGCAACTGTGTGATGCCATCATGTCAATATGGACCAAACTCCCTGAGGAATGCTTCCAGCACCTTGTTGAATCTATGCCACGAAGAATTGAGGCAGTTCTGAAGGCAAAAGGGGGTCCAACCCGTTACTAGCATGGGGTACCTAATAAAGTGGGCGGTGAGTGTATATAGGCCATTTACGTCACCTTTTTGCGTGCCAGAAGGTCTGGACTCCATGGCAGCTTTCACTGGTCAAGGACCCGCCCAGAGGCCGCCCGACTGACATGCAAAGCAACCAATCACAGTTCGTTTTGTTCTGCGTCATGTTTAGGGGCGTGAAAATGTAACGTCGATGTCCCTATAATAACAGACCGGCATATATCTAATAAATAATTCATTTAAGAATGTTATGCAAGTTTACTGCAACAATGTTGGCGCGAACTTCACATGCTTTTGAAAATCCAGCGTTTAGTTGTATCCTGATAAGCGCTTATTGTCACAGTTGTAAACAAGTCGGCTTTCCTCTTTTTTGAGGGGGTTTGGCTTCACAGCGATTTTTGTTTCCAGACGGACCGTCAAAGAACGCAACTCCCGAAAATCCTGTAGAATTCAACCAATCAGATGACGACTTCGAAACTCCTGAAGTGTTTCTCATTTTGTGTCCCTTATGCCAGAGATGGTCTTATAATTGGGAGATATAAGGGTCCGTGTCTCTAACATTGGAAAAACCGAAAAGGCCAACCGATAACATTACAGCCTTGACGTCATTGAATTTCGTTGTGCGACAGTCAACTGTTTGTGAATACCATAGAAATGAATGAGAAGTGCTGTAAACTGAATCATACCGGTCATGCAATTGTCCTCTTATAAAACAGCATTTATTCGGATACAAAGTCTAAAAATAGACCAATCCAAAACTAATTTTTAAGAGCAAACATGTCGAAGATTAGCCGATTGGCTGTCAATTTATTGAATAAGCCATCAAATCAAACCTAAATAGCAATATTTAACACAAAAAGTCATAAAATTACAAAAATGATAAGCCGTGTTCCCCCAAAAGTGGTTTATTCAGCGTAGTAAAGCCACTTCTCCATTGACATCCATTAAAAAAACGGCCTCTGGTCTCCTTCCCTGCGTACCACATTCAAACTGTAATATCAATACTCGTAAAAGACATCATAGACATTCATTCTTTCAGCTTTTTCACCTTTGTAAAAAAAACTGAAAACAGACAGTGGCTAATATAGTTTTCAACTGATTTATGAATAAGACCAGGAAATTGCCACTCCACTTCACATTGTCCAGTGAGATTTGAGATTTGTGCCACACCATAATTGGTTGGTGTATTATACATGATAAACGGGCATTGGTGAATTATGTAGTATATTTTTAAATATGTAATATGTGGACCGAGAGAGCCATATATGGTTTGCGGTTCTCGGTCGCTTAGATAAACAGACTGTGTGGTCAGTTATGAATATGAAACAACTACAACAAAAGTAAAAAAAAGTGTCTAATAGTTGTCAGCGTTTGATTAATTTCGCTTTCTTCTTCTTCTGCCCAGACTCAGAGAACATGGAGCCACCGCACTGGGACCTGCTGCCCTCATCTCTGTGGCAATGGCATCCCAGTTCACAGGATCAAAGGTCTGTATTCATAATTACATGCTATGACAATCTGCTTTGTTATGATAAATATGTAACGATAAAACTACTATTCATTGAGTTTGCGCCGTAAGATCATCACCGTTAACGACCCTCATCCCTTGCACTTTAATCTGTATTGAACCGGATGGAACAAGCTGACCACGGTCCGCCCTTTAAATACTGCTGATAAAGAGTGTACTTTCCTCTACTTTACTCGAGAAGTAAACTCAAATTCAAGAGTCCCTACTAGGACAGTACGTGATTTTGTACACGGCATAAAACAACACTGCTCTAGTCTTTGTTTTCTTTTTTTTTTAACAGACAGACATACAGACCAAAATAGTGCATTAACGAAAAATATAGTAATTCCATAATTCCAGAAGTGAAAATAACTGTGTGTGTGTGTGTGTGTGTGTGTGTGTGTGTGTGTGTGTGTGTGTGTGTGTGTGTGTGTGTGTGTGTGTGTGTGTGTGTGTGTGTGTGTGTGTGTGTGTGTGTGTGTGTTTGTGTGTGTGTGTGTGTGTTTGTGTGTGTGTGTGTGTGAGACTGTGTGTGTGTGTGTGAGACTGTGTGTGTGTGAGACTGTGTGTGTGTGAGACTGTGTGTGTGTGCGTGTGTATGTGCATAAGCAAAATAAACATTTATTATTTATTACCGTCATCATTACCATCATCACCACCACTCCTCACTACCAACATACTACCAACATTGTATTAGTCAATTTTTATTCTTATTTCCATCTTTCCTCCTATGTAACAATTACCATTGTCAGCACTCTTCAAAAATAAAAGATACTTTAATAAGATAATATAAGATAACCCTCCCCCACATCTCTTCAATCCCTATTTTCTCCTAAAAATTGTTATTATTATTATTTTTTTGTATGTTATGTGTAGTGTTTAAGGTGCATTAAAACAAGGGGTACAGTGTGAGAGTGTCTCAACTTGGGACAGAGTTGCTGTCCCATGGAGACCACTTCTCTCCTGTCCTGCCTGCCTAAGTGTTTGAGGTTTTTCAGTGTATATATACATACACTTTTTTTCTTTTTCTTTTTTTTCTCTATTCTACGTTGTGGTGCATTAAAAACACATGAAAAGATTAGGGGGCTCTAGTCTTGTGGTTTCACATATGTTTCATAATGTGCTATTTCTTGTTCAGGTTATAATTTGCACAGACGGGCAGGCCAACATAGGACTAGGCCACTTAGAACAAGAGTCTTCCTCAAGAGCCCCCTCACCTTATTTCTACAACCAGTTAGCCCATTATGCTGCTGAAAAGGGGTGAGCGACTCTTTCTGAATATCATGTTAGTCTTGACATATAATGACTGTAGATGAAAATACACAATGAAATAGATGAAAGAACTAACATCATGTCAAGTGTTATGATGGTTATTGAGTCATGCGTGTCTGTCGTTGTGGGTATTTATAGTGTGATCGTGTCCGTGATGACCTTTGAAGGAGAGGACTGTCGTTTGGCAGAGGTTGGGAGGCTGGCTGACCACACAGGAGGCAGAGTGAGTTACTGATATCTGCAGTCCATCTTCATTCTGTTGAGCAGTCTGGGTCATGTTGCAGTCTGCAGATTAGATGGTAAAGAAGACTGATTTGGAGCAACATAGAGGCCTGTAAACAATACCTGTTTACACCTGGTATTAAGATCGGATAGCAAGTGGACGACGTTAAATACAGGTGTAAACGGGGTCTGAATAGTTTTGAGTTTTTCTACTTTCGACCACTTCCAGAGGTAGTCGAAAACACATTACACCGGATTGCTTTCATAGTGAAAACGCTCATGTGGTTCGAATGTGTTCAAAGACCGTCTACTCTCCACTACTGAACTAATGCGTAACATTATCTGAAGCGCTGGCCAGACGGGATTTAAACTTCGTCGGCTGAAGACTCAAGTTTGATTTGAAGAAGAAAAACTTACCTAGCACAATGTTCTCTCATCATTACTAATTTCTAACACACACTCACTGCGTTCGGCTGATCTTGCGGCTGTCAGAGCAGAAACAAAAAGCTGATGTTCTGTGTTTTTCCGTCGTCTCCAGTCGCGTAAATATTTCATATGTAAATTGCGTGATCTTATTTTGTCCATTAGATTGAAAGATCTGAAAAAGCCCATACGTTTACCCGCTCATAGACCCTCCCCTCGAAGAAATCAGGACAGAAGTGGTTTGAAAGTGGACAAAAGAGACGGATTAAAAACACCAGGTGTAAACGTGAATGTGTCTCCCTCGTCTACTTGTGATCCAAACAAACAAAACACATCTTAATACCAGCTGTAAACAGGGCCTTAGAGGTACACAAGGATTCCAGCAACAATTCATTTCCCCTAAGGGGGTCGTCTTTCACTAATTTGGTTACATTTCACATACTTGTTGCTCATTGTAAACTATGCGAGAAATACTCATATTGTCTGTTTGACCCCTTCACTCTAAATTTTCTGCTAACAGCACTAAACGTGTTACTACATGAACCTTGTCTATGAAACCCCTCTGTGAAGGCTTAACCTGTTTTTAAAGGGTTTAAGCAACATGTAGCTTAAAGCCTTTTTCAGAGAAACTGATACTTATCACCAGACACCCACACGCGTACGCGCAAGGGAGAACGATTTTGGGCTCAGTATTTCCCCTTGAGCTCTATTTAAATGTGAAAATGATTTTTGTGCTAATAGGAAACTGGTGCATAGATTTGCAAAATTGCACACTTTAGTGACATGCATATCTATACTGTGCACTACTTAAAGGTCAGACCGTTTAATATTAGGTTGTGATTAGTTTGAATAGTGTATGTTCAAAAGTTTGGGATCAGTCTTTTTTTTAACACTTATTCAGCAAGAATGCATTAAATTGATCAAAAGTGACAGTGAAGAACTTTCTATTCATCAATGAATCCTGAATAAAATGTATTAGTTTCTTAAAATTACTTCAAATTAAGCAGCACGACTATTTTCAACATATTACATATTATGATAATCAGAAATGATTCTTGGGCACATCAAATCATCTTATTAGAATAATTTGTGAAGGATCGTGTGACATTGAAGACTGGAGTAATGATCCTGAAAATTCAGCTTTGATATCACAGGAATAAATTCAATTTTACAACATATTCAAATAGAAAACCGTTATTTTAAATTGCAATAATATTTCACAATATAACTTTTAAAAACTTCTTTTTTTTTTATAAATCACACCTCAAAGTTTTGTATCTCTTTGAAAGAATGACTGCAATATTACATACCAAGCAATTAAAGATCAGTCAGAAAAACTACATTGTTTTTTTTACCCACTTTCCAGATAAATATTGTAAATATTGGTACAGTCGCCACAGAGATTCAGAGCGCTATAGCTGACAATGTCCTAGCAACTAACGTCATGGCAACACTTCTGGCACCGGATGGCATGTAAGTATCCGGTAGTAGCCTTCACACACTCACAAACACATGCACACACACATGTACACTGTACCTCTGTCTCTATTTTTCTCCTTTGATGGATGCAGGTACTTCCCCTATGAGGAGGATAATCATCGGTTAGTGAGAGAGATTGGCAACGTGACAGACTGTGTTGAGATCACCTTTCAGTTTGCAGTCAGACCGGAAAAAGTTGGAAGTAAGAACAAAATATGCAGTGCAATCAAAAGAAAACATTTGAGAAGAGGTTTTTTTGTGTTGTTTTTGTTTTACTTTGCACTCACCCACATGTCGTTCCAAATCTGTTTGCTGGTATTTGTTCAATGAAACACAAAAGTAGATTTAAAAATAAATACATTGTGAACTTTCTCTGTCTTTTAGGTTTCCAGCAACGGGACCGGGTCCCTTTTCAGCTGCAGCTGAGTTTCAGGACTCGGGAATTGCAGAAAGTGATGAGAGTCGTCACTCAACAGAAACGGGTCACCACCAGCAGGTAAAGCACTCAAAATACTGCACAATAACAGCAAACACACTCCAGATCCACAGCTCATGACACACTCACCTTAAAGTATTGAGATAAACTACTGTGGTGATTTTTAATCAGTTGTTTCACATGCAAAATATCCTTGTGGACATAGAAAAGCAGTTGAAAGAAGTCTCTTCTGCTCACCAAGGTTGCATTTATTGGTTGAAAAATACAATAAAAACCGTAATATTGTGAAATATTGTTACAATTTAAAATAACTGTTCTGTTATAATAACGTTATAAAAATAAGTTTTTTTTAAATATAATGTTGAAAACAGTTTTTGCTGCTTGATATTTTTGTGGAAACTATGTTACGCTACCATTTAAAGGTTTGGGGTAAGCAAGATTTTAAATTCAGTAAAGACTCATTAAATTGTTTAAAAGTGACAGTAAAGACTTTTAGAATATTACAAAAGATTTCTATTTCAAAATTATATTCATCAAAGAAACCTGATAATAATAAGAAACATTATTAATAATTTAGCACCAATAATAATTGATAATAACTGAGCAGCAAATCAGCATATTAGAATGATTTCTGAAGGATCATGTGACTCTAAAGATGCTGAAAATTCAATTTTAGATATATTAAAATATTAAAATACTGTATTTTTATCAGATAAATGCAGCCTTGGTGAGCAGTAGAGACTTCTTTTATAAACATTAAAATCTTATTATTAACAAAAATAAGTCTCATTATTCCAAACTTTTGAGTATATAGAAGTGTGTATATATATATATATATATATATATATATATATATATATATATATATATATCAACCTCGCTTTCTTCACCTCCGTCTCTTTTTCTGTGTGTGTGTAGTTGGGTGTGGGCGGGCAGTTTAAATATGTCAGTGTTGGGCGTTCACTGCGCCCAGCTGTGTGCCAGGCTGACTATGGAGGGCCGAGTACAGGAAGCACAGAGACAACTCCGAGCTCAGCAGGACCTTCTAAAAGACATTGGGTACAGTAAACCTCTCCAGATCGCTCTCTGGTGCGTCATATGTGTGGGAAATGACACGTGTATCCTTCTCTGTTCATCTCACAGTCAACAGAAGCCAAGCCCTAAAGAAGAGAGCATCTATGGGAACTGGATCAGTACGATGAGCATGATCTGTGAAGACCTCACCACTGTCAAACAGGTCTGAATACACCCTCAATACAGTACAGTAGAAATGAGTTCATAAATAAATTATTTTGGGTGTCCCTTGGTTTTGGGGTCACGGTTCGATACGAGTTCGTTACAACAGGAAAAGGCAATGCTTGGTTTCTTTTCATTTATTTTGAACAGACAGTAGTGCAAATGATTTCGTCCCTGAGGTAGTTGGTACAGTACAGCCTCCTGTAGTGTATAAGCACTAAGCAGTCAACAGAAAGCACTCTTGCATAGCTCATATTATAATAATAATAATACACTTTATTTTATAGAGCGCCTTTAAAAGCAGCTTCTCAAAGCGCTGTAAATAAAATCGCAATCCACTGGAAAAGACAACAAATAAAAGTTAATAAAAACAAAAGCAGAAACATTAATAATAAAAATAGCTGTAAAGCGATCACAAAAAGACATCACCAGTCAAATGCAAGTTTCAAAAAAAATATTGTTTTTGTAGGGCTGATAAAAAAAATGATTTGGTCACAATCAGCTGCAAAACTGAAAAGCATCACTTATGTTATAAAGGTACAAAATAAATAGAATAATGAAAAATAAGACTTATTACAGACTCCTGTAGTCTTTTTCTGCCTAGCTCCGGTGATTGGCACATCTGGATGATGTCGTTTGAGTAACGTGTTGTGTGTAGCCTACGCTGTCATTTTCATGCATATTTCATCACTGGACTGTTGAAGTGACACAAATCAGCACAATGCCAAATGATTTTGTCTCATTATAACAGTGGAAACAACTTAAAATACTACATTATTAATGGTCACACAGATAAGAGTAAGATGGCTATTTTTATTTGTGTACACTCACAATCAAAGCAAAACATTGTGCTTTTGTAAAATAAAAAACAAACAAACAGGATGCTTTCTGTTTTCTGTCCCGGTTTCCTTTCCGTGAAGCTTGTGGAGCACGTCACAAAAAAATCGAACAACTTCAACATTATAAATGAATCATTGTGACTAAATGATATAAAGTCCTTGTGTTAAAACATGACACTTTTACTCTAAACAGAACAAAACAGAAACTGACGCTCAACCAGCACCTCGAACATCTTCCACTGCAGTGAGTAAAAGTTCTCTCACGCTTTATATATTCAAAATATGATTTAAAGCTGGATGCAAGTGGAAATAAGCATGCACAAACTGTCCCTCAGTAGACTTGTTTTCTCCTCCAGAGCATCTCGGACGCGGCGGCCAATGTGGTCTACCAAATGAAGAGGGCGAAGAGCGTGAGTGGAAAGGGAAAGGGACAGAGAGTTGCCTTGCTGGAGAACTGAGCTCAGATGTCACCAAGACTCATCATCTAGTGATATAGGCTGGATATCAATCACAAACTATGGACAATTTTGCTTGGAAAATACGCAATATATAATATATACAAACTATGTGTCGATAACCTAACAAGTCAAACTTCTTTCTGTGCCATCGCTGCTGTTTGGCAACTCCTGCCAGTATTTATCTTTGACTGGTCTGTGGATTTCAGACATGTTTGTGTTAGCAACTATAGCGCAAATATGTCAGATTAACAACTAGAATACTAGGGACTGTACTAATAAATATAATGCAATGAAATAAAACATTTTATATAAATCACAGACTGATTCCTTTTATTCTTTTTACTTACAGCCAATGTTATTTTAGTATCATTGAGATACTATTATAGTTTTTTTTTTTATGTTTTGAATCCGTATTTATTTTTATATTTTCAATTTTAAAGTTTTAGTATTTTGTCATTTTCAATAGTTTAAAAAAAATATATATATACTATATAGTTTTTATTCATTTTTATTTGTTTTAGTTTCAGATATTTTAGGACATCAAGTTTGCCTTGGCAAATAGCTTGGCAAATTTTACATTATTTTTAAAGTATTTTTTGTTTATTATTATGAACAAAACGTGGGTGGGGGGGGGGCTTATTATATTTAATAATAGGCATAAATCAGCTTGTTTTACTAAATTATGGCCACGTTGTAATAATTCATTTTCTTGTTTTACTTAATTTAAAACGAGGGAACCAATTAACGTTAGTTCAACGTGGCCACGGTTTAACCAAAACGAGTGAAAGAATTCGTGAATCGTGGGAACAAATTCTTAATCTGTGATCCCAATATATATATATAGCTCGCTGTTTTGCTATTATTCGCGTGCACTGACTCGTTCACTAAGCTGAACAGCCAGTCGGTCGACGCACAAAATCTGCCCGACGGCCGAACGTCGGCTTGGTGTGTCCCGGGCTTTAGTTAGTGATGGGCAGATCGAGGCTTCGTGAAGCAATGAAACAGTTGAACCAAATGGTCCATATTGTTTCGAGGCTTCGAATCAATCCGACACCCGTCTCCACGGTGACACCTAGTGGTCACTTGCAGGTGTTGATCTGAAACAACCTTGACGAGCCATGAAAATTTGTTGTTTTTTTATTATTGTACTTTTCTAATATGTGAATCTTGCAACCTATAGGCTCCTCACTGTGCATAATGTTATTTTGGTCCTGCAAAATGAATATTAATAAAATAAATCAAGCCACAATGTCTCACTTTTTTACATATTTTTATTCAAAAATATTAATTTCTCTGCTGTGGAAGGACTTAGCCTACTTCTTTTTTTACAGATAATTTCTCCAGCCTTTGAAAAAATCCTCTCACAAGGGACACTTGTTGCTGGCATGCAAAGATATTTTTTTAGCTGATACATACAAATGAGCAAAGATTACTGCTCTCTCTTTCCAGTAGGCTAAGTTAGTGGATCATGAGTTCTGGGCAAATACGCATCGTTGATGTATTTTTTCACTTCCACTGTGGCATCAGCTGTAGCATTGTGTATCATCTGGGTTTGATGGATACGAGTATCAAAAAGTTCCCATAAACTGTCCTGTGTTTCTACTGGATGATGTATTGTTGCAGTAGGCGAGCTGCCGATCACAATACACACATCTCACTTTATTTGGGGTTTCTAAATGGAAATGCTCCCACACCACAGATGTACGGCATCTCTTCGGGAGCCTCCATTTTATCTATCTATCTAGATATGTATCTCTAATTTATCTATGTAATTAGATATATGTATCTACAATCTATCTATGTATTTAGATATGTATATATGATATGTATCTATAATCTGTGTATTTAGATATGTATCTATAATCTATCTATGTATTTAGATATGTATCTATAAATGTATCTATAATCTATGTATTTAGATATGTATCTATAAATGTATCTATAATCTATGTATTTATATATGTAGCCTATCTTTAATCTATCTATATATGTATCTATCTATCTATTAATATAGCTGTCTATATATATTTATATCTATGTATCTATTAATGTGTCACTATATGTATACTCTGTGTCTCTAGCCTATCAGTCAATGTGTTGTGTAAATTTAAATGTAAGCCTAAATATAACTAAACAAATCGCACTATATCACCATAAATCCGCTATCTCAAAATCAACCTCCTCTCACAAAAACCCACGAGGTCAATATGCGTTGATTTCACTTTTATACAGATGTGCGATTGTGTGGTCTGTTTCCGACCGTGTCAATCAAACGCTGATTCGGCGGATCACACCTAATGAAACACTTGTGAAACACTTCGAGGCTTCGTTTAGGCATAGTCACGTGACATGGGTGTTTTGAATCACGCTTCGAATCAGTGTTTCGAAACATCTGCGCTTCGGGATCTCGCAAAGCTTCGGAACGACTGTTTCGCGGCAGCCATCCCTAGCTTTAGTAAGGGTGCTTTGATTTATTGGTTGACCGATAATAGCTTATGCCGCGTTCCAGGCAACCTGTAACCTGTGTTTTTCCAACTCGTAACTGGGAGTAACTTATGCTGCGTTCCAGGCAGGTTTTTGAGCACGTAAATCCCGACTTCAAACCACGACTCACGACTTTGTAGCATTCCAGGCCAGTCACGCCAAACTACCTGAGCGCAATATACATACTTATTTTTTCAGACACATAACATTGTAATACATAATCGTGTGTGTATATACATACTTATTGTTTCAGACACATGACATTGTAATACATAATCTTGTGTGTATTATTATCATTATTATTATATTATTATTAATTTGACTGCAACGTTATATTGTCCTAAAGTGTATTCTCACTGTGTACCGCCTGCAGAAACACTGCATCCGTAGGGGCTGCCATTGTTGTTTTGTATGGTTTTGCGGGCTATGTGACGTCAGAACTCGTAACTGGGAGTACATCGATCTAGTACGAGTTCACGGGTGGGAAGTCACGGGTTTGACTGCCGTTCCAGTGCACTTTCACGGGTATAAGGTTGGAAAAACACGGGTTACAGGTTGCCTGGAACGCGGCATTACATCGGTCCAGGCAACCTGTAACCCGTGTTTTACCAACCTTATTCCCGTGAAAGTGCACTGGAACGGCAGTCAAACCCGTGACTTCCCATCCGTGAACTCGTACTAGATCGATGTACTCCCAGTTACGATTTGGAAAAACACGGGTTACGGGTTGCCTGGAACGCGGCATTAGTATAATTTGATCGGTGGTCTATAAAGGCCAATCAGAAGAGCTGATGACGCAAAACTCGCGAGACAAAATTGCTTCACACTACATTCACTAGTCGACAATAACGACAGCAATGGGGCTGTGATGTTTTAGTGCTTTCGTTCCTCCCTAAAAGCCCAAACAAATCAGCTAGATCAGTGATTGGTATAAAATAAACTCTAGCTGTTGCTAAACTGCAGGACGTGCTCGATAAAAAAAAAAGAGTTATTAACTGCATTAAGCTGATCGTGGCACGGACTGAGACTGAGAGGAACACGGAGCTTGGTGAGTATTTGCTTAAACACCGTCAGTTTTGTCTTAAGTTAACATAAACGTTTGTGAAATAATGCCGCGTTCCAGGCAACCTGTAACCCGTGTTTTTCCAACCTTATACCCGTGAAAGTGCACTGGAACGGCAGTCAAACCCGTGACTTCCCACCCGTGAACTCGTACTAGCAGGGCCGGTGTTCTGACGATTTGTGCTGCCTTGTCGAAAAATGCTACCGTAACGCGAATCGATCACAGAATGTCGATTAATATTGTATGAAATACAATTATAATACAATTCTAAGTTATGAGTAGCTACTGTATACTGTAGACTACTGTTTTTATTTTTAAAACGGTGTGAAAATTAAAAATTATCATCAAATATTCATCTTTGACTTGTCAAAGCACACTTTTCCTTAGTAACTGAAAATTTCAGTTATTATTGTTCATCTGGCTGACCGTACACATATTCATATGCTAGTTAGCATTTTTAAAGGGAAATTACAATATAACACATGAAAATGTACCTTTTGTTAAAAAAAAACTGTGCGTCTGCACGTGCGCATAACCATTAAGTAGCAAATCTCGATGGGTAGCATGAATCGTCAGAACACCTGCGATTGCTATAGGCGAACTAGGCGGTTGCCTAGGGCGACAAATGTGTTGTCTAGTATCGCCCTTGGCCTACTTCCCATTAATCAGAATTAGAATGACAAGCGAAACAAAAACATGTTTATTAAACACGATCATCCTAAGGCGCCCCTCAGCCATACGTTTAATTACTTGTCAACCTGATTATTAGATTGAATGGATGATTATTGTCGATCATTTCCTAAAGGGGGGGCGGGGGTTAGTTGCGTTACGTTACGTTCTATGGTTACGTTAGGCAAGTGCTCCGCTGCTGCGCGCGCTGATCGAAAATGAAGCGGTCTAAACCCTCTGGTGCACAGGGACGAAACGGAGAAAGCAACAAGATAAAAAGAAAGCCCAGTATAGATGTAAGTCTTCTCATCTCATCCATTAAGGTGTCAAATGTTCTGTCCATCGGGACTACCGGGAGATTCCCGCGGGGCCGACGTGCTTTTTGGGCCGATACATAACGTTACATCTCATACTTTTATTTTTCTATTTTTGTCTTAACGGCCCATAAAACTCCTACATCGGTGGCCCATTCGTTTTGTTTTGCTTGGCGGCGCTGGGTTACTTCCAAATATATAACTTACTTTCAAGTATAGAAATTTGTACAATACTCATGAAAGTTTCCTTTATTTTTCAGTGCATTTGTTTTACAATATCGCCTAGGGCAACCAAAGGGTTAGAGCCGGCCCTGCGTACTAGATCGATGTACTCCCAGTTACGAGCTCTGACGTCACATAGCCCCCGAAACCATACAAAACAGCAATGGTTTGTTTACATCTAGCTATCACAATTCCTTGCGCTCAGGTAGTTTGGCGTGACTGGCTTGGAACGCGACAAAGTCGTGAGTCGTAGTTTGAAGTCGTGATTTACGTACTCCAAAACCTGCCTGGAACGCAGCATTAGTCGCATGTGGATCTGTGCATTCGGTTTTAAATTGACAGCAGCCTAATATGCATTCTGCCGGCGGTGTCGTTTATGTCTATCAAACAACAAAGACAATTAAATGTATGGGCTTTTTCAAATCTTTTGATCTAATGGACGAGATAAGCTTGCACAATTTACATATTTGTGACTGGAGACAACAAAGAAACATATGGAGAGCAGCAGGTTTAGTTTCTGCTCTTGACAGCCGCAAGATCACGGCAAACACTGTGAGTGTGTGTTAGAAATCAGGAATGGTGGGAGAACATTGTTCTTGGTTCGTGTTTTGTCTTCAAACCAAACTTGGGTCTCCAGCCAAAGTTTAAGACTGGCTAGCCGCTTCCCATAACGTTACGCATTAGTTCAGTAGTGGAGAGTAGACGGTCTTTTGTGGCTGTTTGAACACATTCGACCACATGTGTGTTGACACTATGAAAGCAATCCGGTCGACTGAGTTTTCGACTACCTCTGGAAGTGGTCAAAAGTGGACGAGCTCAAAACTATTCAGACCCGGTTTACACCTGTATTTAACGTCGTCCACTTGTGATCCTGTATAGACCAAAACGCATCTTAATACCAGGAGTAAACAGGACCAAAGAGAAAATCACTCTTTGCTCTTACGTAGGTTTAGTAGGATTACCGGTTTTTAAATGAATATATACTGTGAAGACTAACTTATGCAGTGTTTTTACATTTGATTACTTTCTGTTTTTAAAGACTTTTTTTTTTTTTTCATGCTTTGATAAGCTCTATTTTTTTTCCTAGTCACCTTTAAGAGAGGGAATGAAATATGTTGCTTGCCAAGAAATAAAGGGTTGTCAGTTCATTATACTTTCTCATCTCTACATTTTTTTTAATACTTAAAATACATTTTTGTTAGTTGGCCTATTATTTCAGTGATCAGTATCGGCCAATACTGCTTCCAGGGATTGAATCCAAAAATCCTGTTCGGAGCAGCCAACCCTTAAAACCTTAGTGATGTACGTGACAAAGCTGCCCTGATCATTTGCACTCTGTTGTGTTCTTTTCCTCCCTCTCTCTCTCTCTCTCTCTCTCTCTCTCTCTCTCTCTCTCTCTCTCTCTCTCTCTCTCTCTCTCTCTCTCACTCTCACTCTCACTCTCACTCTCTCTCTCTCACTCTCTCTCTATTGTTTACGGCAGATGTAGAAGAGTAGCATTTGACTTTTGAAATACCATTCTTGAAATGAGACGATGCTATCTGTCTCTCTGCAGACGGTATGTAGTATGTACCAAAAACCACCAGTGTGTTACCGTTCTCCCTTCCAAAAACATCTGCTGATTTAACACTTTTTGTATAGGGTTTTTGTTTGGACCATATAAGACCTTGTCGACTGTATTCAGTCATGATCAGGCCCAGATCTCTGCAAAATCTAAAAATATATATTTTTTATTATTTTATTTTTATTTTAACATTATTCTAGCTAGAAATAATAAGAATGTTGTATTATCATCTCAGTTTAACACATTTTACAATATTTAAATCCATTCCACATAATTCCATTATTTCCCCTCCAAAAAATATATATAATACGTTTTGGCAGTGACTAGTGTTACTAGTTCATCACATTAAGTGCTTTTTAATAAATATTTGGAGATTTTGTCTGGATCTGGGAATGATCAAAGTCAGTAAATGTTACATCAAAATGTAAACTAATGATCCTGCAAGATTCATTTGTCAAAACCTGACAGTGTGTGTGTTTAAAACAAGCATGTAATCTTGTTCGGAATCTCATCAAACAGGTTTAATCTCACTGTATCTGGCAGAAAGTGAGGGAGTGAAAGAGAGCTGAGGAGGGAGGAGCAGATCAGAGCACCAAAAACAAACCACATGTAAGATTTCTATCAGACCTGTCCTAAACCACTGAATCTCTCCTGGATATACAGCACAAGGACGGAGCGACACACCACTGGAAAAGGAAGAACGAGTCTTACAGAGGTAATTTACTCAGAGATTTCTGGTACTATACGTTTTATGACTTAGTTTGTCTGTGATCTTCATGCATCCACTAAAAATCACTTTCGGGCGAGCTGGTTAAAGGGATAGTTCACCCAAAAATTTAAATTCTGTCATTAATTACTCGCCCCTATGACTTTCAATCATCTTTAGAACACAAATAAAGATCTTTTTAATGAAATCTGAGAGATTTCTGTCCCTCATTGACAGCTACACAACTGCCACTAGAACTACCAAAGCAGTCATTTTTTTTTACTCTTTTAAAATTTTGCATTGTAATAAATATGATGAAATAAAACCCATGTAACTATAGTACCCTGACTTTTCCTAAATGTGTCTATTTTATTCTATCATTGTTATTTTATTAAAATTACAAGACACAAAAGAGTATTTCTAACAGTCATATTGACCGTATGCATTTTTTTGTGAGTTTCTTAGCCCATACATAGGCTAATATAGGCTAAAATATTCGCCCTGATAAAATAGAAAATAGATATTTCATGAAATAAAACAAAGTAATTAGGCTATAATTTCTTGGCGACAGTGCAAAATCCTGCATCATCAGCTGTGCCAACCACAAGAGCACTCCCGCTAAATCCGCCTAGCAGAGCAGCATGAAACCGCAAAATCAGTTCATTTTCTCATAGTTTATTATATTTTCATATTCTTTTCCTGTGACGGTTTAGAATGACTGGTTTGGCCAGTTTGGGGCATATGCGTTTCATATGTGCCCATAAAGGTTTTACCTACGCTTTGAAATACATATTGGCGATGTTTTTGTAATTTATTGTATTCTAATATCCAAGGATGAATACATTTGTTTTCATTTTACAAAGAAAGTAATAGAAAATTGATCAATTTCGACTTTTTATCTGTAATTACAATAGGTAATTCTGTACAATAGGTGTTCTATGGTTGTCGATTAACTAATATATTTTCACATACATTAGAATTAAAATGTAGTGTTCTGATATTTATTATAATTACCTATCCTAACATTACAGATCCATTTATTCTTAGATTTGATATAACTTAAAGAAATTATATGCAAATAATGTATGAGCAGTCAGAATGACTGCTATAGCCATTATAGTAGTTATAGAATTCCAGTAGTTCTAGTGTTAAGTTCCAGAAAGGTAGGAAATGCATAATTTACCACTTTATTCACAAAATATTAATCTCCAGCGCGCGTTAACGTCAACCCAGCATGCATGCATCGTGGTGCTCTCGAGAGTAATATTTTGTAAATAGTGTTAAATTGTGTTTTTTTGCATTAAACGACTAGAGTCACATTAATTACTTTAATGATGTCTTTTGCTACCTTTCTGGGGCTTGAAAGTGGTAGTTGCATAGGCTGTCAATGGAGGGACAGAAAGCTTTCATTAAAAAGATCTTCATTTGTGTTCCGATGATGAACGAAAGTCTTACGGGTTTGGAACGACATGAGGGTGAGTAATTACTGACAGAATTTTCATATTTGCGTGAACTAACTCTTTAAAAGTCATTGGGAAAATGGTCAATTGAGAAATTGGATCATGTTTAGCAGATGTAACTTGGTTTGATATTTTTATTTGCATTCAGCTTAAAAAAAAACTTTGGGCGCCACTGACAGAATGGTAGTCGGAAGTACAACTGAATGGTTGTATTTGTGTGCATGTGTTGATTTCCTCAGTTGGAAATAGATTTGGATTCCCAGAACCCATCTAGCTGCAGATGGCTAAGATACTTGGAAAATAAGGAACATTCCAGTGAAGCAGAAGAACTGAAACGTGATGAGCTCTTACACAATATGTGCACACTTTAGCCAGTAGTGCCTCATTCCAGTGTGAAACTGCTAATTAGAGGTGAGAACACCATTTTCTCAATCTAGTGTGTTTAGAAACTCAATGAAACTCACCCTGAACCTAAGACTATTACTATTAACATCCAATAATCCTATAGGTTGCATTTGTCATGTTCCCATTCTTTCAGGTCAACACAGAAACGAATGTCAAGTCATACCAACTGAAATTATTTGTATTGGTATAGCCCAATTTGTCAGGTTGATTTTAGTCAGAGTGACTAACATTTTTACTTATTGTTGGATAGTACCACATGAAGCACATTTTTAGGATACCTTTTTGTACAGTGATGTTAGTTATTGATACTCAATGCATTAACTAATGTTAAAGATCCCCTGTGGTGAAAATCAAGTTTTTAATGTTGTTTAGGTCTATGTGGACATATAACCATGTGCAAATTCGTCATTCAACAACACCATTGCTAAGTATTTTCACCTTAAAACTGCAGTGAACCAAAGACGGTATCAAAAATAGGGTTTGAAATCGTCCGTTTCCTACCGTCACATATAAACAATCCCATCAACATGCGGGGCCGGGCTTTTCCTGTCATTAATGAGCAAGAACACCTTTAAAGACGCGCCCTCGAGTTGTTCCAATTCCAAACCTGTATGAGTTTCTTCTGCTGAACACAAGAGAAGATATGTTGAAGAATGTCAGTTTATGGGCCTGTAGGAAGCTCAGACGTGAAGGAGATTGTGTTGAATCTTCAGCAGGATTCTTTATTGAGAACACGAGTATCTGCAGTCATCAAGTCTAGCTAAGGGTACTTTACATGGTATCTTATAGGCGTTCAGTGGGCAGTCCTTAAATGTATTGACCTTACACACAGCCTTAGAAGTGACTGCTAAACCAAAAGCATCTAAAGACAATACAGAAAATCACCTCTGGTCATGAAACTCCAGCAGATCTATCTCAAAAGAATTCAACCAACAGGATCGATGGGTTAGACAACATTATCAAAAGGTTTAAGCACCATCTAGTTCTGAGAACTAAGACTATGTAAACATTAACTCATAGTTTGACTCTCAGTAGGAAGATCAAAGACTGACAAAACCAACTCACTGGAAACTCTATCAGTAAACTGATCTGATGCCATTATGTTCACCTTGAATGCCCAAAACATTTTAGTTCACCGTAAGTTATCCATGTGATGTTATGTATGGATATAGGATCAGCAGATCTTAAACCGTTTCTTACATTTATAATTCCACAGGCCCCATTAATTTCCATAGTATCTTTTTTTTTCATACCATGGAAGTCATTTACTGTTTGGTTACCCATATTCTTCAAAATATCTTCTTTTGTGTTCAGCAGAAGGTGAGTAAATGATGACAACATTTTGGGTGAACTATCCCTTTAAGAAGGTACGGGGAAATCGGGTACATAAAGTGCTAAAGCGGGTGAGCTATGATGTATATTATGATGTTATGATTAACTATATGCCTCATAAGTTGTTCAAAGCGTTTCTTAGATTCAGATTTTTAGAAGACTTTTCATTTTTGTGAAACATTAGCAACACATTATTAGCTGTTTGATAACGTAGCCAAGCCAAAGGCTAATCATATCAATTACCGTTATGTGTTCAACGTTGTAGAGAGCGATACATAAAACGCATTACCATTCTGATACATGGACTTTTATAAAACGGTTAGTTCCAATCCTTGATTCTGATTGGTCAATAGCTGTGCTTTATTCACGATAAAACACGGCTATGACCGCTTCACCCAACGGTTCTATGTATCACTACACAACACCCCTAGCAACCACTCTTAGCAACTTAAACAGATGTTTCATCTCATTGATATTGTTCATTTAAAGCTAGAGCAGAGCATTGTGAGAGATCGAGTAAGCGAGTGTACCTGCATTTACAGTAGACGTAGCATTTTCCTTCAGGTCAGTCCTATATTCATAATAAAAAAATGCGTTTGAATGTCCGCTGCATATTTTGTCCTTTTAACAGTCATGGGGTTTTCCGTGCATAACGTTAGTCATCTGTCAGTTGCGTCTGTCTTCTCCGTGATCACAAGTTCGAGTCCTTTCAAAAGCCTTCTCTACAGACTCACTCACTCACTCACTCATAAAGACAGTCTTTGCCGCCATCTATTGGCGAAATAATATATGTAACTTCTGTTGCTGTTCACGTTCCGGGACTATTTTTTCCAGCGGAAGGCAGGCTTTTAGTGATTTTACTTCATGAAAGTTGCATAGATACATATTTTTCGGCTTTAATATTTTTATTGTGTGGCAACCGTTTTATAAAAGCAATAAGGTACTCGAGGCAAGTGCTGTATCGTGAATAAGTAACGGCTGAAGGGGTTGCAGGCACTCCGCTTCGCGTCGTGCCTAACAACGCCCTCCAGCCGTTACTTATTCACGATACAGCACAGCCTCTCGTACCTTATTGCTTACGTATAGCCTGTATAATTCACTCTCACACTTCTGAATCAGTTTCTGATTCAAACATATATGAATGAAATAAACTAATATTTCCACTTGCCATCGTGTAGCGTTTACTACAGTAAAGTTAGACGAGTGGCTCATGTATTCTGAGCTGGTGTGAGTGAGTGGAGGCGGGGACTAATTTGCATATTCATTGATCTGCATAAATTAAGTAAGGGTGTAGAGTTACATTCGAACTATTTTAAGGCATGAAGAAATTATTTTCACTGGAAAAACATTTAAATATGTATTTTTGATTCTCAAAAATGAGTTTTAAAGGGATAGTTCACCCAAAAATGAAAATTCTGTCAGTATTTACTCGCCCTCATGTTGTTCAACCCCGTTAGACTTTCGGTCATCTTCGGAACACAAATTAAGATATTTTTGATTAAATCTGAGAGCTGGATCACTCCTCCATAGGCTTCTAAGGGATCGAATCTGGCCGGCCCAAAAGTTATGAAAGACATCGTTAAAATAGTCCGAGTGACTACAGTGGCTCAATCTTAAGTTTATCAAGCCACGGGAATACTTTTTGTGCGCAAAAAAAACAAACAAAAATAACGACTTTATTCAACTATTCATTTCCTTCGCTGTACGGCCGTGATATTTCACGTAGTGATATTGCGCAAAGCTTCTAGGTTGTACGTCACGCATCACACACATGACCAGCGTTGGCCAATAGTGAGCCTACGTGTGACGTGCAACCTAGAAGCTTTGCGCAATATCACTACGTGAAATATCACGGCCCACAGAGAAGGAAATGATTAGTTGAATAAAGTTATTTATTCAACTATAAAAAAATATATAGTTAATATAGTTATAGTCAGACTTATATAATAAGTCGTTATTTTTGTTTGTTTTTTTGCTCACAAAAAGTATTCTCGTCGCTTGATAAACTTAAGATTGAGCCACTGTAGTCACTCGGACTATTTTAACGATGTCTTTCATAACTTTTGGGCCGGCCAGATTCAATCCCTTAAGAAGCCTATATGGAGGAGTGATCCAGCTCTCAGATTTAATCAAAAATATCTTAATTTGTGTTCCGAAGATGAACGAAAGTCTTACGGGGTTGAACAACATGAGGGTGAGTAAATACTGACAGCATTTTCATTTTTGGGTGAACTAACCCTTTAAGGGATGAAATTATTGACTGCAGAGAGACAAATTAGACCTTATTGTAAAGTGTAAAATTTCCTACCCATGTCATGCAGCCAAATATGTAGATTTCCATTAATTTCTGCTTTTTTCTCTCACTTTCATCTCTTATCTTGCCATTTTCCTGCTTTCCCTCTGCACAGCCATGCCATTCTCACGCAGCTTCTTGTCTGAAGAGCAGCTGCTGTGTTCAATATGCTTAGATGTGTTCGACAATCCGGTGTCCACGCCATGCGGCCACAGCTTCTGCATGACCTGCATCAGGCACTACTGGGACACAGCGAAGCTCTGCCAGTGCCCTCTCTGCAAGCAGTCCTTCAAGAGAAAGCCCGATCTCCACATTAATCGGACTCTACGCGAGATCACCGAACAGTTTAAGCATATGATGGCAAACCCGGGGGACCCTGGGGGGGTCGGGGCAGCTGTAGAGGCTGAAGAAGAGGGGAAAAAACCAGAGCCAGGCCACCGTCCAGGTTATCTTCTTGAAGAAATGAAGCAGAGATTATCAAGCAGGTCTAAACAAACACCGAACACGGATACTAATGGCACCCAGTTACCTGTTTTTGCCAGACAGCTGTCCCTGCGAAGGTATACCCTGAGTGGGGCGGCAGATGCCATGAAAGTGCCCCTTTGTCCAAAACATCACCGTAACCTGGAGCTGTTCTGCCTGTCGGATCTGGAATGCATTTGTATTGAGTGTGGACAAACCGAACACCAATCACACGACATCGCATGTGCCGAGAAAGAGTGGCGCAGTTATAAGGTAGGATGAAATGAGGAATAAGAGTCTGTGTGGAATATAACAAACAGTGTTGGGGGTAACTTGTAATCAATGACTTTTTTTTCCAAGTAACTAGTAAAGTAACACTGCTTTTAAATGTACAACAAAAACGCAAGCAACAGCTCTTTAATCCACATGTTGAGAGAAATCGTGAGTGAGTGCAGAGGTGTTGTGTGTGTGAACATAGTTCTGGACTAAATGTGAACATGCATTTACTGTTCTCACTTGCACTAAAACACATTCAGTATTCCTCAAAATAAATAATACCGGGTAAAATTGTCCATATTACTCAAACCTGTAATAATTAAATATGTCACAAATATACTTTATGTATTTAATATCACTTTATTGTGACATTATAAAGACATTATTAACCAATGTCTTTGCTGCTGACCTTCGAATAAGCAAAAAAAAATACTTTAGATAAACAGCACATTTAAATTTGTGTTGAATTTTCTTTTAAAATCCAGGATGGCAGCACAGCTGACAGATTTGAGTTGCGCCCTCTACTGTACAGGCGAGAATTTGCATTTCCATCAGCCTGAGGCTTATTCATTTCACTTTTGTTGTGAAAGGGCCTTTATTTTTGGCAACAAAAAAGAATAAATTTATTGAAAAACAAGCAAGCCCAGCCAGAGGAGAAAAAATGCAAAAAAGTAATGTAATGCACTTTACTTTCCATAATGCAATTAGTTACTTCGTAGAGAGTAACGCAATCTTAAAGGGTTAGTTCACCCAAAAATGAAAATTCTGTCAGTAATTACTCACCCTCATGTTGTTCCAACCCCGTAAGACCTTCGTTCATCTTCGGAACACGAATTAAGATATTTTTGATGAAATCTGAGAGCTGGATCACTCCTCCATAGGCTTCTTCAGGGATTGAACTTGCCGGCCTCGAAAAGTTATTAAAGACATCGTTAAAATAGTCCAAATGACTACAGTGGCTCAATCTTAAGTTTATCAAGCGACGAGAATACTTTTTGTGCGCAAAAACAAACAAAAGTAACGGCTTTATTTTAACTATTCATGTCCATCTCTGTGGGCCTGGAGTCAGTTCACTAGTGTAATAGCGTAAGCTTCTGTTGTTGTGCGTCACACGCATCACGCACATGACCAGCGTCGGCCAATAGTGAGCCTACGTGTGACGTAGCTCTACGGAATCACACTACGTTAACTGACTAGAGGCCCAAAGAGAAGGACATAAATAGTTGAAATAAAGTCGTTATTTTTGTTTGTTTTTTGCGCACAAAAAGTATTCTCGTCGCTTGATAAACTTAAGATTGAGCCACTGTAGTCACTCGGACTATTTTAACGATGTCTTTAATAACTTTTCGAGGCCGACAAGTTCAATCCCTGAAGAAGCCTATGGACTAGTATGGAGGAGTGATCCAGCTCTCAGATTTCATCAAAAATATCTTAATTTGTGTTCCGAAGATGAACGAAGGTCTTACGGGGTTGGAACAACATGAGGGCGAGTAATTACTGACAGAATTTTCATTTTGGGGTGAACTATCCCTTTAATGCATTACTTTTAAAAGTAACTTTCCCCAACTCTGGAAGTATAAATAAAACCCCTCACACCTCACTGGCCCCCAAACTATTACATTATTTTTATTATATAACTGTTATTGTATATTAATATTTTAATTATTATATATTACTGTGCTCTTAATTTTTATGTCCTCTTAAAAATATGTAGCATTTGCAAACTAATGAAGTAACTTAGTAATTACTTTTATCCAACTGCGGTCAGTGGAGTTCATTTCATTAAGTGGTAAATTCATTTTAAATGGTAAAAATAAAACAAAATAAATGACAGATTTCTTCAATAATTTAATTCAATAATTTAATTTAAATTAAATCTTTAGATTAAATTATTAAATTAAATAACTAAATAAATAGATATAAATACATAAATGTAACATTTCTTGTTTTGAAAAATGTGCGTGTGCTGTCAATCTATAAAATAAATAAATTAAATAATAAATGAAAATGTAACATTTCTTGCTTAAAGGTGTGCTTGTGCTATCAATTTTTTAAATAAAATGCAAAATTCCACTTGGTTTTATTTTAACTAAACCAATGGCATTCATACATTTGGAAGTGTGACTTCAGTGTCCACATACTGGTACTCGTTTGGGTCCACTGAGTATTACTGATATGGGCAGAGATCTTTGGCCACTACTATGATTCAAAAACAAGGAGCTGTCATTCTTAAAAAAAAAAAAAAGAATAATAATATTTGTGATGTAAAAATGTACATGAAGCTCTGATATTGCTTAAGCACTGGTTTGGAGCTATATTAATATAATGTATGTAGCATTACTGGTAAAATCTGGGCCACTTCCTGCTGCATCATTTCCTGTTTACTTTCACACAGATGAAGATTTCTACCACAGAGACAGAGATACAGGAGATGACCAGGGAGAGGATGCAGAAGGTGGAGGAGATCAAACAATCACTAGTTGACGTCAAAGTGAGTTTACACAGTAGCTTTCACTTGTTTACTTTTCATCATCCCACAACAATAAAAATCCCCCACTTCTTCGAGAAAAGTGAACCGCTGTGGTTACCTGCAGTGTAAATCCAGCTCTTCTCCTCCAGAAGCTGTCCGAGGGCGAGGTGCAGCGCAGCATGCAGGTGTTCGGAGCACTGATGGCTTCTCTCGAGCGCAGCCAGGCCGAGCTGCTGGAAGTGACGGAGATGAACCGGCACTCGGCGGAGCACCAGGCGGAGCTCATGATCCGAGAGCTGGAGCTGGAGATCACGGAGATGAGGAGGAGAAGCGCAGCGCTGGCTAAACTGGCCCAGACTGACAATTTTGTCACTGGACTGAAGGTCTGTAATGTGTCAAGAGAACATGCCTTGAAGTGTGCATCAGATTTCATTTGAGACCCATCTTTTCAGTCTCTTCTCTTCGACTATTTAGTCTATTTTCAAATATCATAGAGCTCTTTTGACATGAGCCAATAAGAAATCACCTCAATGCCCACATAGTAAAGCCACTCACAACACCGTGGAATGTTTTGCTCTGACAAGCACCATTCTAATATATATATATATACAGTGCCTTGTGAAAGTATTCGGCCCCCTTGAACTTTTCGACCTTTTGCCACATTTCAGGATTCAAACATAAAGATTTAAAACTGTAATTTTTTTTGTGAAGAATCAACAACAAGTGGGACACAATCATGAATTGGAACGAAATTTATTGGATATTTCAAACTTTTTTAACAAATAAAAAACTGAAAAATTGGGCGTGCAAAATACTTTGTAGCGCCCCCTTTTGCAACGATTACAGCTGTAAGTCGCTTGGGGTATGTCTCTATCAGTTTTGCACATCGAGAGACTGACATTTTTGCCCATTCCTCCTTGCAAAACAGCTCGAGCTCAGTGAGGTTGGATGGAGAGCGTTTGTGAACAGCAGTTTTCAGTTCTTTCCACAGATTCTCGATTGGATTCAGGTCTGGACTTTGACTAGGCCATTCTAACACCTGGATATGTTTACTTGTGAACCATTGTAGATTTTGCTTTATGTTTTGGATCATTGTCTTGTTGGAAGACAAATCTCCGTCCCAGTCTCAGGTCTTTTGCAGACTCCATCAGGTTTTCTTCCAGAATGGTCCTGTATTTGGCTCCATCCATCTTCCCATCAATTTTAACCATCTTCCCTGTCCCTGCTGAAGAAAAGCAGGCCCAAACCATGATGCTGCCACCGCCATGTTTGACAGTGGGGATGGTGTGTTCAGGGTGATGAGCTGTGTTGCTTTTACGCCAAACATAACGTTTTGCATTGTTGCCAAAAAGTTCGATTTTGGTTTCATCTGACCAGAGCACCTTCTTCCACATGTTTGGTGTGTCTCCCAGGTGGCTTGTGGCAAACTTTAAACGACACTTTTTATGGATATCTTTAAGAAATGGCTTCCTTCTTGCCACTCTTCCATAAAGGCCAGATTTGTGCAGTATACGACTGATTGTTGTCCTATGGACAGAGTCTCCCACCTCAGCTGTAGATCTCTGCCGTTCATCCAGAGTGATCATTGGCCTCTTGGCTGCATCTCTGATCAGTCTTCTCCTTGTATGAGCTGAAAGTTTAGAGGGACGGCGGGGTCTTGGTAGATTTGCAGTGGTCTGATACTCCTTCCATTTCAACATTATCGCTTGCACAGTGCTCCTTGGGATGTTTAAAGCTTGGGAAATCTTTCTGTATCCAAATCCGGCTTTAAACTTCTCCACAACAGTATCTCGGACCTGCCTGGTGTGTTCCTTGTTCTTCATGATGCTCTCTGTGCTTTAAACGGACCTCTGAGACTATCACAGAGCAGGTGCATTTATACGGCGACTTGATTACACACAGGTTGATTCTATTTATCATCATTAGTCACTTAGGTCAAGATTGGATCATTCAAAGATCCTCACTGAACTTCTGGAGAGCGTTTTCTGCACTGAAAGTAAAGAGGCTGAATAATTTTGCTCGCCCAATTTTTCAGTTTTGTATTTGTTAATAAAGTTTGAAATATCCAATAAATTTCGTTCCACTTCATGATTGTGTCCCACCTGTTGTTGATTCTTCACATAAAAATACAGTTTTATATCTTTATGTTTGAAGCCTGAAATGTGGCAAAAGGGCGAAAAGTTCAAGGGGGCCGAATACTTTCAAAAGGCACTGTATATATATTAGAATTAATATATTAGGTCAAATGTGTTTTTGAAAGAAGTCTCTTATTCTCACCAAGGCTGCATGTTCTTAATTTAATCGAAAATACAATAAAAAATTGTGAAATATTATTACAATTTAAAATGACTGTTTTATATTTTAAAATTTCATTTATCCTATGATGTAAAGCTGAATTTTCAGCATCATTACTCCAGTCTTCAGTGTCACATGATCCTTTAGAAATCATTCTGATATGCTGATTTGCTGCTTATTATTATTGTTTATAAATATTTTTATAATTTTTTTTGAGAATTCTTTGATTATTAGAAAAAGTTTATAAAAAAGTATTCATTTGAAATATAAATATTTTGTAACAAATTTTTTTCTTTATTCTTTACTGTCAGTTTTGATTAATGTAATGCACCTTCCTGAATAAAAGCATTAATAAAAAAAAATACTGACCCCAAAATTTTGAACTGTAGGGTTAAAAAATACATCACTTTTTGAGCTAATAAATAGCTGAATTTTATATATATATATTTTAAATTAAGTTAATTAAATATTTTATTTAAAATTTTCCCCAAATGTTTAAAATGTTATTAAAAGTATGTATAATTGCATTTTTTTATATATATTTTCCAGTTGCCTTTCTTTAATTCTTTTGCCAATGCTATAATACTCACTTATACTCTTGTCTTGTGGCTGTAACCTGTTGCTTTCAGGCTATATTTGCCTTCATGCACAATTGTTATTTTGTACTTGTTTACTTATATATTTTCAGTGTTATCCTTGCACTATTAAGCTATTTATTGAATTTGCACTATATTATTATAACCTCCAGCACACATACTTTATCTTGCATATATTTTATCATGTTGACATATACTTGAATGTTATACTGGACTGCTGATTTTTATAATTAGTTATATCTGATATTGTGTGTATTGGTGTGTTCTCTGTTGTATAAGCTACTGAATGCCTTGAATTTCCTTTGTCAATCCAGACATTTCATAATGGGCAAACTATAGAGAGATAATAAGCATGCCACTTTAAACACCAAGCTCAATAATTGCTCTTGGTCTTCTCCAACAGGGCTACTCTGATGTCAGTACTCCCATGTCAAAGAAAGACTGGACGGGTGTATCGCTGACCTGTGACCTTGGAACTAAAGCAATTTACGCCTCAGTCTGTCAGCTACTGGAACAATATAAGCAGGAGCTTCAGAAACTGCCTGCAGTCTGTGAGTGACACCTGTCAAACACTAAACTACAGCGCCATCTAGTGGCGGATGCTCCTGCATGCAGTGACATCGTTTCTTTCTGTTCTAGGCCTCTCTGTGTCCGCTAACCAATCACCATTGAAGTCACACCCAAGTAAGATTGCAAGTGTTTATCATACCATAATTTGTTATATAACTACTGATGTAGAATTACGAAATGCATTTTTCTTTTCAATAACATGTTCTTCTTTCAATGTTTTGCAGAAGTGAAGAGAGTACAGGAATATGCAGGTATGAGTTATAGATTACATTTTATTGCAGTGTATATATAAGCAGGCACTATATATAGTTTTTTTCTTCCTCTAGGCTTAATTACAGCTTTGCCCTCTTGTATAAAGTCCTAAATAGTTGAAATAACAGTTTATATTGTTTGTTGATTCCTGCACATCATATCACCTGGATCCCCTGTGTTTAGGAAGGTCAAAATAACTTAATTTCTGTTGTTCTTGTGCAAGAACATGACATGTCAAACAGTATGACATGATATACTTAATTAAACTATATTAAACAGAATTTTTCTGATTGGCTTGACCCATTATTTGCCAAATCCAATTTTTCTATATAAAATAAATATTGAATTGCATAATATTTAATAAAATTCCAGTTAGAATTTTTATATAGTACAAGAATATTTAATCACAATTATATTACATTTTTATGTGTGTCTCTATTCAAAAGTTTGGGGTCGGTATGATTTATTTCATGTTCGTAAAAAGAAGTCTCTTCTGCTCACCAAAGCCGCTTTTATTTGATTTAAAAATACAGTATAAACAGTAATATTGTGAAATAATATTGCAATTTAAAATAACTGTTTTCTGCTTTAATATATCAAATAAATAAAATAAAATAAAAAATATATATATATTCCTGTAATGAAAAGCGGAATTTTCAGCATCATTACTCGAAGATCTTGACCAAAATATGTGTGCACCTCTTGATGGAAATAACATCTAAACATTTATATTAGGGCTGTCAAATGATTAATCACGATTAATCACATCCAAAATAAAAGTTTTTTTTACATAATATATGTGGGTGCACTGTGTATAATTATTTTGTATATATATAAATACACACACATGCATGTATATTTAAGAAAAAAATATTATTTATATATAAAATATTTATATTTATATATAATATAAATTATATATAAATCTATATACAGTATATACATGAAAATATTTCTTAAATATATACAAGCATGTGTGTGTATTTATATATATATAAAATAATTATACACAGTGCACCCACATATATTATGTAAAAAAAAAACTTTTATTTTGGATGTGATTAATCACGATTAATCATTTGACAGCCCTAATTTATTTCCATCAAGAGGTTCTTCATGCTCCTCCCAACCATTCTTTCATAATTTGAGCCTGATGAATCTTGACATTGTCAACCTGGAATATGGCCATGATGTGTCTTCCTACATGGTTGTTTAAGAAATGAAAAGCTACACACTCCATCAATTAGAGTTGGAAGAACTGTTACCAAACATAACATGCTAGAAACATAATAACCACAGCAATTATGATCCAATCATAGACTCTTTTAAATCCAAACTATATTCTAAACATAACTTTTTCCATCAGTTGATGTGACCCTGGACTCCAGCACTGCTCATCCACGTCTCCTCCTATCAGAAGACAAGAAGAAGGTGTGGTGCGGTGAAAGGCACCAACATGTTCCCAACAACCGTGACCGCTTTGACCGTGTAGTCTGTGTTCTGGGGCGCGAGGGCTTCAGCGGGGGTCGACACTACTGGGAGGTAGAGGTCGATGGAAAGACCGACTGGGACCTGGGGGTGGCCAGTCATTCCAGCAACAGGAAAGGTAAGATCACAGTCAGCCCCAGCAACGGCTACTGGTTTCTTAGCTTGCGGGACAAGAACAACTTTGCCTTCAGGACTGAGCCTTCCACTGCCCTTCCCCTCAGCCTGAAGCCTCAGAAGATTGGGCTGTTTGTGGACTACGAAAAAGGCCAAGTGTCCTTTTATAATGTGGACGCAAAGATGCACATCTACACGTTCATGGACAACTTCTCTGAGACCATTTATCCGTTCTTCAGTCCCTGTACCAACAAAACAGGCAAAAATGATGCTCCGCTGGTGATCACGCCTGTCCAGTGACTTGAGAAGGTTTTGTGACCAAACATCTGCTCCATAATGTTTTGGGCTTTTCTTTTTTGCCTAACAAATAGCCTTTTCATACCAACAAATCTTCTAATCTTTCTTATTCTATTAAAGTCGGCATTAAACAAAGGTTGCAAAAGTCTTTTATTCCCTATTGTGACATACATCCGAGTGAACCGGCTTCCTGAACAAGAAAAAATACAGAGCGGGACTTGATTTTGTCCTTTGGTTGTGGATTAGACGGTTGTGGTTTGCTATTGGTCGATCTCATGTGAGTGACAGGTTGCCCCGCCCTCACGCCAGTAAACGCATCATCAGAGAGGAGATGTTGCTGTAAGAAGGGAGGGGAACAGGGGGTACATACTTTGGTTAATTGCACTTTAATCATACACATAGCATTAAAAAAAATGTCCATTTTGATTTCATGGTGACTTTTATCTTTTCTTCAGAATAAAAAGACTAAAATAATAGGCCTACATATTTCTTGTTAATTAAACAAGACTGCACTGCAATCCACTTATTGTGTACACTGTATTACTTGTCAGGCATTGAAGATGAAGTTAGCCTAATACTTTAATAAAACCTGAATGTTAGTAAATTCATTTTAGTTTGTATCTTGTCCACCGTTAAAGGTTCATTTAGTCCACTCGTGTAATTCTCACACACTGCACCTTATGTTTCTGTTATGAAGTGTAATTGCGAGCATGATGAAATAAACATTTCAGTGTCAGATGGCAAGTTACTGCAGGTAATTTCTCTCTTTGTGACATTCCACCCTTTCTGTCTTTTTCTTTCTTCCTACCAAGACGAAAGTTCGCTACTGCTTACACTTACATCGTCAAATAGGCCTACATTGCAACCACCTCGTGTTTGTTAATGACACACTTAATCAACACCGTCTTTACATTGTTGTTTGTTTTACAGCTCTTATCTGGGTTACTCCCAACCAAATCATAACGGTATTTTCTCTGTACATCGTTCGTGTTGAAGCATGTCAAAAGTAACTGTCGGAGAGAAGATCCCCGAGGGCTGAGTGAGTGAGTTTCCTCAACGCACCGCCAGATGGCAGAACTACTGAGTGAATATTAACCGCACTCTTTTCCTCACTAACGTTTCCTAACGCAAACACGTGGTTTAAACGGGCCTACGTTACGTTTGTCCACGCCATCTATCCAAACGGCTCTTTATGAACTACGTAAAACAGACTTCACAGGAGTCGACATGTTTTTTCTTGCTAATATGTTAAACTGATCCATTTGGATCAGATATAAGGAAGGCCGGGGCTAGTTGTCACACAGGGATGTTGTCACAAAGGCAGTATACTGTGTTGCATAAATGTTTTACCTTTACATTTTGCTGAAAAGCTTTTAATAGACTGCTTAATGGCAGGTTTCATCGTGACAGCATGTCACAAGTGTTCAGTATCATGTTCAGTTAACTTTTTTTTTGTCTCTTGAGGGCATTAATAGTGGAAATGTTATATATATATATTTTTTACGTTTGTTCTTTTGTTTTGTAGCCAGGACTTTAAGATGTGTGTCTACTCGGAAATGAACTTTTAAAAGCAAGCTTAGAATTAAGCATATTCTCTGGAGAACAAATAGTATCTGTCTCCCCTGTACTTAATTCATCCATGCCTGTGTGTGTGTGTTTCATGTTAACCCTACATTATGGGGACACAACATCCCCACAAAGATGGCAATGTCCAAAATCCTTGATCCTTGTCAAAAACAGTGTGTTGTTTCTTTTTATTTAATAAAATCTTTTTTCTGACTCTCTAGCACCACATCTTTCTTATTAATGTCATGTTTAGTGTGTCTCGTTCTAAAACTAATGTATTACTTGCATACTAATTTAGTGCAACAGTAACTTATTGTAAAGGTGAACTTGGAAATACGCCATGTGAGCTGAAAAATATGTACATTGGGCATTCAGGGTTTTAAACTAAATAAAATTATGAATGAGGAACAGAAATTAAGGCCTTGGGAAAAAATGCCCAAGTATTTAAAATATAGGGGCAAAAAAAAGGTCTGTGCTGAATTATATTTTTTTAATACTTGATCTATTCTATTGATATTCTGTTCTAGGTCAATGAGTCCAGCATGGTTTAAATGCCTCTGTAGATACCAAGCCTTTATTGTCTTATAATATTTTGTGCATTATTTGCAATGTTTCTGCAAATAATTATTCAAACTTTGAATGAGTTGAATCAAATTATTCAGTTTAATGGAGGGATGGGAGGGGAGATGCTCTTGTGAAGTAAAATTCACCAACAAATCAATTCCATGTGGCAAAAAAGGCACTTAATAAAGAAATAAATAAAGATAGGGATTGTAATAATTAGTTACAAATAATTTTAGAAAGTTCGACAGATGAAAAAGAAAAAGCACCATGTGAACCTCAAGTTTCATCATGGCAGAATCACAGGTGTAACGAGCCAAACAGGAACGCTCTGATATAACAAAATCGACAGAATGAGAGAACATTTGTGAGAGATGACTATTACAATATTTAAATATAGTAACCAACATTCCTCACTAATACACTCTAGAATGTGGATCTGTGAGAAGAGTTCTTCCAAGCCTTCTCAGACCGCAAACTGTTTCTGGTCAACAGGTGTGACGCACGTTAAAGTCATGTCACAAATACTATAGGCAGAGAAATGTATGCTGGTCACAACTCCACCCAGCTGCGGAAAAAAAAGCCCATAGCTTTAGTAAAAGTCACCACCAGTCATTCTTATGGCTTAGAAGTAAATGAAGCGAAGCTCTGAGCAAGACGAGAAATGGGGGAAGGGATGGAGTGATTGTTAGAGAAATGGTCGTAGGCCGTTTATCAGGTTCAGCCTGAATGTACTGACTCTTGCCCTCCTGGCAGCTCTACTTGCATGGCAGCAAACGTCTCCGTCTCTGAGACCCATGTTTGAAACCGCAAAGTTACAGCGTCAAGTGCACGGGACTTCCGTCTTGTGGCTGAACTGATTTATAACGCTTTATAGAATGCAAGCCTTGCAGTTATGAATCTAGCTTACTGGGAATGTTGAATTTATAAATCCCTAGAAGTTTGAAAAATAGTGATAATTTATTAGTTTAATTCTGATGAAAGAGAGGTTGATGAAAAATGTAAAAAAAAAAAAAAAAACGTAAGCGAAAAGTTCTGCCTCAACCGCTCCAACAGCCCAGGTAGCATACCTGTCATTCTGCACACCTACACTCCTTTTTCTTTTTTTTTTTTTCTTTTTTCTTTTTTGCTCAAAGTCTTTCTCTTTCTCAATTGCAAAAAGGCTAAATCATCTCCTCATCTTTCCACCTGGTTGCTCTTTTTACCTAAGCCAGTTTTTTTACATTATGCTGATCGAGATTTTAACAGTAAAAGACTGTAAAAAAAAAGCTATAGAAGAAAACTGTTAGTTGGGTTAACAGAACATTTCGGTACACTGTAAAAAATAATCCTGTAAAAAAACAGTAAACTACTGGCAGCTGTGGTTGCCAGCATCATACCATAAAAATACGGTGTGTTACTGTTTTTGAAATTAACAGCTAAATACCGCATTGTCAGCTACAGTATAAAACTTTAATTTAACAGCTATATGCACTAACACAAAAACAGTAACACACCGTATAGTTACGGTATGATGCTGGCAACCACAGCTGCCAGTAGTTTACCGTTTTTTACAGGATTATTTTTTACAGTGTATACAGTGAATAACTGTAATAGATCTAACCGTACATTTAATGTAATTGTTGCATTTACAGTTTTTGGAAGTGAAAAAGAACAAATGAACAAATTTAATATAATTTACAGTGAAACCCATAAATTGACATTCCCAGAATTCCCTGCGTGACACTACACATTTGATGTATATTTTCGTTGAAATAACTGTTTCTTCTTAGTTTTTTCTAATCAGTTATGTACATTAGGGTTTTATGTTACACATTTCCCCGGTTTCACAGACTAAAATGCATGTTTGAGCTGTTTTAAATGAAAGCAACTTGCACTGACATATCTTGAAATTTGTCTCAAGATTCACACCAGTAATGTTTTTTTCTAAGGCACATTTATAAAAGCTACATTAATATCCTAATTGAACTAAGGCCTAATCCTGGATTAATCTAAGCCCTGTCTGTGAAACCGGGCCCTAATGTTGTTAAATTAATGTTTATTGCATTTTTTTATTATTTCATGTGTGTTACCATGATGGTGTTTAGTGTTTGTGTGAATGAGACTGCGCACCTTCTATACATAAGTATTTACTTTCTCATAAACTGCTAGTGATGAACAATGACCACCTGTTTTTGAGTGGTTGTCAGTGTATTACAAAGGTACAAAACAGATATTAGTGCTTCAATAGGTTGGTAAAATAACACTGTATCACTGTATCAAATCTGTAAACCCTAAATTGTTGCTACCTTATTTTCTTTACGGTAAACTTCTGGCAACCACAGCTGCCATTTTTTACCGTAAATTTAACGCTCATTTTTTTTACAGCTCATTTACAGTTAACATGCATAAGCTTCATGGTTTGTGAGCACTCTGTGAGCTGTAGCCTTTGTAGAAGAACAGCACAACCGTTCTGGAAAATATACAGAATGTGTACTACTAATCTAGCAAACATTTCAGCAGCGAAACTGCACAAAAAAAAGTAGATATCTTTGCCTTTAGAAACTTTTATGCCACCACGAAACTGGAAACTGAGTAGGCCTATTTTCCTAATTGTTCATTAGCATCATGATGAACTGCAGAAGCTACACTTGAGGTGTTTGTGTTCTGTCATCAGTTGCCTCATAAATAAAGTGTGAATATGTGTGTGTGGGGGGAGGATTATAGGTCTTAGAAGTGTCATGATCATTTTTTATTATTATCAGGGGCTGAGTGCAGTGCATTTGGCAGTTAACTAAAACTACAAGGAAACTATATCATCACTGGCTGTTCCCAATGCTTAGTAGCCTAATGAGCAATAGCCTATAAGCAATATGACAGATAGAATGAAAACTTAAATTAATGGTTTAGAAATATTAATGGGATGCATAATGGCTTAATGGACTTCTGGATGTTTAAATTTGAATTTTGACAGTTGGAGTTTGAACAGTCTTGGCTCATTTGAACAGTTAGAAAATATGATCTTTATAATGATATTTAGTCATTTAAGCTGTTTCATATTTAAATGGCGATATGGCGTCAGAGGAAAAACCCAAAGAAAATCTAGGTTTTTACCCCACGTAATGGGCGACATTAACTGTATACAATCGGTGTAAGATTTCTTTTTAGTTAGTTTTTGGTCGCATATTGCCTCGTAGACTATTATAGGCCTACACTTTATTCACATGCATTGTTCAGAGGAAGAGAGAGAGAGAGAGAGAGAGAGAGGGAGGGAGAGAGAGAGAGAGAGAGAGAGAGAGAGAGAGAGAGAGAGAGAGAGAGAGAGAGAGAGAGAGAGAGAGAGAGAGAGAGAGAGAGAGAGAGAGAGAGAGAGAAAACCGGTTGGACAGGTAAGACGTAGAGGCAGGACTGGGTCGGGTTTGTTGTCACCGTTATATTCAGGCGCATGCGCATTGTTACCTGTTTCCTCATGAAATGTGTACCTGCGCTCTAATCAGCCACTGAAATTCGTTTTGTACTCCGTCGTGTTGAGCAGTTTGAGCTATTTATCTGCCACAAACATCACCTCCCACCTGAACAAAGACACCTAGCTTGGTCTTAACCTAACGTTACTGGACTGAGTGAATTTCCGAGGAAGCCTTCGTCCACTCGGAGTAGCGGAAGACGGCGGAAGGTGTAGCAGAAGCGGGTAAATAGAGTGGGAAACTCCACGGAAACCTGTACAGGTACAAAAAGTTTTGAGTAAGAAGGTGTGCGTATAGAGCGAAGAACTCGCCTTTGCTTTTCCAAATTGAAGAAGGCACCATCCAAGAAGGACTTTACACTTACTTTGCAGTTTTATCAAAAGTAGGTCGGTGTTAAAAAGCCTGCTGTTTAATTTCGAGAGATAGCGGGGAAGGACCTCGGGAATAGACCATGCCACGAGCTTTCCTGGTGAAGAAAACGGGACATTCACCCGGCAAGAGAAACTGGAGCAATCTGCCAGATCATGAACGCGGTGACATTTATATTCCAGGTGAGAAGATACAAAAGTTAACTCTTTTTCAGATCACAATCCGGATAACGGTACGGGTGCAACAGTTCATTCCAGGGGGTCTAAAAAATTCTGTTGTTTTTTTTAAACCGTTGTTTTAATTAAAAAATATATATATTTTAAATCCAACGGTTGGGTTTGTCCATATTTGACCCAAACATTGAAACAACCCATCATTTTTAGAGTGAGTTGTGTAAGGAACAGCCTTTCTTAATTGATAAGCTTATTTTAGCCGATTTTTACCAATTATTATTTGTAACTTTTATGTGATTTTGCCTACACTAAATTAAAATATAACTAAATACACAACTTGCCTAAATGTAACCATTATGTAATTGTGAGCGATTGAACAACTAGGCTACTTGATCTTATAAAATGTGTGTGTGTGTGTGTTAAGAGGGCCGTTATACTGCACCTTAGTTGACCTTCAGACCCAACTGTCTTCCTTATAACATGAAACTCATTGCAACACAGGACGGTGCCAGTTTGGCCTATACACAAAACGTTAGTCGTCTGAAATTAAAGCAGGCCTAAGTAAAAAAAAAAAAAAATCGAGATAAAGCTAAACGTTTCCCCCTGAAAACTACTAGACTAATCACTGTAATTAATTATAGGCTAGATATATTGGGTGATATTTACAATTAAGTTACTGATAACTGCCTGATTTTACTGTTTTTGGAAGTTAACAGTTTTGCACTATCAAATTACTGCGCGTCACCAACGGAATATTAACCGTTCATTATGACCCCCCTTTCTTCAGTCTACAGGAATCATCACAATGAGATATTTTGAGATGTATCGTGTAATTTATATATATATATATATATATAATTAGTTTTTATTTTATTTTTTACGGTTCACAGTAAAGGCGAAATGTGTGTAGAACTGTGCCATTTTAAAAGAATGCGTTAATCATGCGTTTGTCGGCCTGCGGGGTTTTGTGAAAGTGTAATCCATTTGCGTAACAGCACATTCATAAACTGAACCAACTTGAAACGGAGACATTTATAGCATTGATTCATGCAGGTATGCCAGGAGGTTGTTGTGGACACCTGTTTCATTCGTTGCCATAACGATTACTGTTCACATGTGTATTTACTTACAAAATTCTTTCTTTCTTTCTTTCTTTCTTTCTTTCTTTCTTTCTTTCTTTCTTTCTTTCTTTCTTTCTTTCTTTCTTTCTTTCTTTCTTTCTAATCAATGCAGCATCCGTTTAACGCATCGTGGTCCTTTAGTTTGTCGCCCGTGATATGGTTTCGGGTTAATGTTTACAGCGGTGAAGGAAATAACGGGCTTCACCGCGCTGGCTCCCTTCTCCCGCTATACACCCTTAGCAAACACACACACACACACACACATACAGCGAGTGTACCTTTCACCTCACTTTTCGATATCTGACTGCTGAACAAACCCGGAGCACAGGCATTGTTATGTATTTATCGACGTCGCCTACCCATTTTATGACTCTTGTTTTTAACCCATTGGTTGTTTTTAATTGTTTTATTCCGCCCTCCATGTGATGTGACGCAAATTATCATAGTAAGGAAAATTGACTTTGAAACATAATAAGCTAAATGACTGATAAACCAGTTTAGGATTAATGGAAACTTTACTAACTGATATGAGGTAAAACATGATGTTTTTCCCTGATTATTACGGCTTGTGCGTTTAATTTAAATTCATGTTCACTCAAATCAAACATAGCCTATTTGTCGACATCGAATGCGGTCCTTTTTTAAAAAAAAGATAAAATTCTTTCGGTTTTCGTTCATCTTCATGTTATTGTTTGTGGTGTGACTGACTGTCTTTGAAGGGAGGGGTTGGCAAACAAGACAAAGGCAAAAAGAAACAACAATCACGGCTGTGTGTATACTGTGTGTGTGTGTATATGCACATGATCCTTCAGAAACAATGTTTATTATAAATGTTGAAAACTTTTATTCAGCAAGGAGGCATTAAATTGATCAAAAGCGACAGTAAAGACAATAAGACATAACTGAAAAGACTGAAAAACATTTCAGATAAATGCTGTACTTTTGAACTTTGCAATAATCAAAGAATCCTGAAAAAAAAAAATTGCTCACAACAGTTTTCAACATTGATAATAACAAATGTTTCTTGAGCATGCAGCAAGTCAGCATATTAGAATGATTTCTGAAGGATCATGTGACACTGAAGACTGGAGTAATGATCCTGAAAATTCAGCTTTGATCACAGGATTAAATTACATTTTAAAATATATTCCAATAGAAAACGGTTATTTTGCATTGTAAATATATATATTTCACAATATTACTGTTTTTGTTGTATTTTGGATCGAATAAATGCAGCCTTGACGAGTATAGGAGACTTCTTTTAAAAACATTAAAACATCAAACATACATTCTGGTCTCTTCAGAACTGAACTACTTAGTTGGATTTCTTCTTGACAGGAAACTGAGTTTGCTCACTGTACAAGTCTAAATGGCCATTATGAAATATCAGTTATTGGATGCTACCGTTAGCCACTGCACCCATTAGATATTTGCATTTTAATTTGCAACTCAGTCGATTGTGCCACACCAGAATCAACAGATGCATTGTTCAAGGCTGCTAATATTAGTGTTGGTGATCATCTAAAATCTCCATGCAACCAATGTTTTTTTTTCTCTCTCCCTGTGATCTAATAATCTCGTTATGTGTTAGCTATGATCGAACAACCTCTTAAAGGAAAGAACATGATAGTTTACCGTCAAACATTTGCAGATTATTCATCTGATGTATTGTGTTGCACGGAGGTTTGTTTAAAGGGAGCTCAAGCCTGTGCCTCTAGCCCAGCTGGTTTGACTGGTAAAGCAGTAACAGGAGTGGTTTGACTTCAGCCCGGCACAATACACTCACACACTCATGCGCACCAGCCAACCCACCCACTCACACTCACACTCTCACACACCTGGCCCGGAGGCACAACTGTCCCCCTTAGCCTCGAGAGCCACATACACACCCAGTTTCTGATTGTCTAGCAATCACATCCTTCATCTTCAGCTGTGTGGGATGTAATCCACACTTGTTCACAAGGCCAAGATGTTATGCTGGAAAGATTTGTAAACCTGCGCTTGTCTTTAAACAATACTCAAGCAAATATTGGGGTGACACACACAATTAAAGATGGTTCCTGCTCTGACTCGGTTTGCGTTTCTAATTTGTTGACGTTTCTTCCAGTCTCCATGTCTCCTGTTGCTCTGCGAGAGGAGAGCGAAGCCAGTCCTGCAGAGGTGGCGTTGTGTCTGTCCACACGCAAGGACCACAGCATCTACACGTCCAACCAGACGTACACCGATGACCCTGGCGCCGTGGTCCCTGCCGCTGAGCTCCCATCATGCACTGCTCTAGGCCAGAGTCCAGAGACCGAGCACATCCGAAGCGCACACAACAATGCGTATGTGCGCACTAAAATAAAGGTGAGGCTTCTGGAAAATGTTTGCTTATGCTATGTTGATCTAAGATCTAGTTTCGGCAGCATTAAGCAGTCATATTCAGCTGTCGTGCCATTGTGCCACTACTAAACATAATTGATTTGTCTTTCCCTATTGCTTATGTGTGTGCTTATACTCATATCACTTTACTAGTTTGAATGTTTACCCTGCCGCTAATTTGGTCTTTATATTTCTCTCTTTGTTTGTTATTTGGCTGCAGGTCACCACAGGTGAGCTCCCCATAGAGGTCCCAGCCGCCGTCCCTAATGTAACTACAAGTCCACCTGTTTCTATAGGGACACCTTGCTCACCTCCTGTCGCTAAGTCATCTGCAGCGCAGTCACGTAGCAATACCTATGTTTGCCAGGTGTGTGAAAAAGTTTTCCAGTTCCAGCGCATGCTAAACAGACACCTGAAATGTCACAGCGAGCAGAAGAGGCACTTGTGCGACTTTTGCGGAAAGGGCTTCAACGACACCTTCGATCTCAAGAGGCATGTCCGCACACACACGGGTAAGAGTGTGCAATAAATCGATTGTTTTGCAATGTGACGTACATCCGAGTGTAATGGATTATCATAAAAGTAATCAAATGTAGGGCGCAGACTTGATTCTGTCATTTAGTTGCGGATTGGTTTTTAAGGTTGTGGGCGTTGCACTCAAAAACGAATGCAAGCTTGCGGTCGATTGCGGGAGGGTGCGATTTAAGGGGTGTATATATGCAGGTGGAGCTGGGGGAGGGGGAGGGTTTCAGAGGAACTCTGATAGTGCACTGCAGGACTAACTTACAGTAAACAATGAACCTGACTATTTAAATGTAAAGCAAGCAATCTCATTGGCTACAGGATCCTCAGAGGCCAATCAGCTTGTGCCATGCAGCAATGACGTGATTCACACATTCACGCCCTCTAGAGTTTCATGACTGAGCTAGATATACACACACCACTGTATGGCATAATTAAGATTTTCTAAATGAAACTCTTGAATGGTAGTAGAATATTAAGCAGCAAAAAAAACAGTTTTCAACATAATAATAGTTAATTATAAACTGCGATAAGCCCCCCTTTTTTGATTTCTGATTTTTGATCACATAAATGCAGCCTTGGTTAGACTTCTTTCAAAAAACACTAAACATTTTAATTACAAACTTTTGACTGGTAGAGGTGTGTGTGTGTGGGGGGGTTAAGGGTTAGGGGATACAGTTTGTACAGTAAAAAAATCATTATGTCTAAAGGAAAGTCCCCATAAAACATGGAAACCCAACATGTGTTTGTATGCGTGTGTGTCATATACACACACTGCTGTTCAAAAGTTTGGGATCCGTAAGATTTTAATGTTTTTAAAAGTCTCTTCTGCACACAAAGGCTGCATTTATTTATTTATTTGATTATAAATACAAAAAAAATTTAATATTGTGAAAAGTCATTACAATTTAAAATAACTTTTCTATTTGAATATATTATAAAATGTCATTTATTCCTGTGATCATTACTCCAGTGTCACATGATCCTTCTGAAATCATTCTGATATGCTGATTTTATTGCTCAAGAATCATATTAATGTTGAAAACTGTTGTGTAACATTTTTTTCTGGATTCTTTGATTTATAAAATGTTTAAAAGAGCAGCATGTATCTGAAATAGAAAGCTTTTTTAAAATAGAAAACAGTTATTTTAAATTGTAATAATATTTCACAATATTGCTGTTTTTTTTTTTTATTCAAATAAATAAATGCAGCCTTGGTGAGCATAAGAGACCTCTTTTACAAAAAAAGAAAGAAAATCGTACTGATCCCAAACTTTTGAATGGCAATGTGTGTATATATACTGTGTGTGTGTGTGTGTGTTTATATATATATACACACTGTATATATGGATGAATCATTGACAATAATATCTATAACATGCTTTTACAAAATAGATGGGGTGAATTTTCAATTCATGACAACTTGTTGGTTAGTTAAAAACATTACTGTCATTTCCTTCTCAGTTTGAATCCCTTGTTTTTCTTTCTTTTTTTCTTTTGTTAGCAGAACGTTTAGCTATGTTAGACCATCATACAAAACACCTTTCGCCTTTTTTAAAATGGAGAATATTCTTGTCGTCCTCCTGCAGGTGTTCGTCCATACAAGTGCAGTCTCTGTGAGAAGGCCTTCACCCAGCGCTGCTCTCTGGAGTCCCACATGAAGAAGATCCACGGCGTCACGCAGCAGTACGCTTACAAGGAGCGCCGCAGCAAGCTGTACGTCTGTGAAGAGTGTGGCCATACTGCGTCTACCCAGGATACACTGGTGCGCCACCTCCACACTGAACACCCAGACAGTGTCCTCCTGCGGGGCAAGGCGGCACGAAGACTGTCCCCGTCAGCGAACGCTAAAGACGACAACTCCCAACCTGGATCCCCTCTCTCACTCCATAGCGATGATACTGTTGGGTCAGGAGGATTTTCCATATAAAAGAAATTGGGTTTTTTTATACAAAAGGATGTGATTGACGTGCATTCTGATGATTTATCGTTTCATTCAGAGTACGAGGGAGGAGGGAAATTAAAAAGGGGAAAGTGAAGTCATGCAAAATGCTGTTTTTATGGCAGTACGCTGAAATTCAGTTTACACTTTTGTTGTACTTTTCCCTGTGAAACCACACAAAAGCAGACGATAATGTCCACTACAGCATAAGTATGCACTACTTCACTTTACATAATAATATTATTATTAACATTGATGAGATGAAACACAACTCAGGAGAAATACACACATGAATGTGATATTAAATGGCTCCATATGTACTGTGTGGGACATTAATTTTATGTAGCAATGTTTCAACACTAAAATAGTGCTTTTATGAACTCAACTGATAGTATTATCAGTGGTCTCTGAATGTTTGAAATTAGGGATCTTCGAAAGGGAATTAATTTTGTGTTGCTAATTACTGCTTTATGTAATATATATATATGCATACATTTATCATAAAAAGATTTATATTTATCCTGGTGTAGTTTTATATTTTCTGGGCTATGTTTAAACATTTTTGCTGTAGATCTTATACATTTGTTTTCACATGTAACAGCCTTCTCTTGTGTGTGTGTGTGTGTGTGTGTGTGTGTGTGTGTGTGTGTGTGTGTGTGTGTGTGTGTGTGTGTGTGTTTTCTTTTTGTTGTTTTTTTTGGGTGGCATTATTGTTTTTTGTACTTTTTTACATTCAAAAGCATCATCAATATAACATTGTAATTTCGTGTTACTGTTTGTTTAAATAAGTAGACTGTGTCATTCTATTTTGGTGATCATCACAACACACCTCAACAATAAATGTTTTTGTTGATGGTTTGAAAATTAGTGTGGTTCATTCACCTGTATTGTTTTAGGATTAGGCAACATTGCTATCAGAAACTGAACTTAATTATTGATATTTTAAAATAGGCTATTTTATTTTTATGCATGATTGCATGCATGCCAACTAGTAAGGGGGAGATAAGAGCAGTAAAGCATTTTGGAATTTGCATGTAAGAGAGAATGAAGGAGAGAGAGAGATTCAGTGGGTGTATGTTGGTGTTGGTGGATTCCAGATCCTTGTTTGGTCTTGTTCGTGGAATCCAGTGTCTGTTTCATTGTGGGGCCATCAGGCATTAACGGCTCAAAGGTGCCTATCCCTTTAGAACCGTTATTTTCAACACCAACAAATTCAGTACCACCCTTTTCAAACTGCACAAGAATTTCTCGTTTAAAACAAACAAGTTGAAGTGAAATAGGAAATGTACTTTTAAAGGGATAGTTCACCCCAAAATTAAAATTCTGTCCTCATTTACTCACCCTCATGTTGTTCCGAACCTGTATGAACTTCTATCGTCTGCTGAACATAAAAGAAGATATTTTGAAGAATGTCTAACCAAACATTTGATGGGCTCCATTGACTTCCATGGTATGGGGGGGGGGGGGGGGGGGGAATACTTTCCAAGTCAATGGGGCCCATCAACTGGTTACCCATATTCTTATTCTAAATATCTTCTTTTGTGTTCAGCGGAACAGAGAAATTCATATAGGTTTGGAACAACTTGAGGGTGAGTAAAGGATGACAGAATTTACATTTTTGGGTGAACTATCATTTGAAGTTGGGTAAATATACTGTAGTTGAATAATACTGTGAAACATTCACCGAAACATCATCCAACCATATTGTGAAATAATGGTAAAATAATTAGGCTATTATCCACTATGTCCACTTGACTAAAATGCACCATCAACCCTTTGAGTGGCGCTACTCGTGTTATCGTCGGACGGAAATGACGTAGTTACAGTACTTTCGAAAGCACAGGCGGGGAAACAGTGTGGCAACAAAACTAGGTAAATAAAGATTCACAGTTAATATAATATAATAACTTACGTGCATTTTAAAAGATGATCACTCTAGCTAGCATTTAATCCGAATTTTAGCACAATGTTTGCAAGCAAACAAGCTCATTTATGTTTTAGTAATCATGCATAACGTTACATATTTCAGCTTTGGAGTCTTTGTTGCCTAGTTATCTAACGTTAATCTTGTATAATGCGGTTGCAAGTTGCAACAGTTGCATTACAAACATTTAAGCAACTTGAATCTGTTTAACTTCTTCTAGGATGTAAATATGCCTGGGGATCAGGTGTGTTTGGGTCGCAAGCGCCCGCTGCCCCAGTGCCCGAACCCTCTGTTCCTGCAGTGGTTAACAGAGTTACGGGACAGCGCCAAAGAGAAGGGCCTGAAAACACAGTACGTGTACCAGAAGGTGAGCGAAGGTGTTGGGTTTAATAGTCCTAATTTACAGCTGCGCCATATTTGATTTTTAAGGGGAATGAACGCGAGGCTGTGAGTGATATGGGTTTTTTTTTTTTAATGTGTTTTTGTAATTGAAGTCTTTTTTCTTTTTCTTTTTTACATTTTTAACAGAACAAAACAAACTCAAAATAAAATAATAAAAAGACAGTTTCCAAACATAATTAATTCCCATTTGCATTTTGGGCTCAGTATCACTAACCACTACAGACAGAAACAAAAAGGATACATTAAAATCAAATTATAAAGTGTCTATATAAAACAACAGACTTAACAAAAGAGAAGCGCACTAAAAGAAATAACAAAATCCATCAATCTCAGTCAAAAACCCGTCCCCAAGATTTGTCAAAGCCCTCCAGTCTTTTTCCAGTAATAAACAAACACTGTTAAGTTGTTTTGATTGATACTGTGAAGCAGCTTTGATACAATCTGTATTGTGAAAAGCGCTATATAAATATATTTGACTTGACTTGACTCCATATCATCCTTAATCCTGGCCAAGAATTTTTCATATGACACAATTTTCAGCATATTGTCTATCCACCTGTTAAACTCTGGAGGAGATGGATCCTTCCACACACTAAGAATCACTCGGGCAACTGTAATCACCCCCACCTTTATAACCACAAAATCATATTTCAAAACTCCCGGTAACACAGACTGATCCCCTAATAAGCACAATCTTGGTGACATGGGTATTGTCAGGCCAATCCACCTTCCTATACTGTCCAGTACTCTTTGCCAAAAGGGGTAAACTGTCCCACATTCCCAAATAGCATGCAGAAATGTCCCTGGCTCTGAGCTGCATTTCCAGCATATATTATTGGGCATAATTCCCATTCTATGAAGTTTAGAAGGAGTAAAGTACCACCTATGTATTAATTTGTACTGAATAAATTTACCTCTGGCCTCTCTTATATATTTATTGGAGTGTGACAGAACTTTGCACCAATCTTCTTTACCAATGACGCAACTCAGATCTCTCTGCCAGATGATCCTGAAATTTTCACATATCTCTTTTTTTAAATTGTTAAATATTTTGTAGAGAACGGCTGCTCAATGAGCTGAACCAGATAATTCTAAAAACTCCACCACTGCATTTGTGCTTTGAGTAAGTTTTCCTTTGGTAATACAATCCCTTATTTGTAAATATTTCCAAAAATTAGTTTTCCTAATCAGACCATATTTTTGGGTTATTTCAACAAAGGACATAAACACTCCCTCTGAATAAAGATCACTTATCCTGTGTATGCCTTTGGCCAGCCATTCATTCCAATATACAGTTTTTTTTCTCAATCTGTGCAGCAGAGTTGTTCCATAACGAGGCATAAGGTTGTCTTAAATGAGATGCTCCACACATCTTGTGTACCTCTACCCAGACAGCTTTAGAATACATGAGTACCGGGTTATGATGAAAGTCCTGTCTATTATTAGCTGGTCCCTGTGAGAGAACATCCAAGGGTGTAAAAGGGCTCACTAGTTTTGAATGTGTTTTTGGATTGTTCTGCTAGCGAAACACTGCAAAAATATCTTTCCATGAAACTTCAGTAGACAAAAAAACTTTTGACATTTTGAGCTGTGGATAATTATAAAGTGATCTTGGAGCTTTATAAATACAGTTTTTTTTGTTGTTGTTTTTTACAGAAAACACGGTCATCGCCATTAAAAAATATGCCTCTCCCATACGTAAAATACATATTTTACAGGCACTGTTATGAAATTGAAAACCACTACATCATAGTGGTCATAAACACAGCTCAAACCTGCTGTGTAACACGAGAATGAACCTCATTGGTTCTCGCGTGTCAAGCGACCATGCTTGAACTTCAGTTTATCACAACTGATGTGTGAGTTGATGAATGTTTATGTGAATAAAAGCCTAAATTCAATCTGTTCATCATATAAATTGATCGAGTCTCTTCAGAAAATGTGGACTAAACCGCTCAATTCATATGGATTAGTTTTACAATCTCTTATGAACTTTTTGAAGCGTCAAAGTGGTAGTTGCATAGCCGTCAATGGAGGAATATAAAGCTTTCAGATTTCATCAAAAAGACATTAATTTGTGTTCTAAAGATGAACTAAAGTCTTATGGGTTTGGAACGACATGAGGGTGAGTAAATAATGACAGAATTTTCATTTTGGTTGAACTATCCCTTTAACATCTAGCATGATTAAATTGTGCTAGATGTTAAAGGGATAGTAAAATATTTTATATTCTACTACATTTACTACAATAATTTATAAAATCAACCTGCGGCACCTGTTTAAAAGTATCCCAATTCCACTGGAAAATCACGGACTTGACAACCCTGTCACAGCCTTGCTTTCATACCTGTCTTGGCGCTGCTCTGAATAAGGTATATTTCGAATGTTTGATTGAACTGACTGTAAACACGTAAATGATCTCATTAGAAATATGCTAAACTGATTAATCTCAGCAACTGCAATGTAATGCTATTTCACAGGCCATAAACTCTCTGAAAAAATATCCTCTCCCGCTAAAAAACGGAAAAGAGGCGAAGATCCTGCAGAATTTCGGCGACGGGATCTGCAAGATTTTGGACGAGCGACTGCAGAAGCATTATCGGGAAAACGGTGCGTTACTTCAGTGTAGTGCACATGTAGATTTTCCCTTTATCCACAGACTTCCGTTTAATCTACTGGCATTATGTTTACATGCGTCTGTTTGTTTGTTTTTCCTGGAAGGTCCTGATGCTCCAATCCACTTGACTAGCCATACAAGCAACGTGGCTTCCTCTAAACAGATGGACGGACCACAGAAGAAACTTTCCGGAAACTTGGGTGAACATATGGTCGGTTTAAAGATGAAATGAGTTGTGCGTACTTGTCTTAGAAAACTAATGACAAATCTCTTGCAGAAACGAACGCAAATAGAAGGAAGAAAGGAGAAGGGAACTAGGAAAAAGAGAGAGTATGTGCCACAGAAGAGGTCTGGAGGTTACGCTGTAATGCTCACTTTGTACAGACACACACAGGTAAACCAAGCACATTTAATTGTCATGTTATTTTGCATTATAGCCCACAGTTATCGTTAAAAATGACTTCCCCAATGGAGAAAATGAATGTGATTATTACTCCCGACTGCTGCACTGTATTTTGTCCTGTGTTTTGTAGATGCCTGGCAGTAAAGGCTTCATGTTTAGGAATGAACTACAAACTGAGGCACAACCCTTGTGTGATAAGTCCTTCACAGTGGTGAGGCCAACAACACACTTCTACAAAGGATTTACCGCTACAACCGCTATCTGTAGCCTAAGCATGTCTCATCCCTCTACATATAGCCTGATCTTGGTAGCAAGTACACGGCGTGGTCCTCGGTGAGCACGCTCATTCAGAAAGACCTGTTGGTGAAGACACACAATCCCGCCAGGTAAACCAGATCTGCCATCACAGCGCAGGAGTTCTGCTTTCACTTGAGTTACGTTGATCTTCATCGCTCTCTTTTCCGTTTTATTTCAGGTATTCATTGACTGACCGGGGTTTGGCTTTAGCTGAGAGGCTTGATTCAGAAGAGACGGGGATGACTAAAGGACATGTGGACCAAAAGAGTGAAGAAGAAAACTCTCATGATGGACCAGATGTTGTAGACCTGACTTTGGAGGAGGAGGAGGATGAGGAGCAGGAAGAGAAAGACAAAGCGAGTCGGTGGGTACAAGCAGGTTGGCTTTTGCGTAAGAGCAAGGACATATGTTAAAGTTAAATCTTTTTCGTTTTTTAGATCATATCGGGCTATTTTGAGTAGCAAAAGTCACTAATATTTAAAATCAACAATTCTTGTTATTTTATGGATTATTGTAGTATTTAGTATAAATTATTTATTTTTTATTTTAAAAAAATTCATGTGCCCTTATAATCTTTAACCAGAATAACTCCCCCGTCCCTCATGCACAACATCTCTTCTCTGATAATGTGTTTGCTGGCATGAGGGCGGGGCAACCTGTCAGTCACATGACATCCACCAATAGCAAACCACAACCATTCAAGCTGCTTCACTCGAATATGCGTCACAATAGGGAAGAAAAGACTATCACAACTTCTGGTTCATGCTGACTTCACAGTTTTATTTTTCTGTCTCATGTCTGGAATCGAATGAATGTTGGAACATAGGTGTGTCCATAGTTATATTGATTGTAGCCAGCCCAGGACATTAACACCTGGCAACCCGCCGAATGCAGGTGGATTTATTGCACATAATTTTACTCCTTCCCGCAGATTTTGTGCTCACAACCAAAGTGTCGCACATAAAAGCCGCATCTCATGCTAAATTGAGTTCTTTTTTGCTGCTTATTGCGCTTAAATTGTCAAATACACACAAAATAATGTCAAAATCCCGGTCTTGACGAGTATTCAGTAATGTTTTAAGTGAACTTAAACAGTTGAGAAAGAAAACCCATGTGTAACATATGTGATATACCTGCTGTCAAATTATGAGATAAATTAAAAAACATCTATGGAGAGCCTAAGTCCCTCCCCTCCGCTTCCGGCTCATGGGACCTTATTTAGGAAAAAATATGTATGGTAGTCAATAGCGAAAGACAACTTATCTTTTTATTCTTTCTGAACTGTGCTCTGAATTACACATATGATGTTTGTCAATTTAAAAGATAATTCTGAAAGTCAAGAAAGTTGCAGTTTGTCATAAAACAGAGGAGTAAAATTTGATGAACTAAATGAACTACATCTCCCGGGAAGCGAAACAACGAGCATGAGCACATGTGTGCAGTCTGGTACAAAACACTCAGGCATGACGGCGTAACGTTACGATTATAACGTAAGACTATAGAAACAATGACAGACGTTAGCCTTTGTGGTTTGTAGTCTTTGTAATTACGTATTTTCACAGTCTTATACCTCAACAGTTTTACATCAAACTGCGACTTTCTTGACTTTAAAATGTATCTTTTAAATTGACAAACATCATATGTGTAATTCAGGGCACAATTCAAACGAGATCAAAATATTTGTTGTCTCTCCCCATTGACTACCATATAATATTTTTCCGAAATAAGGTCCCATGGTGGTCGACCGGAAGGGGAGGGACTTAGGCTCTCTATATGGCTGTTTTTCCCCATTGTGTTAGTTCATATTGTGGCTAGTGAAAATGCTGAGTGGCTAGTAACTTTGGAAAAGCGCTAGTAACTTTGGAAAAGCACTAGCCACAGTGGCTGGTGAGCAGAAAAGTCAATGTCAAGCCCTGATTGTAGCATATTAACTGTATGCACATTCCTTCGCTTATAGGTGCAGCCAGTCTTCAGAAAGGCCTACTACAGCTCTGTCTATGAACCAGGCCAGAGGTCTTCTCTCCGAGTCTAATGCCAAAGGAGAATCCCAAACTTTAGAAACAGTGAGAACAGCAATGGGTTGGCATCTTCCACCTGGATCTTATGACATTGTATTGTGCGTTGACTTCGTCGAGACAACTGGGTAAGATAAAAAGTTTGGGTGTGGTTATATCAATATCATTTTATTTCAAGTTTAATGCGTTGTTTTATAAAACAGGAAATGGCTAGTAGAATTATATTAGTTACATTGTGAACTCAACAGGGGAAGCAGTGGTCGTAAACAAGAATTGGCCAAGGAATTGCAAAGGAATGCTGTGACCTTTGACATCAGGAAACTGAATGTAGGGGACTTCCTTTGGGTGGCCCGTGAGAAAGTGACACCTGTTCCTGGTAGGTCAACTTTGAGATGCAGGACTAGTTAATAACCAGCAGGTGGCAATGTTGTTCTTCTCAGAAGAAATGCACAAGAAAAGTTTAATAGATGATCATATTAAAAAAAGAATGCATTTTTATTTATATAGAGCCTTTCCAACACCCAAGGTTGCTAGGTTTAAGGAACAATTGAAGATCAAATTAAGTCATTTTTATACAGTGGTTCTCAATCTTTGGGACTTTGTCCGAGACAATATTCAAAGGCCCTCTTATCTAAGCTAATATGTATTTCTAGTACTTATGTTGTAGTAAACAAAAATTATGATGTCTGTTTAATTTTGTATGTTTATTTTTAGCATTTTAATAAAGATTATGTCAATATACATGTAACTTTATATAATTTTAAGACGTATTGAGGCCTTCGTGGAGGTTTGCTGATGCCTTAAAGTGAGCCCCGGCCCCCTGATTGAGAACCACTGTTTTAATAGTTTAATCCATAAAGGGTTCTGAAATAGCTATAATAATAAGAATTGCTGACATGTATAACAAGCATGTGTGTGTGTTCCTCCAGGGCAGCTGCGTCCACCAGTGGGAAAAGAGCTAGTGCTTGACTACATCATTGAGAGGAAGAGGATGGATGATCTCTGTGGAAGCATCATAGATGGACGCTTCAGAGAGCAGAAGGTTGAGGAAATTCTGTTTATAAAACTTTGTTGCATTTTTTTCCCCAAACCTGCAGAAACTGAAAATAAATAAGTCGATTTTTAGATTATTTTCTTTACTTTTTCCTTCATTTATTTTTTGTAAAATTGATTTTATGCAACTTAAATTTAATATGTATTTATTCTGTCACGTATTTTTCATATATTTGTATATTTACACATTTATTTATTTTTATATTTCCGTGCGACACTGAAATGAAAGGAGACGGCCCTTGCTTAGCTCCTGCGCGTCATTGGTTGAGAGCTCACGTACAGCAATAGAGATCCGAGTTTGCAAAGAGATCAACTGGAGAGTTGCAAGTTATTTTTAACGATCCGTGTCGATGTCGAATTGTTTCGTAGTGTGTTCTTTAAACTTTAAAATGGTCAGGATAAACACTTATTCAACATTCGTAAAGATACAGATTCAAAGGAATTCGTATACCGGTTTAGTTTGCACATTGGGACTCTGTATCTTCTACCAGAGGGAAGCACTTCATACTGTGAATACAAGTGAGTTTGGTCCCCCAAAATGGTCTGTACCTGATTAAGAATGCAGTTCTCATACAAGTATTAAAGATTAATATTAAAATATTCTTCTTGCCCAACAATTTTCAGTGCTGTCAACACCAGGTGTACTAATTTAGATTTAAGCTGTACAGTTATTTTCCCAAACCATACCTAACGATACTTTCTAAAACAGCATCATTCATAATCGTCTTATTAACCCCATAAAAACATTATCTGCGTAAGAAGTATAGTCTCTGGTGTAGACGAGTGCATATCCATTCAGTGTGTGTTTTCCAAGTAAGTGAGCTGTCTATATAAACACACACATACTTGTAAGTCTGTATAACCACTTGACGATGGTCACCTATACATTTTAGTTCGAATATAATCTCCTCTATTTTCTTTGTATTATTATTATTATTATTATTAAATCACACCAGTCAACAAACCTGCTTATTTCTGGCTGGTAGATGGTACTAATAATATCATCTCCATAAAGTAAACTTAAAATGGCTGTGTCATCTGAATATTTACAAATATAGTTTTGTGAATGCTTACTTGAACATTAATTTGTAAATAGTGTCAAAAGTATTGGTGAACTGACACAGCCTTGGGGAACACCTGTGCTAAATGTTCTTTTGTTGTGAAAGACGATCGTTTACTTTTACACACGCTGAGTTCTATCAGTTAAGAGCGATAAATACCACCTTATGATAGATGGGTTTACACTCAACTGCTCCATCTTTGTAATTAACAAGGCCAAGGGCGGTTGGATAGTGTTAAAAGCAGAGCTAAAATCGATAAAAAGTAAAGAGCATAAGCTTTGTGAGCCTCTAAATGCTTCAGAACTAAGTGCATAATGCTGTTTAATAGCATCCTCAGTTCCCCTCACTTGTCTATAGGCAAACTGTAAAGGATCTAAATTGATAGCAACCTCTGCTTTTAACATAGACTCAATGCACTTTTCAAAACATTTCATCATATGGAGGTTCGGTCCTTCATATTTATCTGCTTTCTAGATATAGTGAAATGTAGAGCTGCACGATTCTGGATAAATTGGAATTAATTATATATATATATACACTCACCGGCCACTTTATTAGGTACCCCATGCTAGTAACGGGTTGGACCCCCTTTTGCCTTCAGAACTGCCTCAATTCTTCGTGGCATAGATTCAACAAGGTGCTGGAAGCATTCCTCAGGGAGTTTGGTCCATATTGACATGATGGCATCACACAGTTGCCGCAGATTTGTCGGCTGCACATCCATGATGCGAATCTCCCGTTCCACCACATCCCAAAGATGCTCTATTGGGTTGAGATCTGGTGACTGTGGAGGCCATTTTAGTACAGTGAACTCATTGTCATGTTCAAGAAACCAATTTGAAATGATTAGAGCTTTGTGACATGGTGGAAGTAGCCATCAGAGGATGGGTACATGGTGGCCATAAAGGGATGGACATGGTCAGAAACAATGCTCAGGTAGGCCGTGGCATTTAAACGATGCCCAATTGGCACTAAGGGGCCTAAAGTGTGCCAGGAAAACATCCCCCACACCATTACACCACCACCACCAGCCTGCACAGTGGTAACAAGGCATGATGGTTCCATGTTCTCATTCTGTTTACGCCAAATTCTGACTCTAACATCTGAATGTCTCAACAGAAATCGAGACTCATCAGACCAGGCAACATTTTTCCAGTCTTCAACTGTTCAATTTTGGTGAGCTCTTGCAAATTGTAGCCTCTTTTTCCTATTTGTAGTGGAGATGAGTGGTACCCGGTGGAGTCTTCTGCTGTTGTAGCCCATCCGCCTCAAGGTTGTGCGTGTTGTGGCTTCACAAATGCTTTGCTGCATACCTCGGTTGTAACGAGTGGTTATTTCAGTCACTGTTGCCCTTCTATCAGCTCGAACCAGTCTGGCCATTCTCCTCTGACCTCTGGCATCAACAAGGCATTTCCGCCCACAGAACTGCCGCTCACTGGATGTTTTTTCTTTTTCGGACCATTCTCTGTAAACCCTAGAGATGGTTGTGCGTGAAAATCCCAGTAGATTAGCAGTTTCTGAAATACTCAGACCAGCCCTTCTGGCACCAACAATCATGCCACGTTCAAAGTCACTCAAATCACCTTTCTTCCCCATACTGATGCTCGGTTTGAACTGCAGGAGATTGTCTTGACCATGTCTACATGCCTAAATGCACTGAGTTGCCGCCATGTGATTGGCTGCTTAGAAATTAAGTGTTAACGAGCAGTTGGACAGGTGTACCTAATAAAGTGGCCGGTGAGTGTATATATATATATATATATATATATATATATTTTTTTTTTTTTAAGTAGGATTGAATGAATGATTCAAGGACTCACTCATAGATTTCACTTTTTTTTATTACGGGAAAAATAGGTGTTTTTGAACAAATCTCTTAAAAGAATGATTCAATGACTACTATATCTTTTCACATGTCGCCACCAACTGGTCTAATGATGTAAATGATGCAATCTTTTAAAAAAAAATTGACCGAAATATAAACTTTTATCCCAGACCTTCTGTGATAATGTGAAGCTTGTTGTCATTTTGGAATAAGACCGCGTCTCTGTCTGTTTGAATCGAAGTGAACAGATTTGTGACTTTCCTAATATATGTTCCATTATTTTCCTGTTTCTCTTTTCTGTTGCCTTCCCATTCTCAGTTTCGCCTGAAGAGGTGTGGTCTGCGTAAGCCCATTTATCTAGTGGAGGAGTGTGGATCGGCGGCGGCTCATCTCAGTTTACCTGAGAGTACATTACAACAGGCTATAGTCAATACACAGGTATACATCAGGCCGTAAAGACAGGCATGCAATAGTGGATGATGTGATTGAATGTGTATAATTGCAGGTGGTTGACGGCTTCTTTGTGAAGCGTGTACAGGATGTGAAAGAGTCTGTTGCTTACCTCACCATCATGACCAGATACCTTCAGAAACTCTACCAGGTTTGTTTTAAAGCCCAACCAATGCAGCATGTGTAAATCACTTCTTTAATTCATGTTTTGTTTTTTTTGTTTTTTTCAGAATTGCACATTATTCTGTCGCTCCAGAGAGCTGGAGGGTGATAGAGAAGATGAGATGGAGAAAACAGCGAACCTCTCCTGCTCTCTCATGGCCTTCACAGAGTTTAACTATGGGGCTGTCAAGAACAAGGTAATGTGAAAACAAATCAGAAACTAGGGTTGCACTGATATTACAATCATGTATGATATGATTTGCTGACATGAAAATAGTTATTGCTGATACGATAAATGGCCATTTTAAAAATCTATGCTAAAATAAAAATACAACGCTAAAAACAAAAACCAGTATTTTGATGCTTGAGTGAATTTAGACATCACAATATTATAATGTACACTGTGAAATAGGTTAATTCTTTTGAAATGAGTCTTGTAAAAAGATTAAATATATATATTTTATATATTTTTTACACTACGCAAGTTAACATGAACAACCAATGATAAATACTTCTAAAGCATTTATTCATTTTTAAACACCAGCATCTGAACACAAGAAACCATGACTGCGTTTATTGGACGCAAGTCATTTTAATTTATGATGGAGGAAAAAAGGATTTTCTTCATAAATCGAATAATTTCTAATCAAATCTCTTTCTCTCGTACAAACACAGTGCCAGACAGTGCGGGAAGTATTTGCTCGACAGCTTATGCAGATCAGTGGAGTCTCTGGTGATAAAGCAGCCGCTGTTCTCGAGCACTACGGCACAGTCAGCAGGTGTGACTCGCTTTCTACTATTGCACAAACATATTAAAACTCATTTACATTCCACTATCACAGACACTCGCTCATTAAATTATAGTGTATCGCCCCGCTATCACAGACACCACTCTTCAAAACACTCATTGTCATTCTACTATTGCAGACACTTACTGACGTATGAATTAAAAATGCCTTTTTATGTGTTCCTTATGCTTGACAGCTCATTGGGATTGACAGAAGGTCATGTCATTTTACCTGTTAAAGAGACAGTTGACCCAAAAATGAAAATTGTGTCATTTACTCACCCTCAAGTTGAGCACAAAAGAAGATATTTTGAAGAATGTTGGACAAATGATGACACAATTTCCATTTTGGGGTGAACTGTCCCTTTAATCGTTTGGAAAATGCTGTTGCCCCATCTCATGACTTTGCTTGTTTTATGTTTTTCTTTGTTTTTAAACCATTCATTCTTTCTCTAGTTTATTGCAAGCATATGATCAATGCTCCAATGAAACGGAAAAAGAGAAGCTTCTTTCATCCATCAAATATGGAAAACTCAAAAGGTTTGTACTGATTGTAAAGATACTAGAATCTAGTGTTTTGATAGATCTCTCTTTGTTCTCAAAAGTGACTTGCATTTTATTTATCAAAATATTATGCTGCAAAATTATTTTCAACATTGATAATAATCATAATAAATGTTTCTTGAGCAACAAATTAGCATATTAGAATGATTTCTGAAGGATCATGTGACACTGAAGACTGGAGTAATGATGCTGAAAATTCAACTTTTATCACAGGAATAAATTACATTTCAAAATATAGTCAAAAAGTTACTTTAAATTATAATAGTATTTCACAATAGTACTGTTTTTACTGTAATTTTGGCCAAATAAATGCAGCCTTGGTAAGCAAAATAGATTTTATTATTATTATCATGATATTTCTGGTTGATATTTTATGTTTTTATTGTTATTGCAGGAATCTTGGACCAGCCTTGAGTCGCACTATATATCAGCTTTACTGTACATGTGGACCTCTGTCATAGGCTTTCACCTTATTAAAAACACAAATGTGTGGTGCATTTGAGTTTAATCATTGTATTATAATTTTTCTGTTTGTTGACTCAAATAATGTCCAAAGCAATAAAGGTGTAAATTACAGTTTTTCGAACCCCTAGTATTGCGTTTTATTTTAGCTGCTCTGTTTCTAAACAAAAATTGCTGTGCCCAAGCGTTTAAGCACTGAAGCGTATGATTTCAAAAAGGCAAAATATGCATTAAAATGAAGGAGAGGGGGTATTGGTGCAATGTATTGGGACTATCAGTATGGGGCAGGTGGGTGACATCAGTGTAAAGAAAGGAGAGTTGAGGTAACAGCTGCTCTGCCTGCCAGGAGATTGGAGGGGGACACCGCTGACGTCCTCTGAATCTCCCTCAAGGAGAAACGCGCATATCGACAAAAACAAGTAGGGCGCCTTCCTTGCCTCGTATCCACGCGGGGTGCTTTCGTGGAAATGTGTTTTGACGTTTTGCTCCCTGCATCCCGCGGACAGACAGGCGCGTGCGTTTTAATATCCTCGATGCATTCTCTTCTCTTCATCCATGCTTGTGGATACACCGCCGTAATGCTAATAACAACAACAACCTCATCATCATCACAGTGAAGGTGATGCAGCTGGTGGTGAAATGGTCAGAACCGAGAGACTATTTGAGAAAATATGCATGCACTTGATGTGTGAAGGGCAAGGAGGAGACGGAGAATGCGGGTGTGTGATGTGGCGTTGATCATGCGACTTCGCCCAGGCTGCCGCTCTCCAGAAACCGTGTCGGGACCCGCGGCGGATGGGGTGACTTACCCGCAGGGGAAGACCCGGACCAGGGCCGCCAGATCCTGAAGCACCCCCGGTGTGTCTCCGCGGGACGGAGGGAAGATGCAGGAGGCGACGGAAGATGGACAGGAGCCCATACTGAACGGAGCTGGGAGGGAAGAGGTGAGACGAGGGCGTGTATTGGCCTATATTCTATGAAAATTTTGCGTTAGCATATACAGGTGAGTTGTTATTGTTTAGTACTAACTGTGTTGGGCACAGGAAGACTGTCACGACGTGTATGGCAAGCCATTTAAACATCTGTATTGAATTGATAGTAAGTAATCCAGCGACTATAAGGTTCTTTTTTCTTTTTACTCTTTCACTTGTAACTATTTGATGCACTTATTCTAACACTGACTGGCATTTATTCCAGTTTTACTATACGTATTCATTAGATATAGACAGTATCATAAGACTATTACTAACTGGTTGATTTTTTTTTTTTTTTTTACACTTAATTTTAAGGTCTTATGTTATGTTACACTGTACTTATAGTAGTCAACGTTTGAAGTGGATCAAAAAAGTTCAAAGTTATTCATTCATTCATAGATTCCAATAACAATTTGAAATAGTCATCATAGTAATATTGAATAGTAACTAAGAATATTGTATGTAAGTATTATCTAATGAATATAGTTACAAGTGAAGATACCAGTCATTATTGGACTAATTAGTAATTCAAAATACGTTCTAGTAACATTAAAATATACATTCTAAACAATGATGGGTTGTTTTAACCCAAATTTGGGTAAAATATGGACAAACCCAAATGTTGGGTTAAAAATGTAATTTCAAATTTTAACCCAACTTCAACTTTCACTTTCAACTGTAAATTTTTTAATTGCATTTTTAACCCAACATTTGGGTTTGGCCATATTTGACCCAAATTTGGGTTGAAACAACCCAGCATTTTTTTGTGTACATACTAGTTGGTTTTAAGGAATAAATGCCAAATGCTACATAAAACAGCTTGCCATATGATGTGATCAAGCTGCACTCTGACGAGTTTTTCAGGCTCAGGATTTTAGTAGTTTAATATTGAGACCTGTTTACCATTACTATATCTATCCATAAACGAGCATGCTGCAGTATATTGCAAGTTAGCTATGTGATTTTATCTCTGCACTGCAGTTACTAGTTTCCCTAGTTTTTTGGCCTTAATCTGGCATTCTTTTATCTTATAAAAAAGTGGTCATATTGGCACAATATGCTATTGTACAAAAAGTATTGTGGTGGCACTTTGATGGTATCAGATACTAGCATACTGAATGATTTCCATGTTCAAACACCATGGTGTTTACATAGTATTTTAAGCTACTGTTTGGAGGTGTAAAAGAGATCATAATGCTTCTCTCAAGTACAGTATCTCCACTGTTGCACTAAATTGGTATTCCACAATTTTAGGTTTTCTCTTCTGAGGTTAATAATCATAAGATGTTACTAAAGAAAGTGTGGCACCCATAGCACACAGTATAAGTAATGCAACTGTGTATTATAAATGATATTCTCCACACAGGGTAATAGGCCTATGCTCGTCTTTTCCCTCAGGTCTTAGCAGAGCATTTCCCTTGGGGCTGTTGTTTTACTATCATCCTTGGCAAAGTCTCTTTCTCGCTCTCTAATTTTGTTTGCCACTGTATAGCTCCTTCCCTTTCACATTTATCATGCTCTTGCGTCTGATAGATGTCCTCTCACTGGTACAACATCTGATCAAAGGAGGTCTGTGTTATTTCAAGGCAGATAATGACTTCGGTTAGGTCAACATATCTGTGACAAAGCTCAAGACCAGAGTCAGCACTGACCTCTATATTAACAAACTACAGCATTTCTCTCTCTCTCTTCTCTCTATTCATTTATTGGTGCTGAGTTAACCTCCTGTCTCTTGTTACATGAAGATCAATAGAAATGGAGACAGCTTGAAGGGAAGAAAGCTGTGAGCCATATCAGAAATGCAATTTTAAATTAATTTGGATGGCAGCAGGAATAGGCTACAACAGATAGTGAGCTATTTCTGTACATTTTAGGATGGCATTAGTGTGGCACCGGCTGTTGAAGGATAATGAAAGACTGAAGTCGAGTGAAAGACTGGCTTTGACGTATCGCTCTACCTTCCAACATATTTTTATCTCTCTGTAAAGATATCATATTCCTTCTTTAACCAATATTTTTCTATGTATTATGTTCCTCTCTCTTGCATGGTCACCCTTTCTATTTCAGTTCATTTCTATTAACCCAACCACAAATTCAGAATTGTAAGATTGAAGTTGCTACGTCAGTCATCAAAAGGCCATAATCCTCTTGCTACTTCACTCAGATGTTAAAATATGAATTTGTGGTTTAGTTAATAGAAAAAGACTGAAAGAAAAAGGGCTACGGAAGAGAGAAGTTCATAATGAAGAGTGTTCAAGAAAGAGAGTGCAATTGCTCATTTAAAAGCTAGAAAGAGCAAATTTTCTTTTTTTTTTAAGTGTCATTACATGGACTAGTTTTATTGTGATTTTTTTCCCCCACAAACTTCACTTGCATCCCAATAAGAGTTACGAACATGCAACCAACAGTGTTATAAAAATGCTTTAAAATTTCAGAATACAGTGGATAATAATACTTTTTTTCATGAAAACCATTATGCTTAAAATAATATTCCATTATAAAATGGCAGACAGTGCTTCTCAACAAGTGTTAACCTACCTATTCTGACAATTGCACTAAAGTACTTGTCTGGAAGCCAATGGCTGTTGTAAGGTAATTAAGTCTATTTCACAACCTAATCTGCATGCAATTTATTGCAGGCCAGGCCAAGAGTGTTGTGTAATTTAACCATACTTTTAAGTAATTAAGTATTTTTTTCTCCAGGCAATTAATAATGTTTTGCCCAAAAAGCCCCAACTAAATATGTTTTTTTTTACCCTTGTCCACATTGCTCACTCTCATATTCTCTCTGTCCTCACCTCTCTGCAGCAGCGTCCGGTGAAGCAGTCCTTGGCTTCCTCTCTGTGTCGAGAGTCTCACTGGAAGTGTCTTCTCCTCACTCTGCTCATGTTCGGCTGTTTCGGCACACTGGCCTGGTGCAAGCTGTGCAAAGTCCCAGTACTCGCTCCGACAGAGCCCGAAGCTGCGGTTGTGGAGCCGGGAGACCCCTCCACGACCTCAGCTAGCTCTGGTGCCTACATCCCCCTTGAAGTGGATCTGGATAGTCCCTGTTCCAGTGGCTACATTTATATTCCTCTGGCTTTCCTGGCCATGCTGTACGTGGTCTACCTGGTGGAATGCTGGCACTGCTACTCCAAGACGGCCATGTTGGCTCAAGCAGAGGTTACGGAGGTGTACGAGCGCGTGCAGAGGCTCCAGCAAGCAACGCCGTGCATCTGGTGGAAGGCCATCAGTTACCACTATGTGCGACGGACAAGACAGGTGACGCGCTATCGCAACGGGGACGCCTATACCACTACGCAAGTGTATCACGAGCGTGTAAACACCCATGCGGCGAGCTCAGAGTTTGACTATGCGAGGTATGGTGTCAAAGACGTTTCGAAGGAGTTAAGGGGCTTAAAGGATCATCCAGCGGTACGGCTGCGTTTCACTAAATGCTTTAGTTTTGCTAGTGCCCGAGCGGAGGCTGCCTACCTGACCCAGCGTGCACGTTTTTTTGGTGAAAACGAAGGTCTTGATGATTACATGGAGGCACGGGAGGGAATGCATTTGAAGAACGTGGATTTCCGTGAGCACATCCTAGCTTTCCCAGACCCGGCCAGACAGCCCTGGTACGCCAGGCGTAAAGTTTTCTGGCTGGCCTCGGCTCTGCTCCTGTCCTGGCCGCTTCGGGTTGTGGCGGAGTATCGCACTGCGTATGTGCACTACCACGTAGAGAAACTGTTCGGCGATGCTGATGATAACAATACGGGTGACGTAACTGAGAACAGCGGGGGCATGGAGAATGGAAACGGACCTGGACCTGGCACTGGATCAAGCTATCGTGCCATTTCACGAGTAAATACGGTGGACATGACGGAGCTAGAGTGGCACATTCGCTGCAACCAGCAGATGGTGCCCAGTTACTCCGAGGCCCTGTTGATGGATCCCGGTTCGGGTGCCAACACTCCTCCAGCCGGGCAGGGGACTAACTCGACACCGGTTGGCCCGTCTTATCCAGTGGCCTTCGCTTCGGCTTACTTGCTCCAGAACTGTCCTCGTTGCCGCCGCACCACAAGCAGTGCTTCCCTGCCATCCCGGCTGAGAGGCCCGACCGCAACCCTGCTGAGTGGAACCATGGCTGGGATGAGATCTAGTGCATCAGGAGGTGGTCCTGGAGGCCCGGGACGGCTGGTTCTGAGCAGGAGCGGCTTCTCATTAGGACGGCTCCAGGCTCCTCGCCCGTCATCCCTCTTCCACTCCCGAAGTGTAGGTGGAGGGCTAGCAGCAAGAGGAGAAGAGGCAAGTGGAGGAGGTGGTTTCTTAGGCTTGGGAACTAGACAAGACGAAGAGAGCAGACGAGTGCTGGAGGGAGAGGGTGATGAGGATGAGGAGGTGGCGAATGTGGTGGAAAGAGAAGAAGGTGAGGGAGACGGGGAAGAAAGAGAGCAACAAGAGGATGCAGAAGAAGGGGAAGCAAGGGAAAGAGACAGACCTCCTACATATCAGGATGCCCTTTTCTTCCCAGTGTTGATTGTGCATGGAGAGGAGAGTTGCCATTCAGGTGAGGACATTTCTTGAGGAAAAGACACTAAACCCCCATTGAAGTGTTAGGGAAAAGGAGGGAGAATTGGAAATGTCATGGCCAAAGTAATTTGTCAATGATCTCTATAGACTTTCATAAAAAAAGATGTGTAAGAAAAGCTTGTCTGACAAATGGCAACAGTTGCTAAAGCGGGATTGGTTGGTAAAGTTTTTAAGGTGACGCTTAAGAGAAGAGTCAGTTGGTAAAGCTTAAGACCAATTTAAGAACGAGAATGCATGAATTGACCAAGAAAGGTGTCTAGACATCTCTTGTCAACGATGACTGACGTCACTTATCTATGCAATAAAGAAATGGGAAGAGAGTGTTTGTAAAATTTAAGGGGATACACAAGCAAAGAAGAACTCCATGTAGCAAAAAGCACCAAAAGACAAACTACCCGAAGGAAGACAAGACCATTGGAAAGCCTTCCAAAGATCATGAAGAGAACAGAACAGTTCATCAAGGGGAATGTTATTAATATATATATACATAGCCAACCTGTAGCTGTGTCCAACAAGTCAAAAAAAGTTTTATAAAAAAAAAAACCAAGAGAGAGAAGAGCCTCATAAACTTGCACAAAATGTTGGGATTCAACCTCTTGAGACATTTCATTGTAACTATCTGTTGTTTTTTCAAAATGTCCTGCACCTGCTGTTCTTCTGAAATGGATATTTGACTAAACTAATGGATGCCATTATTATTGCAGGGAGTATATTCAGATTAAGCAATTTTCTTGCAGCTTCATTAAGAGTATTTTCTTTCTGCAGGCTTGCAAGTCCCAATAACATTTTTGGTTTGCTTATCAGAAAATTAGCGAAAGTATGTGGAGGTGTTTTCCTCAGCTAAAACTACAGCGTAAAAAAAGTGTGAGGTGCTGTAATCACATTGTTGTCACTGTATGTATTTTTTACTTATTGTTTGTTAGTCGGTAATTGTTTATTTGTACAACAGCATATCACCAACTTTGCCTCATGAAGAGTTTGAGACTGAAGAGCACCTCACAGACATAAATAATGGTGCAGCATGTTGCCCTCCATCGTAGCCTCTGCGCTCGTCTTTGATTGGCTGAAGTGTCATGTGAATAAATAGGCCAATTGTGGATGAGACTGCTTAGTGTGCCAAGACACATCCATCTCCTGGTAACTGTGGATCCTCGTGAGACGTCTTAGTAGTGAGTTATTCATTGCAGAATGCACATATGAATGTGTTTAATAACTGGAAAATGTGTACAACGCAAATCTTCCTACTTGTGTTATTCTGTCAAGCTTCGAATATAATCTGCAAATACACATCGGAAGCCAAAAAGCACACACTTTGTCTTATCATAAGCCTAAAGCATGCAGACATGCTCTCTCATTTATCCTTTAGCAGGTCACATAGATGTTGCAACTGTACTGCAAACAATTTCAAAAACACCTTTAATTAAGAAAAAGAAAATATTCTTGCAATACTGTCGAAATGTTCTGTCACAACATGAATGTTGATCTAACAGTGATGTGGTGTCTGTTTAAATCACGATGAGAATGTAAAGTATGTCATAAGTATTTGATTGTGCAGCGTGTTTCATCCATTAGCCAGTGGTTGATGCACAGATGGCTAGACTACCAGAATACTTGAATTTCTAGAAATCGGAGCTGTTCAGTTGAGTGCACAATTGTCTTCTGGACCTCAGATGGACGACGAGAGTTTTTTAGGTTTAAATTGCAAAAGGTTTCAGGCGGTCCTCCTGAGATCAACTGTATGTTCAGCATATGTGCGATTTCAAGGGTATTTCAAGTTTGTATTCAGGTTTGTTTTTGTTTATGTACCATATTGAGACAGAACCCTTTAAGATTTAATAGTAGCATCAAAAGCAATACTTTTCTTTTTCTTGTGAAATGCCCCGAATACAATCATTTCAGATGTAGCCAAATTCGTTAAGATGTTTGCGGGATACAGTATGATTGATTAGTTCAGCTTAACTAAACAAGCTTTATATTTGTCCCTCCCCAAAGGCAATAGGTTGTAAGCGAGCAAATTTTGCTGGTATGGCTCAAACAGGTTCGCCTGCATCGTCTTTTACCCTAGTGCAGTGATTTGGCTTGGAGTTACGAAAGGAGAATGAAAGTTATGAAATATGTAAGTTTGTTTATGTGTGTGATGGGAGGCAGTCTGAGGATTGTCTCAACTGGTGATCATGATAAACGTAACACTGATGGTACATAATAAAATGCTTGATTTGAAATCTTATTTGTGCCTTGAAATTATGAACTCTGTGCCCAGTTATCAATTTGTAAATTCAACTGGTTTAATTTTTTTATATAATTCAATGTTGTGTCATCTGTGATAAAAAAAAGCTTAAAAAAAAACTGCTTCCCAGACAGTAACATCTGTCGGCCCACATCTGGTACAGGTGAATTCCACATGGCCCAGATGTGGGCCGGATCTGGGCTGACACTATGTTGCTGTCTGGCTTATGATGATTCATCACTGCAATCAGGTCAAGTCAAATGTATTAGACCTTCCTATTGCATTGTTTTCCACATTGTTAGAACTGTTCTGTTCCGTTGAGCATGTATGCCAGCCTGTTCTCATCCCAAGGCGTCATACACTGACGCTTTTGACATTTCGTCTACATCCAACGCACATATGTCACCCTTTAGCGTCGATTTGAGACGCAGATAGATATGGGCCAGAAGGGTCTAAGGGTCCTAGCGGTCTAACCCTAAACCTACCCATATCTATCTGCGTCTCATATTGACGCTAAAGGGTGCTATGTGCGTTGGACGTAGACGAAATGTCAAAATATGACGCCCTAGGATGAGAATGCGTTATGTATGCTGTATGTTGACAATTGTAATATGATATTGTTACCACATTTACATAGGCTACAGGCCTATCTACAGGTTTTATTCAATTTTGTTGTTTTTTGAAAACCTGCGTCTTCCTTTGCCAATGCCTTAGTTTTTTGCCTATAAGTCTATGCACCGTTAGTATTAGTTCAGAAATATAATTTTATGGAACTGAAATTAGGTCAACATACCCATTACTACAGCAGTGCAAAAAAAAAAAAAAACGAATCTCATGCTCAACCAACCAGAATCAAGAATTCAACGTGTGTACATATTTCTTAAAAGCTCGGTTTAAAAGGAATTTACCCCTGTAAGAAATTTTCTGTTTTAGCGCTTAGTCTTTCTATTTCCGTTCAAAAAATATGTTATAAATAACTTGTTATATGTTTCGCAGTCTCTCTCTCTCTCTCTCTCTCTCTCTCTCTCTCTCTCTCTCTCTCTCTCTCTCTCTCTCTCTCTCTCTCTCTCTCTCTCTCTCTCTCTCTCTCTCTCTCTCTTAATCCTGTCGTGTAGATTTAAACCACTTGTAAGAGAAAATCACGGATTTAACAGTCACGCTGGATCGCGATAGAGACGGCTAGGACGTGGCCAAGACAGCGGGAAAAATCTGGTAAGACATCTTGTCTGATTGATGTGGAAAGTAATTTGCATTTTGTTGTGTGAACTTTGTTTTGTGTGCTGTAAAGACAATGACTGAAGGCTATAAAAAACGGCTCACAACACCTTTCTGTATGTAGTCACTGTAATTGTTACATCTTTACCTGCTCTTGTTTCTACACGGTCTCGTGCTTTAACAGTAGCTAATGTCCCCAATCACTTACTGTATGAGGCTGATGTGAGCGGCTCGGTAAGCCTCTGTAAGCCGCTTGATGCCCTTCAAGCCCAGAGGATCAACCCGAGGCTGTCGCTGCTGCTGTATAATAATAAAGCGTCACGACTAATGATTGACGCATTTTCACTTTGTCAGAGTGTAAATGCTCCGCTGATGCCACTAAAGTCCTTGGACAGTCCTTGTCAAACACAGTAGGCCTATTATTAAAATCATCACTTAGAAGAAATGGCAGCATAAAAAATAAGTCATCCACATACATTATGAGTCTACACACACACACATAGGCTATATATTTATGTGTGTGTGTGTGTATAGACTGTTTTTTTAAAAGCATTAATTTGTTACCAAACTTTTGACGGGTAGCCTACTGTAAAGGCCTATATTTACAGTATATAAGATCAAATTAGTTTGAAAACATTAAAAAATGTTTTTCAAAAAAGTATCTTATGCTCACCAAAGCTGCATTTATTTCTTTAAAAATACTGTACAAACAGTAATAGTGTGAAATATTATTACAAATTAACATAATTTATATTTGAATATACAGTTGTCAACATTTGAAGTGGATCAAAAAAGTTAATCAAAGTTGTCCTAAGACAAGAACGGGTAATGTTCAAAATTCATGTGTGTAACTTTGATAAAAGCTTTTGATCCACTTCAAATGTTCAAAAAACATGTGCTGCTTAAAGTCCCCCTGTGGTGGAACCCCAGCTTTTAATTTTGTTAATATGTCTATGTGGTGTTTTTAATATGCTTTAAGACAAACCATGTGCGAATTTATGTCAACACCATTGCTGAGTATTTTCTCCTTAAAACTGCAGTGAACCAAAGACAGTCTCAAAGGTTTGAAATCACTGGTGTTTCTGACGTCACAAACTACCTTGTAACCAATCAGATCAACAAATGTGGATCTCTGAGCTGGTGTGAGTGAGTGGAGGCGGGGCTAATTTGCATATTCATAGAACCGCGTATACTAAATGAGGCAAGGGTGTAGACGGTAGAGTAACATTCAAGCTATTTCAAGGGATGAAGACATTTTTCATGGAAAAACGTTTAAATATGTAATTTTGGTGATCAAGGTTGTGTTTTAAGGAATAAAATGATTGAGTAAAGGGGGACTTTAACACTTTTGTGGAAGTGGTGACACTTTTTTTCAAGATTCTTGATGAATAGGAAGTTCAATGAATGTATGTATTACATTTAATAAAGTATTTATTAAATAAATATTTGTGTAACATTATAAATGTCTTCTCTGTCACTTTTGATCAATGTAATGCATCCTTCATAAATAAAAAATATAAATTTCTCTTTTTATCTTACCACAAATATTTGAATGGTATTGTTTCCACAAAAATGTTAAGCAGCAAAAACGTTTTCAACATAGATAATAATAATAATAAATGTTTCTTTGGCACCAAATCAGCATATTACAATGATTTCTGAAGAATCATGTGACACTGAAGACTGAAAATTCAGCTTTGCATCACTGGAATAAATTACATTTCAAAATATGTTAAAATAAAAAAGAGGTCTTTTAAATTGCAATAATATTTCACAAAACTAATTTTACTGCATTTTAAATTGAATAAATGCAGGCAGCCTTGGTGAGCATAAGAGACTTCTTTCAAAACAATTATAAATCAACCTGGTGCTACGTAAATATATTATATAAAATGGGTAACTGACAAATGGAGCTTCTATTTTATTTTTACCCTAATTAGAAGGCTATTTAATCACAGTGGTAAATGACCACTTCCTCTTTTTCTCTCTGCCAGATGATGACTGAGATAGCAAAGGCGCAGACCGATTCGGTGGTGTCCAGTGTGGAGTCCATGCTGGCGGACGCCGGCCGAATACGAACATGGTGCCGGGAGCGCAGCGAGGAACTGTCCGCGTCTGCGCTGGAGCTGCACGAGGACACCCAGAGCCTGCGGGAACAGTGTCAGGCCTCACAGCTGGACATGGCCCGCCTCAGACGCACGCTAGACCAGCTACTGGATACGAAACACGCCTACGAGGCCCGTGAGAGACAGACCCGAAAACTCAGCAAGCAGCTGTAGAGACGTGAATTCGAAGAAATGAACCCAGACAGAAACATGGCGTCAACCCTGATCCGGCCCACGTGTGGATTCCACACGTTCCAGATGTGGGCCGGATGTGGGCCGACACTATGTTGCTGTCTGGGAAGTCAAGCTAAAGTAGGCCTAAATATCTCTGTAAAAAGTTGTTTACATAATTTTCAAGTGTATTAATAAAATTTGATTTAAAAGCAAAGAAGCAGTCGTCTAATAATTGCACAAACCGTGAAGTTGTTCGTTTATAGCCTATACTTCTAGCTTTTTACTTCTGGCGACTGCATTTAAGATTCGAAATTCATAAAAGTCGTGTTTATCTGTGATAATTCTCTTGATGGACAAAACGTGCAAGTATCATAAACTTTTGTTGAACACAGAGCTTGTTTTTAGTGATAATTCAAAAGCCTATGGGAAAATCCTATTGGGTTTTTCTGGAGGGAACCAGTGTGATGATGCTAATTGCCGTTTGCCTACAAAATGACGTCATACCCGCACCACTCTATTATGTGCCTTAAACTGGGAATTTATTTTTTCGTTTCACGTTTTTCCCACCCAGATGGCAGATGAATAAAATCCCTGAGCGCAAAAATCCGATACATTTTAATATTAAAAATACCACCTTTGACATTTAGACATATTGTGCGACACCATAAGCTCTTGGCTGACTAAACTAATTGCTTTGAAGTGTTTGCATAGTCACAGACTCAAGCATAGGGGGGTTATACAACAGATTTAATATTCATAAAAAATATCAGTGCATAATCTGTAACCAGCGGTTCTAAAAACAAATGTAGTAAGTTAAATAAAGTAGTTGCACAGAAAGAGGAGGACAAATGATGATACGATGAGACCAACACATTTAGTGGCTGACGCAAACAGGGACCGAGATAGGCGGAAGGACACTGTGTTTCCGAGGACTTTCAGCACCTCAGATTTGGCACTTCGCCTGTGGAAAGCGGATACCATCACTGGCCAAATTATGGATTTATGTCCCTGTCAACCCAAACACACACACACACACACACACACTCTTACCTCCCGTGGCTGTGTGCAAGAAAAAGCCATTAAAAATGACATCTCTACTGGGCACAAGATTAATAGGCAAACACTCTCGGAAAGACACTCTCAAGCAGTTTTGCTCATGTTAAGGACACCAAGGACTATAAGAGAAATGTGAAATTAGGGAGGGGGGAGTACTTATGGGAGATTCCTGGCCTACAAAACAGGCACATGAGCACCATCTAATGGGATTTATGGAGTAATTCATATAAACAGACAGCAGAGGGCGAAAATGTTGTACATTGACACAGAGCTGAGCAGGCTTTATTATTTTAAAGGGATAGTACACCCAAAAATGAATACTCTGTCATCGTTTACTTTATGAGTTTTTCTGTTAAACACAAAAGAAGATATTTTGAAGAATGTTGATAACCAGACAGTTGACTTCAATAGTAGGAAAAAAAAAAAAATACTATGGAAGTCAATGGGTGCCGTCAACTGTCTGGTTACTGACATTCTTCAAAATATCTTCTTTTGTGTTCAACAGAAGAAAGAAACTCATACGGGTTTGGAACAACACGAGGGTGAGTAAATGATGACAACATTGTTATTTTTAGGTGAACTGTCCCTTTAATAGTGAAAAGTTACAGTAGAGTGCATTAACCTTCACCTGGTTTGATTCCAGGTCAACTAGGTTCAATTTATTGGATGTTATTCCACAAAAGCCTTGAATCTGTTATATGTGCTAATGAAATGTTTTGGCCAGAGAGTGGAAAACACTAGTCACCATGTAGAATCATAAAGCATTTTCCTGAAGATTTGCGTTTAGTTTGTGAAAACTCTGGCAGTGTTGTCAGATTTGATCTCTTTACATAAAGCAGTGTCTCAATCAGTTCAGGTCACACCACCACCAATCTGGCAACCGCACACGATCACCTGCCAGGTCTGTGCTGCCAGCCACAGATCAGTAACCATGGCAACTAACCCTTGGCAATGCTAGTGAACGAAATCAAGACCGTATACTGGAACTGCCAAAATCCTTTTGGCTCAGCTAGCCAGCAGTGCGTTTGTGAATGTAAGCGTATGTGTGTGTGTGTATGTGTGTGAGAGTGTTCCAAGGGACACATAGACTGCTTTAGTGTGGGGCGACACTAAGGACGTCCTGGGCGGTTGAAGAAGGGCTCAGTTTCAGAAGTGGTCACTGATGGACCCTCTCCTCCTGACAGGGTTTCTGACCCTTTGTTGCGCTGGAACAGGACCAGACCTGCTATTATCATCCAAAAGAAGAAATTCACCCATACTGCGATCTAAGAGGGAGAAAAATAAAAGTTTCTTAAAGATGATGTTGAACATTTTTAGGGCATTAGTGCAATTAAGACATAGCCAATTTGGTTTTGTTCTATTAAAAAAATGTGTGTGTTTGTGTGTGTATATATATATTATATATACACTCACCGGCCACTTTATTAGGTACCCCATGCTAGTAACGGGTTGGACCCCCTTTTGCCTTCAGAACTGCCTCAATTCTTCGTGGCATAGATTCAACAAGGTGCTGGAAGCATTCCTCAGGGAGTTTGGTCCATATTGACATGATGGCATCACACAGTTGCCGCAGATTTGTCGGCTGCACATCCATGATGCGAATCTCCCGTTCCACCACATCCCAAAGATGCTCTATTGGGTTGAGATCTGGTGACTGTGGAGGCCATTTTAGTACAGTGAACTCATTGTCATGTTCAAGAAACCAATTTGAAATGATTAGAGCTTTGTGACATGGTGGAAGTAGCCATCAGAGGATGGGTACATGGTGGCCATAAAGGGATGGACATGGTCAGAAACAATGCTCAGGTAGGCCGTGGCATTTAAACGATGCCCAATTGGCACTAAGGGGCCTAAAGTGTGCCAGGAAAACATCCCCCACACCATTACACCACCACCACCAGCCTGCACAGTGGTAACAAGGCATGATGGTTCCATGTTCTCATTCTGTTTACGCCAAATTCTGACTCTAACATCTGAATGTCTCAACAGAAATCGAGACTCATCAGACCAGGCAACATTTTTCCAGTCTTCAACTGTTCAATTTTGGTGAGCTCTTGCAAATTGTAGCCTCTTTTTCCTATTTGTAGTGGAGATGAGTGGTACCCGGTGGAGTCTTCTGCTGTTGTAGCCCATCCGCCTCAAGGTTGTGCGTGTTGTGGCTTCACAAATGCTTTGCTGCATACCTCGGTTGTAACGAGTGGTTATTTCAGTCACTGTTGCCCTTCTATCAGCTCGAACCAGTCTGGCCATTCTCCTCTGACCTCTGGCATCAACAAGGCATTTCCGCCCACAGAACTGCCGCTCACTGGATGTTTTTTCTTTTTCGGACCATTCTCTGTAAACCCTAGAGATGGTTGTGCGTGAAAATCCCAGTAGATTAGCAGTTTCTGAAATACTCAGACCAGCCCTTCTGGCACCAACAATCATGCCACGTTCAAAGTCACTCAAATCACCTTTCTTCCCCATACTGATGCTCGGTTTGAACTGCAGGAGATTGTCTTGACCATGTCTACATGCACTGAGTTGCCGCCATGTGATTGGCTGCTTAGAAATTAAGTGTTAACGAGCAGTTGGACAGGTGTACCTAATAAAGTGGCCGAGTGTATATATATATATATATATATATATATATAAAAAGAAAGGTTTTAGACAACATTTTTGTCAAAATATATATGAAGTTATTTACACAATATAATTGTCTATAAATCTATAACACATATTATATTGTTATTATACAACACAAAACATACACTTTTTTATTGAATGATTGATTTATACTTTAATTAAAATCAATAGACATTTTTTTCTAAATATATGAGGTCACTTACACAATATAATTGTCTAAAACATTGTCATATACTGTATATATATATTAGTGCTGTCAAATCGAATAAAAGTTTGTTTATATAATATGCATTTATATATATATATATATATATACTGTATGTATATATATATATATACACACACACAATATAAGTGTGTGTGTGTGGAGGGGGGTAATGGGTATATATATATATATATATATATAAACAAACTATATACAAATATATACACACAGTATCTCAGAAAAGTGGGTGTACTCCTATTTGTTGCCAGTGGTTTAGTCATTAATGGCTGTTTGTTGAGTTATTTTGAGGGGACAGCAAATTTACACTGTTATACAAGCTGTACACTCACTACTTTACAGTGTAGCAAAGTTTCAGTTCTTCAGTGTTGTCCCGTGAAAAGATATAATAAAACATTTACAAAAATGTGAGGGGTGTGCTCACTTTTGTGAGATACTGTGTGTATATATATATATATATATATATATATATATACACACACGCATACATACATACTATATACATATACTGTATATATGACAACGTTTTAGACAACTGTTTCGATTTTGTCGGAGGTTTCTCCACCACCTCCAGGTAAATGAGAGATTTGAAGCCGGAATGTCAATAAATCGAACAACATTAACAGATTTAATTAACTTGATGGAGGCTCTAGAAATGAATCGGGGTGAATGAGAAGTCACTCTAATGATATGCATATGCTGATAGCTCTTGCATAATGTGTTAGTGATGATCAGTAGCTACCTCTGCACTGTGCAGTCTGGAGTAGAACTGGCTCCCGCTGATCGGGCTCAACCAAGACTTATCTTGCGCTTCTTCACACCTGAAAATGCACAAAATAGTGTACTTATACAACCACTAGTGATTGTAATAGCTTTTGATAAATGCAGACAGACAGTATTGACCGTCATAACAACTGTATCAGAGGTCTCTCTCACACACTCACTTTGTTATATTGGGGGTCAGTGTATTAAGCAAAGAGTCACACAGTCTGTCTCGGCCGATTTTCAGGATGCATCCCGTCACCAAGAGGAAGAAGAGGAAGACTCCAGACAAGCCAAGAGTAACGTTCATCCATAATTTCTCCCTGATACAAGACAGAGACAACATTGCACAATGTTTGAATGACATTTAAGAAAAAAAATATGTTGTTGCAACTTGCTATCCTAGTAGCTTCCAAATTAATAGTCTTACTAGAAGAAAAAAAAACTTGTTTCATGTTAGCAAGGACTCACACTCTGACCGACCGCACAGGGACTATTGAAACATCTCTTACTGAATTTGAAAATCACAGCTTGTTATTAATATATACACTACCAAAACTAGTGGTCGGCCGATATTGATTTTTTGATGCTGATATATCTTAGAGAACAGGCTTATACTTTAGATGGCAACTTCTTGATTCTGTAATCCTATAACAGTATTTTTCACAAGTAAAGAATTTGTTTCAATTTTTTGTCTTGTTCACAAGTAAAGAATTTAAACTATTACGCTCGCGTTTTCAGCGCTGTCAAAATAAAAGTCTTTAAAATAAAACTGCTTCCGGACACATCGGCCAAATAAAAAAAACGTATCGGCCAGTGCGATATAAAAAAAACAAAAAACAAAAAAAAAAACATATCTGCCGATATATTGTCGACCACTAATTTAAACATTTGGAGTGAGTAAGATTTTTTAAATTAGGTATTTTTGGTGCACCAATATAATACAATTTAAAGTAACAGTTTTCTATTTTAATATAAGTGAAAATGTCATTTATCTGTGTCACGGTAAAGCTGAATTTTCCGCATCATTACTCCAGTCTTCAATGACATGATCCTTCAGAAATCATTCTGATATGCTAATTTGGTGCTAAAGTAACATTATCATCAATGTTGATAGCAGTTGTGCTATTTTTGTGGAAACCGTGATACATTTTATTCAGAATTATTTGTTAAATAGAAAGTTAAAAAGGAGAGCAGTTGTTTGAAATACAAATGTTTTGTAATAATTTTAAAGTCCTGTCACTTTTAAATCGATTTAATGAATACTTGAATAAAAGTGTACTGTACATTTCTTTCAACAACAAAAAAACTAACCACAATGTCTCATTATCTAATATCTAGTTTGCATCACATATCCGTTTAGAGTTCCTCCTGCAATCCATCCATACTGGAGCACGACAACAGGAAACAGAAAACCTGTTCACATATCTGAAATAAAATCAAGAGCACATGATTTACGGAGCTCTTTGACATACCTTTTCACCTCTCCCTCAAAACAGGCGATGTAGACCCAGTAGAGAGTGACTGAAAAGCAGAAGACAGCCACACACACTGAGATGGCTGACACAAAGTAACAGAGAGAGGGAGAACTGGATGTAAGTACACTGATGGATGTGTTGTTCAGACGCACTGAACCGTACAGCATACACTTCCCAGCAAAACTTCCCTGTTTGAGTGAAAAAATAAGGAAAGAATGTTATGGCTTACAATGCCCATAGTAGGCACTTTCTACAATGTACAACAGAGGGCATGAAACTATTGAAAAACTTGGGCACAAAGGGGTGAAATACAGGTGGAATTTAATGCAATTCAAACTAGACCCTTCTCATGTTTAATGTATGTGCCAGTGAACTCCACAACTACATACAAGAGCATCACTCATGGTTGTCTTCTTCATTTTTCCCTTTTATTCTTTTCCTACTATATCCACTGATGAAACACTCAACACTGACATTCTTACTCACACTCTCCTTTTCTGCTCATCTGACTTTAATTAACCAATTCCTCTTTAAAGCAAATTCTCAGCTGGTCACATGACAGAAACAGTGACAGAACTGGAAGCTTCAGTTGCTTCTATTACACTTTCATTTTCTCTTCACTTCCGGGTTTTATTTTAAAAACGTGGGCCTATTTTTATTTTATTTTTTTTCTACGGTATGGATAATTATAAAGATTATAAAAGCATAGGCCTATTAGTTTTTCTACTGTATGGATTATTAAAAATAAAAAAAGTAAAACATTTCTGGTCACATGACTATGACGATTTTAAGGGCAACTCGTGAGAAGGTATAAGCACAGACACACTCCAGAAGAAAAGTTATGATTTTTGTATGCATCTAGGGAAAACAGCAAAACACATCCCCTGCAAACAATTATGCTAAACAAAACTGTCAACAACAGTAAACTACAAGCGTTCAGCTAACATCGTCAAAGTTTGAAAATTACATTCTGTCGTGTTTCTGAACGCAATAGCACCATTTAACAACAAGGTAAAGTCTGTAATAGTGTTCTATATTAAATAGCAAACAGCAGATATACCTGTGAGATTGTAACAGATGCGGCTGTGATGATCCCACAGATAAAACAGCTGCCATACAGCATCAGCTCCAGCAACAGAGGCCACGGCAGCGCCATAGCGTGTGTGTGTGTGTGTGTGTGCGCGCGCGCCACAACTCCGCACTGACTTTAACCAGCCGCGGCAGCGCGCATACACGCACTCATGTGTCTAAAACGCATCATGAGTTAACGACAATCATGTGATTGCAACATCGAACAAAAACATGAACTAACAGAACCACATTCCCTTGCATAAGCACCAAAATAGGTCACATTTATGGTAATCACCTTATATATAAATATACCTACTTAATTTTGACTAGATTTGAGAGTTACTACATTAACTGTGATTAAATTAGGACCTTTTTACTTGTAATTGAACTACTTTAGTTTCTGTTAGATCAGTGCACACATTGCAAAGCCCTTACACACTTTAAATCATTTGTTCAACCAAAGTCAAATATAAAGCACTACAAATCTTGGAGCAGATTTGGGGAAAGTTTTAAAAGTAATGTTTTGCAATTTTGCGTTACTAGCTAAAAAAGTAACTAAGCGTTACTTTTCCTCACCTGGGCCGGGCTGCTTTGTTTTTTAACAAAAGCTCTACTTTTGGCAAATGTAAAGGCGTTTTTCACACCAAAAGTTAAATGAAAGGCCCGTTCACACCAACAACGATAGCTGAACTCTACTATTCTTTAATATTGTGAACGATTTTGAGAAATCTTTATCGTTATCTTGTTACCGTCCTTGGTGTGAACAGTAGGGCGCAACTCAAACGAACTTTCTTCTTCTGCAGTCCGTAATGACAGCACAGCTAAAGGGTTTAACACTTCAGCATTAAAAACTAAAAAATGAAACACAAATGTGATCTTTATCTAAAGTCCCTTTTGCTTGTATTAGTTTGGTTGAATTGGATCACTGAATGTCAGTAGCAAAGACATTGGTTAATAAAGTGAGATTAAATCCATAAAGTATGGATTAACATATTTAATTATTTTAGGTTTGCGCAATATTCTGAGTTTGAATTTCAGAGTTTTTATTCATTTTGAGGAATACTGAATGTGTTTTTGTGCAAGTGAGATGAGTAAATGCATGTTCACATTTAGTCTAGAACTACAATATCCATCATGTTCACACACACACACACACCTCTGCACTTACTCATTATTTCTCTCAACACGTGGACAGGACAGGTGTCAGTCAATAAATGTGAAGCTTTACTAGTTACTTGAAAAAGTATCTGATTATGTAATTCATTATCCCCAACCCTGTCTAGGGCCATCTGACTGCAATAGAAGCCCATTCCACTGTGTATAGACAGACTCGTGCGGTCAGGTGTTTGAGCTTAGTATCAGGGTAAGTAACTGTCACGATTTCTTAAGTTTGAGAGCCAGGGTCTCCTTCCCCTCCCACAGTTGACCATATGAAATATATTTATGTTATTTAATGTACTCAGCCAATATATATGTCATGATGTAAGACTGCATTTGCATTTAAAAATAAGCATTTATACTGTGGCACTAATTTGTAGCGTCGACTGACAGCAAAGATTGTTTTGACTCATTTTATTACATGACACCACAAATACACAGAAACTCAACAACATTATATAACGAGTAACAAGTAATATAAAAAGGTCAAAGGCCAACCAGGCCTGCATTTTCAGATAAATTAATGAGCCTTAAATGTAACAGCGAATAAAATGAGACCCCCCCCCCATAAATTCAGAGCGTTTTTTCAATGCTAACTGTAATAATGCTTGACTAAAGTAGAAGTATTAATCAGGTAATGTTTAAACAAATAATACTTTTAAGCATCATGATGATGATGATAATAATAAAACACTTATTTAGTGTTCTCGATCTTTACAAGCATCATTTTGTACGTTTACTTCTTGGTTCTATGCCATTGATTCAAATTGTTAAACACTCTTCCACACTTATGATATCAATCTGTGCACAAATGATGTGTTTTCTGAGGCTGTGCGTGTGTGTGATAAACCCGATTTAACCCATGCGGTAAGTGTCTGTAGGGCAGCCGGGCAGCCGGAAGCTGTCAGGCACCGGGCTGTCTAATTTACAGATGATCTTGTAGATGGCCTTCTTCCAGCACGGATCGGTATCCCGACCACTCTGTATGGCGGAGAAAAACTCCCTCAGGGCAATCTCAGATATCTCCACAAACCTCTCAGGAACCTGGAGAGCAAAACTGACGTTTAAACACGTAATTGAACTGTTTCGCTGTGCGTATGCATTGCACACACTGACCTGGTAATCATTGCTCTTATTGTAGTGCATGTTGAGAATGCGGTAAAGCTCGGTGTCTCTCCCCAGGCGGAGTGATCTATCCCTGGCAGATGTAGGCCCCTCTCTGGCCGCCTGGCGGGCAAAGCGCTCCATCTGGATGTAGAAGAACTCCCGGAAGTTACTGAACCACTTAATCAGCTGGGAAGTGACACAGCGATTGAACTGTGCGAGAGGGGGGAAAAAAGAAAAGAGGCTATATAATAAATGTAGGTCAGCATTAAACATTTTAGTATCATTTCTGTTTGGAGACATACTGTGATGTTTAATCACATACGGACAAAGCTTTATTATAATACGCATGATTTAGTTAAAAAAATCCATTGACATGGACTCATAAATATAGGGACATTTTCTGACTGCTCTAATTGATTCAAAGGGAAACCATGTCAGACTGCTGTATATAGGTCAGTGTAACTTTATTCAATAAGTCATTAGCCCATATCATTTGTGCAAGACATGCACACAAAGCTATTCTATTTTGCGTTGAGGATTATCTGAATGATGCTCACTTTGACATCAGGGAAATATGTCTTGAGAGTGCTGGAGCTGGGGTAGCGTGCGTAGAAGAACATGAGTTTGGCTTTCTTCAGGTGGCACGGAGAGAGCCCTTCCTGAGAGTGCAGATGGTTAAGGAATGTTTGAGAGCAGCACAAATACATTTATATAGTCGTATGGATAATATCCACTACTGTTCAATCATTTGGGGTCTGTAAGGGTGTATTCACACCAGGAAAGTCCGATAGTTCACTTGCTTTGGTCCGGACCAAAAATTTTATTTTTTTGGTACGGTTCGCTTTCACACTGCTCTTTTTGCAAGTGAACCAAAATTTGTAAGCAAAACCACACGTGTGCTAAGGTCGTCCATTCATTGGACAGAAATTCGAACCGTACCAGAGTTCGTTTGGAACCGTACCGAGACCACCTCTTCAGCTGGGTCTCAGTTCGGTGGTTTGGTCCGCACCCGAGTTCGATTGCTGTATTCACACCTGCCCAAAAGGCCCGCACCAAGGGGGGAAACGAACCAGAGTTCGATTGCTGTATTCACACCTGCCCAAAAGGCCCGCACCAAGGGGGGAAACGAACCAGAGTTCGATTCAATCGAACCAAACAAGGCAGGTGTGAATACACCCTAAGATTCTTTGTGTTTTTGAAATATGTCTCTTATGCTCACCACTGCTATTTGAAAATAGTTAAAAATGTAATTTATTCTTGTGAATTTTCAGCAGTCTTCAGTGTCACATGATCTTTCAGAAATCATTCTAATATGACGATATGTCGCTCATGAAACATTTATTATTATCAATGTTGAAAACAAATGTTTTTATTTTTAAAAAAGTGACATTATAAAGGTCTGAACATTTGAACATTTTTACGTTAATAAAGGTATTCATTTCTTTTTAAAACTGACCCCAAACTTTAGAACAGCTGTGTAAATATATATATATATATTTTATTTATTTTTTAAATGAAAGGATATTGATCCAGCGGCGAGATAGAGAGCTGCATCTCCTCCATCCCCCCCTCCTGCTCCGCCTCCCCTCATCCCTCCTTCTCTCGCTCTATCCGACGGAGAGGGCTCTAGCTGCCCCAACAATGGGAGGGGTGGGAACGCAGAGTTGTGTGAACGAAAGTCCATGAAAGACTCAGACAGGCAGTCCTTATGAAGAGGCAAACTGGAGAGGGAGCGGGCGAAGAGATTCTGCATGGTGTAGTGAAGAAGGGGCAAGGGAACGGGGTTGTCCGGGGGATAAGAGGGCAAGAAGTGGTCTTTGCTCCTGGGGGGTAAAAGTGCCGGGAGAGGGGGCTGGGATAGCGGAGGGAGGCTGGGATTGGCTTGAGGGAGGAGGACACTTTGAGCGATAGGGGCTCTCTTGTCTTGAGGACTCTTTGTGACGAGTGGCAACGCTTCCACCTGCTCAACCGCATGAGGTCTCGCCCTCCTGTCCGAGTTTAAATCCAACGCCATGCTGGTTTCTCGGGAAACGGTGGCGGATGTGACCGTCGAGGCGTCGGTTTCGGCATAGAGACGGACAACTCTGTCGATAACTTGAGCCACGACATTCGCAAGCTCCTGCTTTAGAGCTTGAGCAAACTTCTGCCCTCCTTCTGCGCTCTCCCACTCGCCCCGGACCAAACTGCATCCCAGCCACACCTGATCGCCATTTAACTCCAAGTCCAGGTCCACGGAGGTCTCTGGAAATATCGCAGCGTTGCCATTCCCGTTGGTGTCATTGTTTTTCTTAGACGAACAGCGCGGAGGAGAAAACCCACTGCTGACGAGTGGATCGTCGCTGTCGGAAAACATCTCCGCAACCTCATCGAGAATGATCGCCCCGTTCTCTTGCTCCTCCTCGCCTCCTTTCTCGTCATCCGCCTGCCCTCCGTAAACCCTCCACACCTTTCGCTGGAGCTCGAGAAGTTTCCCTTTGGTTTCCTCCAGCTGAAGCTTCAGTTCTTGTCGCTGTCGCTTTCTGCCTTCCCTGCTTTCCCTCCTGTTCCCTGGTTTCTCTCCCTTCCTCTCACCCATCCTAACCGAAGCTCTACTCTTCCTCCCTCTCTTCCCTTCTCTCCCCGTTTCTTCTTCGCTTCGAGCTGCCGAGTCCATCCTGGGTCTCTTAACTCTCGCGAAATCCCATTCGCCAGGGTCGGGAGCCGAGCTTTGTCCCCGTTCTCCGTGACAGCGCTGAGATGATGGGGTTGCAAACTCCCTCTTCCCAAACACATCCTCCTCCCTTATATCATCATCTACCAAAAGCCCAGGGAACAAGCCCTGGCGCTGGCGGAAACTACCCCACCTTTGGGACGCACTGTTGGGATGCATGAGAGGGGAGAAGAGCGGGTGGGAAGACAGGCTGCCGGGGGAAAATCGGTGGCTTGAGGGGTTTGAATCTGGCAGGCTGTGATACAGTTCGAAGGGACACATCTGGGAAGGCTGCTGATGAAATCGATCCGAAGGGGAATCCATAGCCCCCTTTTCCGTTCTGATCTGGTTTCAGGATCTTTAAAGAGAGCACAATTTGCTGTGAATAAATACAGAATCATAGACGAATATACGCAGCTATTTGGATCGGTTTTTGCTCATTGCTCATAATCCTCTCATTGTTATCGGCATCATCATAGTCTCTTTTTTTCCCTCTCTGCATGTGTGCGTTATCTATCCGCTGACAGCTGTACCCTGTGTTTGTTCAGACTGTTGACTCTATTGCTCTCATCCTTCTTTCCCTCTCTCTCTCACACACACACACACACACACACACACACACACACACACACACACACTCACTCAACACAAATACATGGATGGTGAGACAGTAAATATTTTAATGAGATTACTATAGTCCCAAAGCTCTGAATCTGCATTTTTACTTAATTCAGACCTTTTAGTACTACTAAATAGTTTTGAGATAGATAGATAGATAGATAGATAGATAGATAGATAGATAGATAGATAGATAGATAGATAGATAGATAGATAGATAGATAGATAGATAGATAGACACATACACAACTCATTTATCCTAAAATCAGATTAATGGAAATTACTGTGCTAAACTGACGTTTTCGCCTTTCCCTCATTGGCACAAATGCCACAGATGTCATCAGATTATAGCTCGATTTTAAAGCCGTTTAACTGCCATGAAAAAAAAAAATGAACAGATGGAAGGACAACACCCTCACGGATAAATTATAGAAATTGATTTGCCTTAATTACTCACACACTAACCCAACTCGCCATGAATAATATCGCAGAGTTCACGTCAAAGTTTTCTTGTTATGAAGACAGATTTCGCTCCTGCTCAAATACCGGCGCACGAGCGGACATTTGTAAACTCTGCGCGCGCGCGTGTGTGTGTGTGTGTGTGTGTCGCAGATTCATTAACAAATAAATAGATGAGGCGCATTTGACAAGGACAAACAAATACACGGATGTCCCTAAGGTAAAAAGCAAGGTAAAATATTTTTAAAAACTTACAAAAGAGTCAGCTAGAAAGCATCCCCCGGTCGGTCACTTTCCTGTCGTATTATATTTCGGTTTTGTCGAGGTGTGCGTTGGTCACCGGGAGCATCAGCGTTAAACGCGCCACCGAGTTTCCTGTTATTGCTGTCGCTCCTGCCTCGCGCTGTCCATCTCTCATCCTCGCGCACTCTATCGCGTGGTGATCAGCCAGTGGGCGTCGAGGCGAGGCGTGAGAGAGGGAGGGATGTCCGTCCGCTGCCCCGCGCACACACACACACACACACACACACACCTCTCTCTCTCGCGCGCGCTCTCCCACTCGCTCTCCACGTGGGGTAACTACTTGGTTATGAGCCTCCACCAATCAAAAACGACCAGATTTACTAAAATAATATGATGTACATATATGGTCAAATTATCCATTGTGACCTTTTTTTTCAGTTATAACCGTTCTTGTTAAGATTTACAATTTAAATAAATGTAAAATTAATAATCGGTAAGGATCTCATTCAATGTAAAAAGCTGACTGGAAGTGAATCCAAAAGGCCCTAAATAGAATTTGCTTTGAACAAACAGTAGATAGATATGATACATAGCTCCCAATAGGACTATAAAGTTCCCAAAGGAATAAAATGCCCCTTTATTATTACCGCGCAAAAGTTTGGGGTCAGTACAATTTTATTTAATTTTTTTAAATAAATTAATGTTTTTGTTTAGCAAGGACGCATTCAATTGATCACAATGACAGGAAATATGTTTACATTGATACAAAATCTATATCAAACATGTTCAATACATTTAAAAAAAATGATCATAGTCTCTTAAATTAATAAGCAGCACAATTATTTTTAACAATAATAATAATAATAAATGTTTCTTGAGCAGCAAATCAGCATATTAGAGTGATTTCTGAAGGATCATGTGACACTGAAGAAGTAATGATGCTGAAAATTCAGCTTTACCAGGAATAAATTACATTAAAAAATATTAAAACACTTATTTTAATTCACAATATATCTTTTTATTAAAAGCAGCCTTGGTGACATTTTTCAACAACAACAAAAAAAAACTTACCAAACCCTAAACTTTTAAGACATGTAATAAAACAAAAACAAGTAGATTTCCGATAAAGACGCGACATAGGACTTTTAAAAATAAAAAAATGCTGTAAGATTTTTTTTTTTTTTCTAGTTGGAACATATTTGGTTCTTGGAGGATTTTTCTTTTCTTTTTTTGTTGTTGCTTGCACTGGAATGTGTTAGGAGAGGTTCCAAATGAAGATATAATTCTAATAGGAATTCTGTACACATTATTTCACAACTTTTTTAATTCTCTTTTGACTAATGACTCTTTTTAACTATATTATAGTAACACTGACTGCAGTAATTAACTAGTATGTTGGAGAACCTATTGCGATTATACATTTTTTTGACTTAGAATCGATTGTTTTAAGACATAAATCATAACATAAATCTGAGTCTGAGGACGTGAACAGTATCATGACGTGTGATGATGTGTGATGTCTGTGCGAGGAGGTATGGAAATACATATTTTGACAGGCAGGTGGGACATCCTATTATTGCATTCGGACCGAATGCATTGATGGGACGAACATTTTTTGACTTCCACAGAAGATATATGTACATGGTTTAATACATAGGCCACTTATATTATTGATTGCTATCCGGATGTCAGAGTTTCAACCAGTAAGTGTTTATAAAACCTTCCGTTAATGAATTTTTTTTTTTTTGATTACATATTTCCCCCATGAGACTGTACATATGCCAATGCCGGTATGAAAATGCAGCAATAAAGCTCTTGATAATCAGAGACTCCTCCACCCCTGAACGTGTGAAAGCTGATTATCGGTCCCTCCACTCCTCTTCATAGCACCCCTTCTCTCTCTTTCATTGTTTCCATCACTCCCTCTCTCCCCCACTTCACTGAAATACCCCTCAACCAACCAAACTGTTCACAATAACCACTGGTTACTGTTGTTATGGAAACAAGAAATATGACACAAAGCCTTATTAATAAAAGGTGCTTGCGACTACAGAGCGATCTATAAACAAATGTAATTGAAATGTAGTTTTAAAAACGAACAGATATTGGATATATAGACATTAGCACAGCTCGCATACTTTTTTTCAAGTGACGTTGATGCTAATGGATTCCTCCCTGTTTTATTTCTAAATCCATTTTTTTCTTTGTAACAAATGACAGTAAGTGTGCAACAGAAGTGTTAAATTCCGCATTCGACAATTCCTTACAGTCCATTTGCACTGTAAACACACACACACACACACACACACACACACCTTTTGTAAGGTCAGGCTGAAAGGCTTTTTGAACTACATTAGCAACTCACACTGAATGCTTTGAACTGAAGCCAAATGACTGACAGCAAACAATATTAAAATGCATGAGCAATTCTAACAAAGAGCTATGAAATACACCAAAGGGACGTGGCCATTTGCGAGCAGTGTTTTAAAAATGCCACACGAATGTCGATCCTTTCAAACGGTGGGAGACTTATCAAAATGTCTCATTTGAATGAGTCACGATCAAACATATTGCATTATGAGTCTGTAATATGCACGGAATGAAAATGTGGCATCCAGCGGGGGGAGAGAGAGAGAAAGCAGGAGTGCAGATAGACGTTTTGAGGGGGTCGATGGACAGGCAAAGTGTTTGCCCATTGGCTGCCTCTGAGGGAAAGTGTGTTTGAGAGAAGAGAGCACTCACACATTCAGCCTTGGGCAAGGTGACTGAGGAGAGACAGTGAGTGACAACTGCAGTTGAACTAGAGGATATTCAATCTGAAGGGACATGCAGATCTCGGGAATTAGTACCACAAAGACGTAAAAAAAAAAACCAGGGAAGACAAATACACACAAACAGGTTGAGAGAGTGTTTATGATACATAAAAAAAGAGGTTGAAGTTGATTTAATGGAACACATTTTGAGATTATTAGATGAAAACTGCGCAGGATGAGCAATGAATATGTCAGTATGAAAAATAATAATGCACATTATCGGTTTTCAAATAGATCTTCAGTGACCTTTACAATAAAGTTCAGTTTGTTAAAGGCAGAGTAGACGATTTGTTGTTACGCTGGTTGAAAGTCTCTTCACGTCCTGATAGCAATCACTAGTTAAGTGGTTTCAAAGTATTTATATGTATATTCTAGTCTGTGTAAGGAGTAGGACCATAAAATGTCCATCCAATCACTGCATTCTGTCCGACAACGAGCGTATGCTGCGTTCACGCCAGAACTACCGTAATTTGGAAGAGTTTTGGAAACCCGTGACGTTATACTCAGAGCGGTTCGTGACTCGACTTTATGCGTTTCAGTGGCAACACTATCAACGCTGAAATGAATCTGCAGCAGTCGTACAGGCGTGCGTTTTCCAAATCCAACGATGGTCGCAAGTTCCGTCGTTAGCAATAGAGTTCAATGGAACGTGCGCCCATAATTAGCTAACGATGCTTTCGGGAAACGCACCCGAAACGTTGTTTATGTTCAATATGTTTTGCTTTGAGACATGAGGTTTATTGCCAGCCTCTCTGAAATTACCAACCCTACCTTTAACTGTACATTTTCTATTTGAATATATTTTAAAATGTAATTTATTCCTGTGATGCAAAGCTGAATTTTCAGCATCATTACTCCAGTCTTCAGTGTCACAGTTCAAAAGAACAGCATTTATTAAAAATTGAAATATTTTATAAACCATATCTAAGTAATGCATCCTTGCTGTATAAAATTATTAGTCGAGTTACTTACTGAACCTAAACTCTTGGGTCATAGTGTATATCAAGGGGCTTTGTCAAGCCCCGTCTCACCCATTTTGGGCCTGTGAATTTTATGGAGAATCCTGTAAAAATCTGCATTTTATCAGCTATCGGCAATTATAGATATCATTTGAGCACTAAAAATAACCGACACACCACTGGATTGTGGATCCAGCTGAGCCATGGCCACTGTTTCACCAGCTTTCTGTTAAAACTCCTCTTTACTGAAGCTCTGTTTTGAGTTTCTGCCTCTGACCTTGAGTTTCAGGAAACTGACTGCGGTAATGCACATTATTAAAGCTGTGAGTGTGTGCATGTGTCTTCAATGGATTGTCCTTGTCCTCTCAGCACCGCAAACATATTCTTTGATCTTTGACCGAAATGACTCTCACAATGCGGTGGAGAACCTCAGGAATACAATATAATGCACCGACTCGCTCTCAACCGCACACAGATAAGCTACCACAGACGTGAGAAAACGCGCTCGCTCACACACACTTTCACTCACTCTCCCTCTCAGTCTCTCCGCAGTACTCAGGTTGCAATTATCCTCTTTGGCTGGAGTGTTTTGATGGTATAATTGCCATGGACACTGAGGAGAGAGGGATTGGTGAGTGAGAGATAGAATGAGGGATGGAGAGGGGGAGAGAGGGACATCGAGAGCTGACACTCTCAGCATGCTAATGCCCAAACACACTCCATCTCCCCCGTTTTCCTTTTTGTCACTCTCTTCATCACACACACACACACACAGGTGCGGTAACCTCTCTCCATTCCACATTCTCTCCAGGAAGCCAAAACAGCAAATACACAAGCTCGATGGGAGAGCGAGAAAACAACAGTAGGAGGGGAAAGAGAGGGATATTTTCCATCCACTGACAATAGAGATGATCCACGCTCATCCTCTGCTCATCCCTCAGTTCTTTCAGCTATGTAATCCTTTTTGTCCTTTATATTCGTTCCTTCCCTTCACCCCTCTCCAGAAAGAGAGCCAAAGTGAGTGCTACACATGATGGCCCTGAGAGAGATGTGGTTTTATCTGCGCTGATGTCTTGATCTAGTTTAGGAAAAACAGCGACAGCTGGTGGTGTATTAAAACAACTGCGCTCACCCCCAGTGTATTCCTTAAAACTCATCTTTGATCAACAAAATGTCATATTTAAAAGTTTTTTTTTCCTTGAAAAAAAATTCTTCATGACTTAAAATAGCTCGAATGTTACTCTACACCCTTGCTTCATTTAGTATACGCGGTTCTATGAATATGCAAATTAGCCCCGCCTCCACTCACTCACAGCAGCAGCTCAGAGATTCACTGCAGTTTTAAGGAGAAAATACTCTGCAATGGTGTTGACTTAGGAATTTGTACATGGTTCGTCTTAAAGCACATTAAAAACACCACATAGACACATAAACAACATTAACCCTCTACTGCACAGTGTTGCCATATGGCAACATACCCTTTCTTTGGACATTTCTTGAAATTTGAAAATAAACATGAGCTCTGATTGATCTTAAATTCATAATAGAACCCGGTGGTAACCAATGATATGCTTTGATGACATCACGACACTACACACACCCTTGCAACGTCATTCTTTTCACACACTTTTGATGACTCCAGCTGCTGAAAAAGTGCTCGTGTATATGTGAAGATTTTCCTCATTTTTTTCATATTTCTTCGGAAAAAAAAAATACATCAAGCATCTGGGATAAGTTCTAATCTTTTTTCAATCATTGTCACATTGTTTTGATACTTATATTACCTTTTTATTTAATAAAATAGGTATGTTGCCATATGGCAACATTGTGCGGTAATGGAACAATATTTTGCCCATGCTAATGCAGAGTAGCTTTGTATGAATGCACTGATATAGTTGGATGGTTGTATTATACTCATATATTTATATATATTTGTATATATTTATAAAGTAAAGTAAAAGTAAAGTATAAAAGTAAAATATATATCCGTCTTGACCGCTTTGATCACTGGCCAGAGATGGGTGCACCAAAAGGAAGGTGCCAGAATCCTGGCTGTAAGGGCATCGTCAGAGGGGTTTGCTCTAAGTGCAAGGTGCACCTCTGCCTTAAAGGTGGGGTAAGTGATTTGCAAAACGGCCGGCAGATTTTGAAAATACACAACTCAAAAGGTCCTACCTTCTTTCCTCCAACGCTGGCCCTGACTCCACCCATTCGAAGAGGGGCATGGGGGTATGGTACGACCGTTTGATTGACGCACTTACTGTCCAATGATTCTAGGTGGTCTTGGAAATGATTGGCTGGAGTTTTTCGAGTCCTGCCCGTTCCACAGATGATTAAATTTTTTAATTTTCATGTCAGTGTTTCTAACTCAGTGGCTGTAAGTGGGTTAGGAATAGGATTTCAAGTGATTTTGAAAAAATGGTCAAAAAAGAAAATCACATACCCCACCTTTAACGGAGAGAACAACTGCTTTAAGGCGTTTCACATCGAGTAGTTTCACTTTAACAGTTCTTATGAGTTTGCGTCAGATGTTTTGTAAATGTTGTTGAAATAATCGTTTCACATTGAGTAGTTTCACTTGAACAGTTCTTATGAGTTTGCGTCAGATGTTTTGTAAATATTGTTGAAATAATACTTTGAAAATTAGTTTCATATTTTGTACACAAAGCTCTTGAAAACATTTTAAATAATAAAAACAATTTCATTTCTAAAAGATTCTGTCTGTAATCATCTATGAATTTCATATCATTTTGGGAGAAAACGCATCAGGCTGTTCCATTGTCGCACAATGTTGCCATATGGCAACGTACCCAAAAGTACCCCTCCCAAAAAAAAAAAAAAAAAAAAGAAATGTTAATTTGAGTCTATTTTATATATAAAAAAACACTGTAAAATTTTTTTTCCATGATTGCATAATAATGCGTGCAGTAGAGGGTTAAAAGCTTGATTTTCACCACAGGGGGATCTAAAGTTAACACGAGATGAAAATTAACCATTTGAAAGGTGAACTACGTAACTTTTTTTTGTTCAAAATCAACAACATTTTAACAACGAGTCAATACATCAATCAGGTTCCGGAAGTAAAATTTCTCCATAGGGAAATTGATTTTTAACAATAACTTACCCTTGAAAGAAAGACCTACTGTGAGCTACGAGGTTGCAACTCGATAGTATTTGCTTCTTATGAAGCCGTCAGCCCACCTTATTTCAGCTTAGTTTTAAAATAACTGTGTATAACAGCAGAATTTGTGGTGGAAAAACTACATTTCCCATGATTCTGCACGGAAACTTCCACCAATCAGAGTCAAAACAAGCAAACCCACCAAAGGATCTCTTTAGCTCCGCCCACTCCAATGAAGCACTGCTAATTACATATTATATATACACTCACCGGCCACTTTATTAGGTACCCCATGCTAGTAACGGGTTGGACCCCCTTTTGCCTTCAGAACTGCCTCAATTCTTCGTGGCATAGATTCAACAAGGTGCTGGAAGCATTCCTCAGGGAGTTTGGTCCATATTGACATGATGGCATCACACAGTTGCCGCAGATTTGTCGGCTGCACATCCATGATGCGAATCTCCCGTTCCACCACATCCCAAAGATGCTCTATTGGGTTGAGATCTGGTGACTGTGGAGGCCATTTTAGTACAGTGAACTCATTGTCATGTTCAAGAAACCAATTTGAAATGATTAGAGCTTTGTGACATGGTGGAAGTAGCCATCAGAGGATGGGTACATGGTGGCCATAAAGGGATGGACATGGTCAGAAACAATGCTCAGGTAGGCCGTGGCATTTTAACGATGCCCAATTGGCACTAAGGGGCCTAAAGTGTGCCAGGAAAACATCCCCCACACCATTACACCACCACCACCAGCCTGCACAGTGGTAACAAGGCATGATGGTTCCATGTTGTCATTCTGTTTACGCCAAATTCTGACTCTAACATCTGAATGTCTCAACAGAAATCGAGACTCATCAGACCAGTCTTCAACTGTTCAATTTTGGTGAGCTCTTGCAAATTGTAGCCTCTTTTTCCTATTTGTAGTGGAGATGAGTGGTACCCGGTGGAGTCTTCTGCTGTTGTAGCCCATCCGCCTCAAGGTTGTGCGTGTTGTGGCTTCACAAATGCTTTGCTGCATACCTCGGTTGTAACGAGTGGTTATTTCAGTCACTGTTGCCCTTCTATCAGCTCGAACCAGTCTGGCCATTCTCCTCTGACCTCTGGCATCAACAAGGCATTTCCGCCCACAGAACTGCCGCTCACTGGATGTTTTTTCTTTTTCGGACCATTCTCTGTAAACCCTAGAGATGGTTGTGCGTGAAAATCCCAGTAGATTAGCAGTTTCTGAAATACTCAGACCAGCCCTTCTGGCACCAACAATCATGCCACGTTCAAAGTCACTCAAATCACCTTTCTTCCCCATACTGATGCTCGGTTTGAACTGCAGGAGATTGTCTTGACCATGTCTACATGCCTAAATGCACTGAGTTGCCGCCATGTGATTGGCTGCTTAGAAATTAAGTGTTAACGAGCAGTTGGACAGGTGTACCTAATAAAGTGGCCGGTGAGTGTATATATACCACATAAGCTGTTAACTACACAGTCTTGTAACTGTATTTTTGTCCAGTTTTCTAATACTTTTTCGCTTCAAATCAAAGTTTGTAGTGTTGTGATTCACCTCGTAGCTGATTGGTTCATGGCTTGTAACACTTTAACGAAGACTTTTGAATACACTGAATATCCTGTTCCACCCTGAAATATCATATTACAAAAGTAAAATGGGTTGAGAATGCTTTTTTATAATTATATTACATTTTAAATTACTTATAATTTACAAAACAGACAGATTCAATTGAAAAGGCAATGTCTTCATTTAGACAACAGTCATTTACATAACAGCTTCATTTACACAAAAGTTTGAAAAAGCCTCTAAAGACGTTCCCTAGGATCAGACAGTATTAGATGATTACGTTAAAATAGTGTCAAATCAAGCAGAAATTGCTTGGTCTTACAATGCAGAGAGTGTAGTGCATCCATTGGACACATCTGTTTGGATGGGGCTACAAGTGTAACTATTTGAGTGTGGGAGTCAAGTGTGTGTGTGTGTGTGTGTGTTGACCGTGTGGGTGGTCGGCGAGTTGCACTTAAGTGAAACCGTGGTGGAATTGTTTCAACGTGTGCGCGTGTTAGTCAAAACTCGGTTCACGAGGGTACACATGTGGGAGTGAGCTTGGGTATCCCAGGTTTGATGAAGCTTGAGTTAGTGTGTGTGTGTGTGTGTGTGTTTAAATTGTTTCTCTATGTATTGTGGTCGTGAGTGGGAGTCTGTATAGATAGAAGTCTCTCCGCAAGCTCTAGGACTTCAGCAATCTTCCTCTTCACTGCTTCTCTCCTCTTCAAATCTACATCTCCTAGCGGGAGAGAATGAGTAATAGAGAGAGAAGAGAAAAGGGTAGAACAAAGGGATGTAGTGAGGTTTAGTTTCCTCCTACCATTTCAATATTTTACATTGCATCCAAACAGAGCCAATTTTCCTGCTTCGAGGAAAAAAACATTGCACGTAATGTCCTTGTGTTGAGAGCTACTCTGCTCTTTCCTCTCTAATCATTGAATCACGCCAGGGTCATTCGGACCACAGCAAATTGGCCTTTGTATGATTTAGGGTCTGTAACCTGTATACGGGGCCAGTTTTTCAATTTTATTTTTATTTAGATAATAAAAAACCTCAAATGTTTACTAAAACAGCAGTGTTTTGGTCATGCAATTTATAAAAACATTGCTTTTTTTTTATAAAGAAATGAATAGCTTTATTCAGCGAGGATATATTAAATGGATCAAAAGTGACAGTAAAGAGCGTTATGGGTGTGTTCACACTTTGTTGTTTTGGTACGGACCCAAAACGTTTAGTCCTGGGTGCTCACATTGGCATTTTTACACCGAAATTAAAGATACTGAACCTAAAGGCATAGGGATACGTTCACAACCTGATTGGTCGGCTTTTATTATGAAACAATGCTGTGTTCTGGGCTACATGCGCTCGTTTTGTGTGCGTAGCCTACAAATTATGGTATTTTGACCAGCTGAGAACTCGTGAAGAACTTATAAAATGTGTAAAGGAGTCAAAACAGCTACAGGAATCCCTCCGTCACACACACACACACACAGATCTGCTGCGAGGGGACGCGGTTCTGATGCCTGTACCGAACTGTGATGGGCAACAAGACTATGAGGAAAAAAACAGATATGTTTGAACATTCTGTCCTATTTAGGATCTTGTGACATCATGTCCTGTTTTTGGTTCGTGTTGCGTTCATATTTCAGTAGAGTTCGTCTCGGTCCGCTTGTTTGGTGGCACCAGGGTTCAGATATTAGCATTCACATTTGTTCAAATGAACCGCACTAACAGAGCAATCACACCAGGGTTCGTTTTAATCCAACCAAACATGCCAAGTGTGAACACACCCTAAAATGTTACAAACAGTGTTGGGGTTACACATTACAAGTAACGCAAGTTATGTAATCAGATTTCTTTTTTCAACTTGTAAAGTAATGCATTACTTTTAAATGTACTTTTTCAAACAAGTAACGCAAGCTACTTTATTTTTTCCACGTATTGACTGACGGCTCTTTATGTCCACATGTTGAGAGAAATCGTGAGTAAGTGCAGAGGTGTGTGTGTGTGTGTGTGTGAACATGATGGATATTGTAGTTCTAGACTAAATGTGAGGATTTACTCTTCTCACTTGCACAAAAACACATTCAGTATTCCTCAAAATGACAAACAAGCCCAGCCCATATGAGGAAAAGTAACACAAAGTAATGCAATTAGTTACACAATATTGTAATGCATAACTTTTAAAGGTAACTTTCCCCAACACTGGTTACAAAATATTTATATTTCAAATAAATGCTGTTCTTATGAACTTTATATTCAGAAAAAACTAAGAATCCAGAAGAAAAATGTATTACAGTAGCAAAACTGTTTTCAACAATTATAATAAGTTTCTTGAGCTGCAAATCAGCATATTAAAAAGATTTATGAAGGATCATGTGACACTGATGATGCTGAAAATTCAGCTTTGCCAATACAGTAATAAATTACATTTAAAAATATATTAAAATAGAAAAGTTATTTTAAATAGTAATAATTTTTCACAATATTACTGAGACTTTTAAAAAACAATAAAAGTATTATTGCATTTTAAACTCTTAAGATTTTGTGCACGCTTGTTATAACTTCAAGTTAATTAGTCACACTGGAAATGGAAGGTCACGTCAAGCTCATACTAACTTTAGCTGGACAATAACTTTATTCTAGAGCTGCTGTAAAGCCAAAACAATCTCTGTTACTTTCATTTCCTATTATCACTGTAAAGCTGCTTTGAAACTATCTATATTGTTAAAAGCGCTATATAAATGAAGGTGACTTGAGATGCATTCTGGGATTCTCTATTCCCAACAGTGTGTTTCGTTGACTACAGCACATATAACAAAGGTAGTATTTAGTTTTTAGATGATTCTGTGCATACAGACATATCCTATAAACATATATCCTGCCATCACAAACATCCTCCTCGTCTTACCTTGCACTCCTTTCATAAATATATCGACGGCCATCCTGTATCGTTTCACCGCTCCACTGTAATCACCCTCTCTCTCTCGTTCCTGGGCGGCATTCAGCTCTTCATTGGCCTGGTGCACGTAGTTCACATCTCCACCGGACTCCGTCCCGTTTGGACCCGTTAGAGGGACAGACAGGAGTTGAGCATGGCTGGGTGATCCGTATGGTTGATCTGACGCATTGAATAAGGAGGTTAGAGTGAGATTTGCATAAAAAAATGGATAAAACTATGCAGACCTCCCTACCTTCTTTGGCACATGGGTCAAAAATAGCGAGGTCTGTATCTGAAAGCGGAGGCGGAGCCTTTTCTAAATGTTCCTCCAATCCAGAATCAAACAGCGAATCAAACTCCTCTAATTGGTCGACTGGAGAACCTGGAATTTCATTTTCAAGCGAGGCATCTGGAAGATGAAGAGCAGGAATAGAGCAATTAGCCATGATTGAAATCGAATAGAAACAGGATAAAAGACGTACAGTAGATAACAAACTAACGTGTTGTAGCGTCCGTAGCTGTGTCTGTGCCGTTACTCTCATGTGTTGTGATGTCAGTGTCGCTCTCTTTTTCTGTCAGTTCCTGTATTTGCGTTTCTGCTTGTGTTTCTGGTGTGGGGCTGCTTTCCCTGTCGACGGAAAAGGCCTCGACTGCTACCTCTGGCTGGGCTAGATCTGTCAGTCTTGGGTTGGACTCCAGCTCCTGGGCCGGGATAGGAGCATCTCTCCCCGTCTCCTCTTCAGCCAACAGCTCAGCGTTCCTCTCCGGCAGGGGAATAAGAGGAGGAGGAAGACACGTGGAAATGGCAGCTGTCTCCAGTGGTCTCCTCACTTCTCCTCCCTGACAGAGGAAAAATCACCAAGCGGATTACCATTCACAAGACACACAATCAGACAAATACAGCACTCGGGTTGGACACCTTTTATGATACTTTTAGGGGGCTTTTTCATTATTTTTGGAGATTGATCATGTGCCCATTATGATCTCTGATAAGAGCAAGATTTATTACATGTTCCACCTAAACACAACCCCAGGATGAGTAATTGATGAACTATATGTATACACATTACCGTTAAAAAATGTGGTTTTAGGGTGTGTTCACACTTGGCATGTTTGGTTGGATTAAAACGAACCCTGGTGCGATTGCTCGGTTAGTTGCGTGTCATTTTAATAAGTGTGAACGCTGCCATGCGAACCCTGGTGCCACCAAACAAGCGGAAAAGCTGAGTCTCGGTCCACTTCCAAACAAACTCTTGTGCGCTTCCACTGAAATTTGAACGCAACATGGACCAAAGACATGTAAACGAACCAAAAACAGGATATGATGTCACAAGATTCGGTAAGTTCAGTCGTGAAATATACGTAATAACAGCCGACCAATCAGGTTGTGAACATATCCCTATGCCTTTAGGTTCAGTATCTTTAGGTTTGGTGTTAAAATGCCAATGTGAACGCTAAGCAAACCAAACAAGTGTGAACCGTGAACACACACTTAGTCTAATTGGTTACTAATCTAAATGAGTTACTGCCCACACTGTCGCCACTGTTCAGATCCAATTTGTGCGTCCTGTGGCGCTCTTTCATTTTCCAGAATATCTGCATTGCTTTCTATGGCAATTATAGGCATAATATATATGTCAAACCCTGAAGAAATCTTTGAGTTGAGGGCTGTTGTACAGAGCAGGAATGTTTGTAGAGAAGAGCAGCATGTCCTCGGCTGCTTTCCTCCGCTCTTCAATCACAGCCTCATCAAAACGCCCTGTGAGAGCGAGAGACACAGAGAGAGCGGTGAGGGAAGTTAGAAAAGCACAACGAAGCCGACTTACAGCATCAAGTCATAACAATGAAATTCTTCAAATCCAGGTGGTTGGAAATAAAGTGACAAATCTGCCGTCTCAGCAATTCCGTTGACCTTACCGAACACCTGCGCTCGTGGAAAAGGGGGAAACTCTTCTAGCCGCCTGAACAGGTTCCTGTGAGTGTACGCCAGCTCTCCATGTAATTTCTTCAACTCTGAGTACCTCTTCCACACCACAACCTGCCAATCAAACCAACAATGACTCCAACGCAGCTCCAAACATGTGTGTATGCAAACATACAGGGTCAGGGATGATCATACCTCTTTAACATTCTCCGGCTTTGTCTTTGATACAAACTGTGGAGAAAGAGACGGATAAGTTAAACCACATGACACCAAAGGGAGAAGATTTGAAAGGGCTTATTATTTGAAGCATGAATGAGGAAGCGGATGAGACTGGAGCCACGTGATCTTGTTCCAGATTCTTTAAATCACGAGTTTCACAGCAAACCAGATACACAAACCGAGGCTAGTAACGTTAGTTATTATTAACCCTCTCTATGAGGATCAGTGTCTTTTGTATTTATGAAGCACAGTTTATCAAAGTGTAAAACATAAATATCTCAGATACCTGTAATCAATTAAAAACACAAAATTTAGATATCTGAGGTCGAAACTATGCAGTATCTATATTATTCCTCTCTGTGAAAAGATGTAAATATGATCATGCAGTATATTATGGTGCTACTAACCCTTGCTGTTACTTTATATTCCGTGTGTCCTTTCTCGTGTGTGCGTGGATCTGTCACAGTGAAGAAGCGATAATATTCTTCAGTTTTAGACTTTCGAGACATCACTGTCAGAAAATGTTTTAAATTTGAAATAACATAAATATGAGGACAGAATCAAGCGGTCGTGACTGGTACTGCGTTGGACTGTGTTGACAGTTTGGAAGTTACTTCCTGCTTTGTGACAGGTTCATGCGCAAACGGATAACGTCGCTACTTTTCAATCCCTTCAAAATAAAAGTCATTCTAGGGAACGTGAAGATGTTTTTGTCTGTGGTGTCTTCGACGAATGTGCTGATGAAAGAACGAGTGTGACCCATAGACTGATAAGTGTGTAAAAATAGAGTGTATATTAGATACACATGATAAATCAAGTTTTACATCACTTTCAAAGTCAACAGTCACTGCCCTCTTTTCAAAACCTTTTTTGCTGTTGGAAAGAATAACCTAATTCTGTGACTATGAAAGTGCAATGTATTTATAGCCTATTCAAATGATATCAAACCATTGTGAACCTGCCATTGTGAAATTATTAACAGATCTGATTAACAAAAATAAGCATTTTATATACAGTGGATTCAGAAATTATTTTGTTACATTGCAGCCTTATGCTAAATGCTTTTAAATGATTTTTTTTCACATCAGTCTACACTCCATAAATGCCATAAAAGACACCTGCGTGTGTGCCACTCTGATCATCTTATAGGGACCAATTTAAAACAAACTAATTTCCACTCATCTAAACACTAGATGGGTCTTGTCACTCTGAGACATTTTGTCATCTGTCACAAACTAACTCTAAAGATAACGCTTACTTCTTTCTCTCTTATTAAACCAAGGATGAGCTGGCCTCATTTAGGTGCCCAGCATGTTACCCATAGCACTGACATGCTCACCTCTCCCTTGTAAATGTTAATGGCCACCCATTGAGATGGCCAAGTCTGAGTAATTGCTCTCTGAGATCCTCTAACTTCAGTGAGAGTTAGAGGTGCACAACTGTCCAATATCAGCCACACATGAGTATCAGATTTGATACGATGGACAGGATCTATATATATCGTGCAAAAGTTCATTTATTTCAGTAATTCAACTTAAAAGGTGAAACTATATTATATAGACTCATTAAATGCAAAGTGAGATATTTCAAACCTTTATTTATTATAATTTTAATGATTATGGCTTACAGCTTATGAAAACCTTTTCACAATGTTCTAATTTTGAATTTGGGGTTTTAATAAGCTATAAGCCAATCATCAAAATTATAACAAATAAAGGCTTGAAATATCTCACTTTGGATGTAATGACTCTATATAATATATTAGTTTCACCTTTTAAGTTGAATTACTGAAATAAATTAACTTTTGCACGATATCCTAATTTTTCAAGTTTCACATACAGTCACCTATATCACCGGAGATGGAGGATGGTGTGACGTAATGGCTAAGCAGACCAATTAACATTTGAGTCACTTCGCATCATTAATTCCTCTGTCTAACGAGGACCTCATAGTGGGAATAAGACACAGAAATGCACGGTTCTCCAAATCACAAGTGACACCACACGCTTTACAGGACCACGACAGTATCATCACCCTGCTATAATTAAGACCTTACTAATTCATTAGTGCCTTGCCACTGAAGTTATTAACACTTTCCCCTATCAAACATGATATTTGTGTTATAGATGCTCAATTTTGACATGATATATTATTGCAAATAACATAGAATTGATACAGCTTCTGATGCAAAGGTAACACCTTGGGGTGTGACCTTATCAAACATCTTTCCTACTGGGTCTGGGAGTCCTTTCCCTCGCACAAATGTCTCTTCACCCTTTACCCTTTACCCCTTCTCCTGTACACCCACACGACCACCTTCATCATCCTTCGTGTGTTATGTTTCGACCAATAAGTTCTCTTTAATCAACCCCAGGTTCCCACCTTTGGTGCCTATATAAGCTTGTCATTCTTAAAGGCATCTAAGGCAGTGTTTTTACAGTGCTGTAAGATGTTTTCCCCATTACAGATGGTCATGGCGACTCTATCGCTCTCTTTGCTGCTGTGCAGCGTCAGTTCGGCACCTGGAGGAGACATGCTGATCCAGCTGTTACGGTCTGAAGTGGAACCCAAGGAGAATGAGGTAGAACACAAGCTTTTCGACAGGTTGTTTAGATAGATGTCTGTGCAGATATAGAGAAAATAATGAAAATTGTTAAAATAACAAAAAATAACAATCAGCAATACATTTGTTATCAATCAATAAATGTGTATATCTATGTTTATGTATAAAATTGTATAACTTTTTTTGTTAATAAAAATACAACTGTTTATTTTTCATTAATCATTAATTTGTTTTGCAAATGTTTAATCAATGAAAAGTATTAAAAAGAGCTTTTGACTAAACCTTGTCACTCAATCCTCAATTGGCAGTAAAACCTCGCGAGTGTCACGCGCAGTTTGTTGCGTCTCTGCTTGTTTGCAATGCAACAGTAAATAAAGAACTGGTTCTTTGAATTAGTACAGCTGGATTTTCTTTACTCAAGAAGGCGAATGTTTTATTTGTCGTTGAGGCATAGCCAATATTAAATAGCCTAAGCGAAGCACTTTCGATGAGATTTTGGCCAAATGAGAGAAAAAAAAACGAGCGCCCACATAGTTACAGTAAACTTTATTAATCTGATGAAAACATAATGGTGCCTCAGATGCAGATGTTCTAATGACGAACAAAAGTATGTCCGAATTTCTCTGGATATAAAACCTCGTAAAGACAATTGAGCTTGGTTATGATGTTATAGCCTAATATGATAACACACTTGTCTGACCATGTATAAAGCCACATTATCAACTTTAAAGTCGGCATGAAATCAAATTTGACAAATCTTCTTTTTATATGTAATATTGTAGTGTTTATTATAAATGATTTATCGGTGCACTTCATTATTTTTTTTAAATTCATGTACCCTTATAATCTTTAATCAAATACATTACCCTTCCCTCCCCCCTCGAAACGACCTCTCGTTTTTTGAAGATAGGTTTCCGCGAGACAGCGACGCATTAAATTGTAAAGAGTTACGAAGCAAGTTCAATTTAGAATCTATTTTTCTTTTTGACCGTGAAAAGCTTGTGAATCTTCATTCTTTGCAGCTTCGGGATTTCTTTCGTTTGCTCCTCCTGAAGCAACTTTCTGAGTCGGTGGCACCCGAGGAGAAACAGGCTCGTGAAAGCATCGACGATGATCTTGACGTTCACAATGAAGTGGTTCGCCAGATTCCCCTCTCCCATCGAGAACGGAAAACAGGCTGTCGAAATTTCTACTGGAAGACCTTCACCTCCTGTTAGTCAACTTGCTTGGTATCAACTCAAACCCTTTCAACATTGACATATTGGTCTAGAAGTCAATATTACTTGTTTTAGAGGATTTCTAGTCCTGTGCTTTATGCCTGTATCCTGGATTGTAATAACTAATCTATATTGTATTCAGTTTCTCCTGTATGATACTATATAAATCTGCCAACAATGTTTTTAAAATTCACCAGCACGCATATTGGTAAAAAATTACACCAGTAATACTATTCCAGTACAAATTGAGTGTAACTCTTTTGTATAGTATTGATTTTTATGCACTGTATGGTATAAAATATTTATGTTATGGTAACTATGGAGATTGATAGCAAGTGATTGAATGATTAAAGTTAAAATTAAATTGAAAAATCTTGATCTATAGGTTGTGTTGACTTTGCAACAGTGTCATTAGATTCTTAGTCCTCTGTAATAAACTGTGATCAGGGAAACTGTTTACGTGACTCTGTAATATAACACAAAAAAGCAAACAACTTTTTTTTTGGAATTTTTTTTTTTTTCCTTTCACAGTTCATAAAATCATAAATTGGAAACAATGGTCAGTACAAAAACTAGAAATCAATAGACATTTGCTGTAAATACAAATGGATTTATAAAGCTGATTTTTTGTATCCCCATAATCAACATCAGGGGAAAAAAAAATGCAACGTCATCCAAACAAGCCCTGAAATAAACCGGCAGCTTAAAAAGCATATCAGCCATTAAAACAAACCATGCAGAACCAGGGGCACTTTATCAATCAGTGATTAATGACAATGATGACAGGTTTAGAAAAAGTTGTGGCAGCAAATTGATCAGATTTGAACCATATTTGAACCATCTTACAAAATATTCCAGACAAAGTCAATAAATAAAGCATGCAACCATCTGACCCACTTTATGCTTTTAGTTTCTAGATAAATGTAACTATTCATCGGAACAAACACTGGTACTTAATTATTTTGCTTCAAACAACCAAAATCTTATTTTAAACCTTTTTGTAAATTCGCTTTAAGTAATGGATGCTTGCTGTTGCACATAATAAAAATAAAAAAAGGCATTTTGACACAAAATAAAACAAATACGGCAAAAAAGAGATGTAAAAAAACAAAGCCAGTCAGTAACAATCTCTTTGCACAAAAGTCAGATGCATAACAATCAAAATCTGAAGTGAAAGTCTTAACCTTCTTGTAAACTTCCTTCCACTTATCTTCTGTTAGGCAATAATCTGTATATTAAGTAACAAAATTGCGACTAACTTCCTCAATGTTACGAGAAACGTTCTAATAGGTCATATTTGTCATTCTTCTAACATAGTAGATTCCTTTCCCTAATCGCTCACTATTTCTCTCACTATTCGAGCTCGCTGCCGAAAGCAAACCACTGAGCAAAGCAGAAGACTCTGCATGCAGCTCAACACACACCTGTCCAAAGACTTCCTTCATTGAAGCGCATTGACTCTTTATTCCTATCTGACAATATGCTGTATTCTTATGACAGCTTAAAGGGATAGTTCACCCAAAATTTAAATTGTCATTAATTACTTGCCATCATGTCTTTGCAAACCCGTAAGACTTTCGTTCATCTTCAGAACACAAATGAAGATCTTTTTAATAAAATCTGAGAGATTTCTGTCCCTCCTTTGACTGTCTACGCAACTCACACTGACACTTAAAAAAAAGTTCATAAAGAGATCGTAAAACTAATCCAAATGAATTGAGCGGTTTGTTCTAACATTTTCTGAAGAGACTCGATCGCTTTATATGATGAACAGATTTAATTTAGGCTTTTATTCACATATAAACATTAATCAACTCACACGTCAGTTGTGGTGAAAGGAAGCTCAAGCATGTTCACTTGACACGCGAGAACCAATGAGGTTCATTCTTGTGTTACGCATCACGTTTGAGCTTCTGTTCATGTTTGCTGATCAATGTGAATAAAAGCCTAAATTCAAACTGTTCATCATATAAAGCGATCGAGTCTCTTCAGAAAATTTGCACTAACTCGCTCAATTCATATGAATTAGTTTTACGATCTCTTTATGAACTTTTTGAAGCGTTAAAGTGTCAGTTGTGTAGCTGTCAATGGAGGGACAGAAATCTCTCAGATTTCATCAAAAAGATCTTCATTTGTGTTCTGAAGATGAACAAAAGTCTTACAGGTTTGGAACGACATGAGGGTGAGTAATTAATGACAATTTTTATTTTTGGGTGAACTATCCCTTTAAGAGGTCAGCATAACCCTAGAGGCTGTTCGGACTGACAAGAGCAGGAGGGAAAAAAAAGAACAAAAAAAGCTGCCCGTGTTAAACTTTTCCACCTTTTTACCAGAGAATCATTATTAGCATCATGATGAATTTAACGATAATATATCAACACCAAGTCCGTAAATGAAATACAGTAATAATATCCTTCAACAATCATGATTTCAAGTATTAAAATAATGAGCGCTTGATCTCCGCCGAGTGTAGCAGAAGAAAACATCATGTATTTGTTTATGAGAGGATAAGAGAACCGAGATGATGTGAAAGAGCATCTGAACGGGGACAATATGAAGTGACCCCAACTGCCAGCAGAATCGGGGCGTTATTTGAGGAAACTGAACCTTGTTTCATGAAAGGTTGTTGTAAAAACAGATTTTCCAAAGTCAGAAATGCACCCTGTTCACAAGACTCACATTTTGTATAAACATACACACGCGTAAGATTTCACACATTTCATTACCACCTGTCTTTCTCTCTATTAAAGATTCATCTTTCCAGTCAGTCTCCTCCAAGCACAAGAGCTATTGTTTGTTTGTTTTGTCCACAGCTCTATGCTACCATGAGATTGTGCGATTGACGTGTGGATATTTAGTGTGGAGGATGGAAGAAATACCAGGTGGTGGATGGTTAGATAGTTGCATGTTCTGAAGAATAACCATGAAGCAGAGAAAGGGCACAGCGAGTCAGGACGGGGGCGTTAGCAGTCGGTGGAGATTTTGGCAGAAAGGTCTTGGATGCGACGAGCGCTGCAACTCTTGCACAGGATGTGTCCGTCCAGGGGATAGCAGCCTCTTCCCTCGGCCTCTGAAGACAGGAGAAGACCACACTCCTACAACACGAACACAGCTCGTCTTTAGCACGCACTGCACTTATTATTCATTCATTTCAATAGTCAAAATTATTTTTAATACTCTCAAAGTATTATGTATGCATTTGTAATTGCAGTGTAAATGCATTCATGCCACGTATTTAACAATATTGCAACAGTATCCTCGCACTTTTTCAGTGGTGATGGTTCCAGAAATATTTCCCCCCTATTCATTTCTCCCATTGGGATTTAAAAAAAAGTCTTCATTAAAACATTATAAGCCATGAACCAAACCAACAAGCTACACACATTACAAACTTTGGTTAGAAGCAAAAAAGCATTTGAAAAAAAAATGTAGGGAAAGAAGAGAGGTAAAGAACTATAATCCTATTAACCACTCCGAATAAGCATAATCGAATAAAAAACAATGGAGAAATTGATTTCAGTATATTAAATTGATTATATATATATGTGTATATATTACGTTTATTGCAATAAAATATGCGCACACACACATATATATATATATATACACACATACAAATATTTTGAGAGCATAGGGAGATCGACATTTGCAGTGCTTCATGGGAGTGGGCGGAGCTAAAGATCTTATTTGGCACATTTTGCTTGTCTTCTCTCTTATTGGTGGAATGTTCTGTACAGCATCATGGGTAATGTAGTTTTCCACCAGGAATTCCGATTATTTTAAAACAAAGTTGAAATAATGTGCGCTGACAGCTTCAGCAAAAACCACCAATTAACACCCTCGTCGTTGCTCAGAGTAAAGCTTATATTTAAAGGTTTATAAGTTGTAGCTAAAAATCTATTTCCCTATGGAGAAAATGGAGTTTTTATTTCTGACTGTTGGACTCAGTAGTGCCAGATTAAGACAAGACACTACACTTTTTCAGGCATTTTTAGGCTGTTTTGCTTCCATGAATTGACAGACTAGTGGAAAGAAGTCTAGTAAAAGCAAAATAGCCTAAAATCTCAAAATTGACCATTGCCTGAAAAACAATGGTTTTGCCTGTAGTGTCTTGCTGTTACCAATCAAATTAAGTCTTACAAAAAACAGGGTTCCTGCACACTTTTGAAAGTCAAATTTAAGGCTTTTTAAGACCTGAAGAAATCAAAATTGATACCGTACATTAGGGGTGTGCAGTATTGACAAAAATATATCTTGATATTTTCAACGTTTTGTTAATAATAATTAGATGATATTTTACTGATTGTGTTTTTGTGCTGGTGCCATGGCTGGTTTAGGTCTGTTGTTGACAGCTGACTCACGAAGATATTCATATTTTTCATATTCTATGCAGTGGTCAGTTCACAGCAGTGACAGAAATTAATATTTTAATTAAGGGGCAATATTTGCCACCTTAAATTGATTTTTTCAGGGGCATTTTCACCTATATATGGACATTTTTTCTAAACTTATTTAGAGTTATGCATCACCTTTAATGTCAAATACTATCATTCAAATTAAATTATACAGTAATTATACAATAATACTTAATTATATAATAATCATACAGTACCACTGTTACAGTCAAATTAAATCATTCAATCAAAATCCATCTTTGCAGTGCAGAGGTGACAGAAGCGGCATCTGAAGTGGCATTAATTTATTTACACTCCATTTACAACGGCATAAATAAAGCTATCAGATATATATTTTTAAATCAATATTCAATATTTAATTATGAAATGATTTCGAATTTTAACATTTTATTTAAAGGGTACTTTAAATATGAAACCGCAGCGGCAAATCACTGTCTTAAGTGAGTTGAGGGAGTCATTCATTCAACCGATTCGTTCAAACGGCTGATTCATTCGGGAAAGAAGCAAGTGATTCGTTCAAAACGCGGATTTCAGTCAAGAAATCATCGCTGTGTTGCATTGAGACTCTGCTACGGTTTCATTTTGAAATTATAGTCGGCGAAATAAAGGGAAAACAAACAATATTGTGTCTAAAAAGTAACTCAATGTTAACTTATTGTTAATTTAACTGTTGTACAACATAAATATCACAATTGGAATTGTGCACGGGACAACGGCACTCTTTCTGATGTGATATTCTAATATAAGAACATAATATGATATAAATATAAGACAAAAACTAACTTGGGGACATAACAGTTACACTGCACACATCACGCAGTGAAAGCACGAGAGACAAATGCGCTGTCAGCTCGCAGTGCCTCGTACATTGTTAAAACAATGATTACAATATCATAAAAGACAATACACATCGCACACCATACGCACATAAAGAATGAACTTACAACTGAACTGACATTTACGACCTTTCTTCTCCTTCTCTCCTCTCGCGTGCAGGAGACAGTTATGCTGCCGCGACTCGCGAGTGACGCGAAATGTCACGTGAACTAGCAAATCCACAAAGATAGAATAATAAATAAATAAAAATACGTACGCTAATTAGATGGTTTTAATTTGGAAAGCTTTTAGATATGTCTAAGTCAAAGTGTCATCTAAAATTTAAGACCTTTCATAGGTAAAAATAAGACTTTATAAGACTTTTTATGGCCTTAAATTTAAAAATCTAATTTAAGACTTTTTAAGGATCCGCGGGAACCCTGAAAAAAGCAAAGATGGATTTTGTTGATGCTGATTTCAATATATCGTTAAATACAATAGAAATAATAAAGTTATATGTAAAATATGGTTAAAGTGCACTGGTGAATGTTCTGACAAGCATGGTAAACTAAATTATACTTGTATATCATGTATTTAAACATTTGTAATTATATAATTTATACTAAATCGCTGTGTCATCATTACAAATATAATGTCGCCATGAAAATCAAAATGGACAACTCTTATTTAATCAGATAATTACAAAATTAAAAAAATTTAATTTCATAATTAACAAAATCCCCCTAAATATTGAGATACAATATCATACATCACTAAATGCAACCCCTTATTTTTGCATGGATGTTAAAAATAAACTACTCTCAAATATCTGAGTTGGTGCATTACATAAATAATTCAACAGTAAACATGCAAAATGATGGTTCTTACCTCACATACGTAGCAGTTAACATGAAAACTGCGATCCAGTGCAACGATCCTCACGGTCTCCTCCTGCCCGGGCTCTGGCATTATGGGCTGACAACATACTGAGCAGCGGGGGGCAAACTTCCTGTTCAAACAGGACGCAAACAAGGTTTTAGAGATAAAATCAATCAATTTAGTAACTAGTAGGACATTTGAAAGAGCCTCATATTAATACAAATAATGCAAAGATTTAGTAAAAGAAAACATGCAACTTTGTTTATCAACAGAAACAGAGGCTTGAAGTGAAGTGAGTGAGTACCTGTGGAAGTCCTCAATACAGTGGATCTGAGATGTGGCATCCACAGTAAACGGCACTCCATCCAGACAACAGCCGCAAACCACACAGGTGAAACAGCGAGGATGGTAAGCCTTTCCCATCGCCCTCAGGATCCGGTCTAGGATGGGCTCAGAGCATTTTGAACAGCGCTCAAGTGTGCTCTGTGAACAGAGACGAAGAAAAAAATGCTCAAAGTTTTGATGTAAAATGTGCTACAGAAAGAAAAAACATACAATAAAAGGCAGAAACCAAGAGAAGACGACAGAAAGAGAGAACTCACTATGTAGCAGCTCTCGCAGTAGCTCTTCCGGTCTAATGCGTAGAAGGGCTGACCTCTCAGTCTGGCATGACAGGTGATGCAGGTGAAACACTCCACGTGAAACACCTGCTCCATGGCAATACAGCCACTGCCGTCTCCCAGAACATTATCCCCACACCGAGCACATCGACCTGAGGGAGAAAGACAGAGAGAGAGAGAGAGAGACAGAGAGATCCATGACCCTCACTGTACACATAAAATAAGCAAAAATGCATTAAATATTGGAGCATACCAAAATATTCCTCAGTTGGGGGATGATTCATGTCATACACCAATTTCTTGGTGAGTCGATCCAACTCTTCCTCTGGATGCGGTGCTGACCCCTGCTGGCAGAACATTGTACATGTTTTACCATACTTGTACAAATGTAAACTTTATACATTCTCAGAGTTTCTGTACACACAAATCATGTTCACTACCGTTTTGAAAAGCAGTGCATGTCATTGTATTGCAGGTGCACTTGTAGACTACTTCAAATCATAAAGAGATTTAAAAACTGTACTTGCAGATAATTAGTATTAAGTAAAAGGCCACTTAAGTCGAACATAAAGGTGCAGTAAGCGATTCCCTCCCTTCATTGCTTCGCCCACAAAATGCATGAACAAGTTACACAACGCAAGGGTGGATGTCTCTATCATAGCTGAAGCGAAGTAGGGCTGCACGATTTGGGGCAAATGTCATATTGCGATTATTGAGGTCAATATTGCGATATGCGATTGCGATATAATAAACAAATGGTTTCATGAGTCAACTTGCTTGGTTCTAAAGCAAAATGCACACACAGATTAGTGATAATTCTGAAATGTGTATTTCTCAACTCAAACTAGCAACAACAACTAAATGATTGATAACACCTATAATGATCAATAAGCCATTGATGTCTGGATAAAAATTAATTTAATTTTAATTTAAGTGAACCTTAAAACAATCCTCACATAAACCCATAATAAATGTCATATTTACCTGTGCTCTTCCTGTCTAACAGGACATATACAGAAATTGAATAAAGTTATCAAACAGTCTGCGCTGCATAAATTATATGGACTAAAATCCTATTTAAAGCTACACAAGTTCTTTGGTCAAGAGCAGTGAGTGTTTTTCTCTGTTCCCTTTGTTCTTTGATTAACTTTACTGACAGAAAGCATTATTGGATGCTGGCCCTTTAAGAGTTGCTGACAGAGACGCGGATCTCACACGCGCCTTATTCTCTCACAACTCTTTACGACCATCATAAGGCTGCTCTTATGTTATGAAGACACTCGACAAATGATATTTTGGCATAATTGTGTTATTGTCCGTTCATTTCAAGTGGAAAGAGAACTGTATTCTGGCGCACGGTCTGTGCACGCGCATGATACTGGCGCGCGTCTTTCAGTCAGGACATTCACAGGCAGCGCGCTCTCTTTTGAATTCGCCTTTGGCTAAGCCACACCCTAGAATGTAGATTGACCAATCACAGCGCAGCCAAGAACGAGCTCCCACAGAGGTCCGACACTTTTCCACAGCGCTCCATTGACTTTAACACAGGCGTCTCATATTTTTGGTCTCGGCCAGCTATTACCGTCGTAGTTTTATCAAAAATATGGTTAAACGTTGTGCCTGGGGCATTTGTAACACAGATACACGTTTCCCAGAGAGGTTGGAGGGGGGTGTCCGTTTTTTTCCCTTCCCAAAACCGAAGTCAAATCCTGACAAGTGTCGTCTAGCACACGCTGCTAATAAATACAACGTTATACTCGCGTAGTCCGTTTGCTTTGTAATAACGATTATAGAAGTGAATAGAGACCTACCCAGCTTTGCATGAACAGTGTTGCTCCTTGATATTGTTAGTCCCAGCCTCCGTCTCGATTAGTAGGATAAGCGGTGGTTCATTTTTTTACTGTGACCGGTATGCTTTTGCCTCTATTTGGATGCCTTGTTGTTCCTTGCGTTTCACCTGTATGTCATGAACGTATGCCTTCGAACGTATATTGCAGCCCCTTTTGCCTATACTTCTATCGGACACTTTGTTTGCTGCTTTATAAAAGTTTGATAAAATTTCAGCAGGAAGAGCTGTCACAGCATAAGCCATGTTGATACCAGAGCCCAGATGAAGTTTGTTTGTCGGACGTAACAACAGTAACTAAGGGGGGCGGGGCTTAGCCAAAGGCGAATTGTCTCGCTAAATGGTTTAAAGCATTCGCATGAATAAGAGCGGGATCATGTAACACTAGCCAAAGGACGACAAAAAATAACAGATGCTGCGTTAACAGCCCTAATTTATTTATTTAATATAAAATCGCAGTATTTTGCGTCATATAATCGCATAGGCTTGACATCGCGATTACGATTGCGATATGATTAATCGTGCAGCACTAAAGCGAAGCAAATAATGCTTCGCAAAAAATAAAGTGAAGATGAATGAACTACATGGAAGAACAAAAGAGGAACATACAGTACAGAAGAGTAAATGCAAGCAAGAGTTGGTTCTGAGCGATCTATGAGCCATCGGAAAGACGTAACTCAATCGCAGATCTATAGAACGTGTGCAAAGACGTGCAATGCATTTCAGTGTTTTTGTTGTAAACGCATATTACGGCAATTTGCACAGACTCATTAGAGGGTGAAAACAACGCAACAGGAGCATGCTGGAGGCTTGATCTGAACGTGTAACGTCTCTGGTTTTGTATGCAAAAAGAATTATCGAGCTAGCCATTTCTTTCAGTTTCTATCGGCTCTTAAACACAAATGGGAGCGTCGGTCTTAAAGGGTTAATGCAAGTTTTTCTTCTTTTTTTGTAAAAGCCACTCAATAGGAAGTCTGCCTTTGGTCTCATGGCAGCGTTTCCATTTGTGCTACAACTTGACAAACCAACATCGACCTCTCCCAATAAACCGGTCTTACCTTGTTAGACTGATATGCTGACACTTGGTCTTGACTCAACTTCACCGGCACTCCCTGGCCGGCTCTCCCTCCTGGCATATTCCCTGCTCCTCCCTTATAGGCAGCGGGATCTCCATGAGGCTCTTGTGCAGGGGGAGGTGGCGGTGGGTACCAGCCCTGTCCCTGCGCTTCATAATGTGGCCGATCTTGCTGAGGGGGCCGAGAGGCATGCTGACGGGGCGGTGGCGGGGTGTACGCTTGCTCCGCCTGTCGTCCGCTCTGAGAATAGGTGACGGGCTGAGCCGTTTTCACCTGTACAGTAAAGCGTGGACCGGTCGGGGTGGAGGCAGTGGTGTAGGAGGCAGGCACTGGTTGTGGGTAAGGTTTGTGGACTGAAGAGGCGACGGAGGGGTAAATATAGTCCGGCTGAGGTGTAGAGGTGTACGGTGGGGCGGGGTGGTACTGGTTTTGGAGTGGAGCGGGGTAGCCCATTGAGGACCTGCTTGTTGGTGGAGCCCCCATCTGGTTGGGAGAGTTATATCGGTCAATAGGGACGTGCTTGCTGTAAGGCACATTGTCATACAACTGTAGAAACAAATGGGGGGAAAAAGACAATCACAATCAAGTATTTCAGAGATCTGTGCACAATACCCCAATACTAAACATTACCCAAAAGGGTGGGATACACTATCCAATTTTTGCCGATGCTATAGTTGGCGAAAGTTATTTGCATGCGTCTTCTAGCAACGAGGCGCCATGTTTCTGTGTGAGTTTGTTGTGTTTGCAAGTCTGGTAGTGTGTGATCCTCAGTCATTAGTGTATGACGCCCAGTTTTTCTCTAACCATTTACAAAATCAGCAAGTGTATGATGCCTAGTGTTTTAGAATCTGTTCAGATTTTAAAAGTCATGTAGTTCAACTTCAGTGTTTCTCAACCGGTGGGTCGTAAGAGCATTTTGAGCGAGTCGTGGAGTGTGTAGTCAAAGAAACAACAAACCAAAAAAAACGTCATTCTAAATGTTTTACTGATGCGAGACTTTTATTTTGAAAGACATGAGTGAAAGCTGTTGACTCTTCTGTCAGGCACAGTTTAAGTAGAGTGCCTGAGAAAAACATGTTGTCAAATTGTCCTGATTAAGTATGTGCGGTCAGATGAGAAGTTGTCAGGCTTTTTGTCAGTGTCATTATTCTAACATTATTTTCTTATGAAATAAAAAGTCTCTCACCTCAGAAAAATTTAGTTTCCTGTCCTGTCAGATAAACGGTGCACACGGCACACACTCTTCAATTGCACGCACAATCTACGTTGTCAAATAGTAAGTCATGATTACCAAAATTACGTAACTGGTACGTCGTGTGTTAGCTGGGAAGGATTTGCATGCAGGGATGATGTTCATTCTACTCTTCAGGATCAGCGTCCATGTTTTATTAACAGTTCATAGTAGTATTGTGTATTTGCTATGGTAACTAAAGTTTCCATAACCTTAACCCAAAATACCATTTTATTTTCACAGCTTAATGACCACAGGAAAATGTGGGTCCCATGGCCAAACCAGTTTCGCACTAGTGATGTAGTGTATTCCAGCCTTAAGAAACACATTTACTTACTAATATGTCTGAAAGCATTCTTTAAACTATTGTTAAACGTTTTTTCCCCGTGGCACTTGGTTTAACTCATTATTTTGAAAGGTTACTGCTTTTAAAGTGTTTACCGGTGCGCTTGAGCTCTGAGGGTGATTGTCCAGGTCAGCCAGCATGCATGTAAGAGAGTCTATCTCTGCGTCAATATTGGAGATGTGCTTCTCTGATCCACGACCCTGAACAAATAACAGCCACATATAAAACTCACATTATTATTCTCTCATGAAACACAATAATGATTAAATGTATGGGGAATGTTTCAAAGTGCCTCTATGCTTTTTTTAATTAAAGTGTCGCTAATTGTGAATGTAACAGTTCTGGAGGTTTTAAAGATTTTCTAAAAGAAAAAAAAACAGTTCATCAGTAACTCTAGTCTCACTTGCTGTTAAAAACATGATGAAACAAATTTACATAATGCCAGTCTATGTTCTTCATTGGCTGCCCGCGATCAACGTCTTCTTTGACTCTCAAACACTGTAGTTGTAGCTAATAAAGCCTGGAAAAATTTGGTTTGTGATATCGTCGTGTTGAGAAGATGATATTTTTAGCACTGAAAATCCACTTCACGTGCACTTCCATAGGATGAGGACTTGATACAGAAAAACCAAGCCATAGTTACTGTTCATATCACTGTGTATCAAGCGCCGAGGAAGATCCGGAGCTGAAATTCAGATATGGTAATAGGCTTTTGGTAAGCGGTCGACCACAACAAGATCACAACAGACTGGGCCGTCTGACCAATCAGAGCAGAGCACGCTCTTGGAAAGGAGGGGTTTAGAGAGACTGAATCTTCAAATTTAGACTGATGAGGTGATATGCAATGTATGTTATGAGAAAAGTAAATGTTTTTTGATCTTGGATGCATGTAATCCTATTGTAGGAGACATTTAAAACTAAATCAGGAACCTTTAAATTAGCATAATAGGGGCACTTTAAAAACGTTTAATGAGAAGGATATTTTCCCAGTATTTTTGAGAAAATTTAAGGAATGATCGACAAATTCAAATTGAACCAAATCACATTTACAGAACACAAGTCCTTAACGATAATTATAAAAGAACATGTGGGTATCACTGACGTGAAGTTCATGGCTGGCCATGCGGGGGCTCCAGTTGTTGTGGTGGTCTTCTTTGGGCCCCTGGCCTGGAGCATAGTATCGCTCTCCTATTTGGGGAGGCAATGGATGATAGCCAGAAGACCCTGAGCGATCATCTTGATGCTGGTGTTGCATGGATCCCCCTAAGCACACAGATAGTATTCAATCAATTATTTCTTTAAGAATAAATTCAAGTAAAGAGATGAGTTGCTTAATATCAAATAACCACTGCGATGGTAAGGTTGACAATTATAAACAATGTTCAACAAGAACCATGTCACAAACTGGTCCGTTTGGAAAAAGCATGATGCATATGTTTGTTTCTTTGTTTTTTAACACCATGTCAGCTTCTCTGGCTATTTTTATGGCAAAAACTATACTTGAGTTTTTAAAAATTCAAACTAAAGACTTCTTTTTTTTTTTTAAAGGGATACTTCACCTCTGGAAAGATGAATGTGTATTTAAAATAGGTAATTTATGTAGAAGAAATTTGAAATTATTTTTGAATTTGGAGCTTTCTAGACTGAGAAAAGCCAAAAAATGTATTTTAGATTCACCAATCAGAATGAATTCATTTAGATTGAAACAAAAGGTGTGCATGTAAACAATGAATGGCGACTGCAGAAAGCAAAAGCTGAATCCAGGACATTTTGTATGATCTCGACGGTCGGACATGTCTGGGAAAAAGAGGATGAATGGTAACCCCTACTACTCAGCTTTCTCCTACTAAGTTACTCAGCTTTCTCCACAGAACAAGAGCCTGCTAGCTTAGCTTCCAAAAAAGATGTCTGACACTATGTGTCCATTCTGTGAGTGAGATCCCACCCTCTATGGGCGGGTTGAGGACATGCGGGACAGCTCCTTCTACTGGCTGTAGTCTTTAGCCTCTGGCCAAAAAGTCCTCCGATGACGCAAAATGACGATTTTTACGTAATCGGAGGATTTTTTCCAGACAAAAAATACATAAATCTCTCGTCTCAGGGGGATATGAGGGTGGAAAGCACAGTAATTTGAAAATACTACAGGTTTTCTACTAATACAAAGCTTAATGCTAAATCCTGAAGTATCCCTTTAAATAAAACAACATTTGTATTAACATGATTAAAAATCAACAATATAAAACTTCTCACGCACAATGAAGCAAAGGGCTGCACGATATTTCATTTTAGCATCGCTATCACGTTGTGCGCATCCGAGATAGTCACATCGCAGGATGTGCGATGTCAAGTAAAGAGATCGTAGTTGATCCATGATCCGTATGGACCAGGCATTACGGTTTGAAACGCATGTGATTCCCGGTTTAATTGCAAAATGTATCATTTGAACGTGATTTAGGTCCTGTCAGTTTAAACACTCAAGAGATTTTAAACCATTTTGAGCTGAAGAGGACGCAAAACAGAACCGAATTCGCAACTTGTGGTCAGTTTTCTGTCTACACAAAGAGCCAAATTCAGTTCTCATTCTGTGTCTATTCATGCTTGAACGGACACATACATGCGAAATTCAAAATGCCCAAAACGTGTCTTGGCGTGTATCCTCATAAACACAGGCTTGCGTGAATGCAAACAATTGAGAAAGAAAACAGATGCGTTTCATTATATTGGATCAGTGCATTAGCTCTTAAAGTGACAGCAGCCTAATATTCCTGCTACTGTCTATGTCATTAATGACATCAAACAACAAAATACAAAGAAAAAAACACTGTTGTAGCTTTAACAAAAAAAAAATTATATTTTATTTATACATTGAAGAGAATACAATCCTATTTTACATTTGATTATTCAATTTCTGTACATGAATACTGTTAGACTTACCTGAAGAGCACAGTGTTTATTTCATTGGCATTTTTGTTCTATTGTATTTATCTATGCTTGTAAATTGTTTATCATTTTCTATGCAGATTCACTCCCCTAAAATCTCCCCAATCATTCTAGAAAGATTAATTAATTTCAAATAGAGCCATTCAATTCATCTGGTGAAAATGTTTTCATATCGCAATATACAGTACAGTAGTCAACATTTGAAGTGGATCAAGAAGAACGGGTATTGTTCAAAATTCATGTAGAACTTTGATGAAAGGTCGAGATCCACTTCAAATGTTGACTACTGTATATCGCAGAAAACAAAACAAAAACAAAGTCAGTTTTTTACAATATTGAAGCATGATGCATCAACCTGCACTGGAGAGTTTAAGGGTTCTTACCTGAAGGTCCAGTTGCCATATATCTTACAGGCATCCCATTTCCTCCTGTTCCGCCATTCTGCTCATACATGTTATATTTGGGCCTCTGGTCGGGGAGACCTTTCTTAGGAGGTCTGTAGAGAGCGGGGCCAGAGTGTGACATTGGTGCTGTGGCTCTATCTGAACTACCCAGGGTTCTTGGAGGCAGCCAGTTGGGGCCAGATATACCAGGCTTCTACAAGGACAGCACAGAATAAACATTGTCAGTGTGTAACCTTTCTCTGTTTTAAGTGACTTGTTTGTACATGAGCATGACTAAATAATATAGAACTAGATTTTCTACTACACACCTCAAACCTAAAACTCAAAGAGATCCGGCCCTATAGCAGTGCTGTCCAAACTTGTAAAAAAAAAAAAAAGCATAACTGTAACTACACAAAACAGGTTTATGCTTTATGCTGAGTTTCCAGTGGCAACGCATGGTTTCCACGATAACAATAGGCACCAAATTAAAAAAAAGCAGGAAAAGGCAACCATTCGCAGCCGAAAGGGGAATTCCAGGGTTCCTTAGTCGAAATGCATTTCTCTTTCTCACACACACACACACAAATATACATACAATTCCCACAGGTGCACAGTACTTGCAATGTATTCGCTCCTCTCTCAAGTCTACCATTGGTACAATGGCCATTGTCCACAACACTTAATCCACAATCCTTTATATACAGAGTCCGTCCATGAAAATAAGATAGGAAATGTTATGTAATGATCAACTTTTCATTTGAGCCATCTGGTGTCCGCCGGACAATGTCCTGTGTATGCAAGGGCTGAGGATTGTTTGTTATTATAAGCTTACGAAAACAAAGCAAATAAACCTCACAACAATACAAGATGCTAACAAGTGTAAACGCAGTCAGAACAGATATATGGGAAGTATTAAAATACAAACAGGGTCTTTGAAATGGTGCAGGAAAATCCAGCTTAAAGGCACAGTATGTAAGTTTCGCCACTAGAGGTCGCTTATTCAAAACAACAAAGTCGTAGCTTGATGGCGCAGTGAATGAGCGTGGAATCATGGGAGTTGTCGTCTTCACCTCCACAACCAATGGAAAGCAATTCTGACAGGAAAAAATCGTGTTCATGGATGAGCTAATATATTAAAGTCTTATTAACGTTACTGTGGCATGAAGCAGGGCCGAGAGATTTTACGTTGCTGTTTTCATTATACGCTTCATTATCGGATGCTGCCGCTCCTTTCGTTTTGTTCATGCATATTTTACGATTAAAGTTACGTTCAACGTTCGCCTCTTTCTTGAACTTTGTTACAGTTACGTTTAATTATTCTGGGGTAACGCAACACTGTTTTAGTGTGCTGTGTTGAAAGTTATGTTAACGTTAAGGCCTGTTCACACCGGGACGAATTTTGCGCGCGATATTCGCCGACGTTTAACACCGCCTCGTGACTAAACAAAGGGCGCCAATGTGAGTGTGCACACCGACACGAAAAACGGCACGCGTAAAAGCGTCATTTTTTTAAAAACGCCTCGGGTTCGTTTTTTTAGTTTGACGCGTCGCGTCAAAAACTATACGACCAATGAGATTGGCGCTTTTGCTCGCGTGTCTGGAGCTTCTGAAGTTACAGTAAAACACAACTTGGGGGCGCTCAAACACAAAATGGTCTTGCAGAGCACACATACGTAACGGCAAAGAAGATATACGCCAAGTAGCGTCTACACTGCCGGGAAGAAATAAGACGAGGAAGATGCAAGGCAAGATGAATGTAGAGCTGCTGGTCTCGTTGGTGTCGGAACATAAAGAGCTATATGACAAACGCGACAGCGACTACAAAAATCTTGATAAAAGAGAACTGTTATGGAGTGGTATTGCAGAGCAAATGGGCGCCATCTAATGTCAGGGAATGAATTTGCATGTTCACTCGGCTCATCGTCAGCAAAAATCACTTGGGTGTGAACACAAAAAACACGTTGAAAAACTCTGGCGAATAACGCGCGCCGATATTCGTCCCGGTGTGTACGGCCCTTAACTCTGTGCGTTCGCTCGGTGGCTGCAATGAGACACTTGTTGCACATTGCAGTAAGCTAGATCGATATTAGAATATCATATTAATAAAAGCTGGATGACTTGTGTTGCTAAATGGCATGCAATTCAGTTTTAAACACTGTGGGGTGGAGAAAATGCTGTATTACTGTTACTACAAATAAAGCTCTTTCTGAATATGCGATGTTAGCAACTTGACAAAATAGTGTTGTCTGATCTACTTTCTGGGTACAAACTCAAGGTGAATCTAGAAAACAAGAGATTCAAACAATAAGACAAAAGAAATCATTGTTATAAAGCTCACAACACGGTAACTGTCGATAAAGGTATCCAAACAGTTGCTCACCCGTCTAATAAATAACCCGTCTATGGTGTTTACAAGGTTTCTAAGGAAGTCAACCCAGAAATTGTTGGTAATACAGATGAGATGACATTGACAGGTGACACATTGACATGGGCCGTTACACTGGTTATAATAGCTGCTTTCTCTGGATTTAAACATTGTTGGAAACATTTAAGATAACATAAGTACGTACACAAGTCAACAAAATCTATGTTCTAGTGGTTTTGGGCTATTTTAATCCAAATATCTTACATGTTGTGCCTTTAAGATAGCAATTGGTTTCAAACTGGTCATTAGCTGGTTGACCAGTTATGATGCCCCCCAAAATAGTCAAACCATCTTAACTATATAAATAACTAGCAGCTAATTTGTTGTTGCTGGTCCAATGGTGTCAACCAGACCAGTTTGGACCAGATAATGACCACTGCGACCATGTTACAAAACAAATACCACCTTAAGATGTATTTTTCAGCTGTGACTTCTAATCACTGCACTGATCTACATACTAATAAATGCCTATGTTTGTATCCAGAGAAATGTTCAGCCTGACCACATTGGATTGCACCGCAATCCGTGAAAGCTCATACCCAAAGCCGGGGATTGTTAGGCCGATGAATCACCCGTATGACAATGTTTTTTTTTTATCTCTGAAAGCACATTAATCTACGATGTAACGCGTTACTGCTTCTCTCTCCTGCAGTGGACTGTGAACATTGCAAAGTTACATCGACTGATAAAAGTGCGACACTGCCGCACACAAACGTCATCGTGGATGTTTGCGATAACAATAACTCATCTATGGTAACTTGCGTCCTGTGTTTATTGGGTTATTTAAACAATAGGACATTAACGATTTCCCGTACCTCTCGAAAACGCTGCAGACTCCCAGTCTACCGAGCATCTGCCTCGTCTTGCTTCGTTTTCATCTGCAAAATGAAATCAGCACATGAAATGAGCCGGCGAGCTTCGTCCGTGTGTCTGTCTGGTAGCCTGTGTTTCAATTAAAAAGTTCAGTTCATAGATTCCCAGCCTTGTGCACTTACCACCAAGTATATGAATGCAATTGTTAAACATTAAAAACTATCCCCTAAACATAAAAACGACAAACGAGCCCTCAAGACCGCTCAGTTTGTCGACGAGTAGCATCCAGTTTAAACTGTTTATTTGTGTGTTAAATAAAGCGAATACGGCAAGGCTGATTTATACGAGATTTTTTTTCTTTTTTTTCTAAAAGAAATACAGCCTCATAAGATGTGAGTTAACACTATCAGTAAGCTGTGTTAGCTTTAGGTTAGTATCTGGACCAATACACTTTTGGTTCTCTGTCGGTTTCATTTTAGTAACCTACTTTTCCTGGAGGATCAGCAGCGGCTGACAGGCCTGTGTGCAGCGGTCCACGCGCATGACGTCACGTGGCAAGCTCCTCCAACATTTAAAGTCCCCATGAATTCAAAATTGACCATACTTACTTTGTTTGCCTAAATTGATCGTTTTGTGGTGAACAATTCATCCATGCAAGTCAATCCACACAAAATTTTTTTTTGGCTTCGTAATCTTTAATCAAAATCTGAAATTTCCCCTCCCCTCTGCATTGGAGGACCTTCCCTGATGACGTAGGTTTGACGGTTTGGGCGTCTTCTTAACATCCATAATCACGCCCCTCCAACTGACAGTAGACAGACTGAATGAAAACACCTACTTTTCTAGATCCAATCAGGTGCTAGTTGGGAAAAAAGCCACGCCCACTATTTTGCCTCATTTAGTATTCCGTTTCTCTCGGAAATACGTCACAACACTGGAGAAAAGTCGTTTGCAACTTCCGGTTCACGGGGACTTTAAAGGTAGAGTAAAACATGTACATAAAGGTAGAGTAAACATGTACGTAAATGTACATTTTCAGGTCAGAAACCACTTTTTAGCGAAACCACTTTTTAGCTTACTGAACTTGTACAACATTACTTTGGGACTATCTCTGACTCGTGTAACAAGAAGGCTTTAAAAACAATTGAAATATGTAAGTCTTTTAATTTTGTATTCTTTTCCTTTGATATGTAATCTTTTCTGATTAGTTATATTCCTGTCGTGTCTTTTTTATTATTAGTATTATTTCTCTTGTTTATTTGTTCTACATTGTGACTGTTTCCTTCTTTGTTTATATAATGTTCTCAATAAAAAAATTTTTTTTAAAGGTAGATACGTTTTATATATATATATATATATATATATATATACAAACACTTTTCGTTATACTGGTTGAAACTTTCTTCACATCCTCATAGCAATCAATAATATAAGTGGTCTAAGTATTTTTAAAATGTACATATATCTTCTGTCGAAGTTTCAGGACTGAAGTGAAGTGTTAGCCTCTTCGGTCCGAACGCAGTGATACTATGCCTGTCAACTTTTCATGCCTTTGTGCACCCAGACATCACACATCTTTAGCACGTTCGGTTAGGCGATGCAGAGATGAAGACAGACATCCAAAGAGTGCCAAGAACGAACAGCAGCTGCATTTTACAGTTCCTCCTGAACCAAAACAACAAGTTTATGTTGCGTTCACTTCACGCAATGACATAACTATCGTAATTATAAGATGGCAACCCGTGACGTTCTAGCTGGAGCTGTTCACGTCCTCAGACTCAGATTTATGCGTCTGTAATATATGTCAACATGATCATTGTCGAAATTAATCTGCAGCAGTCAGCTAGGACAAGTCAGAGCTCTGTAAGTTGTTTACGTTCATTATTATTATAATGTTGTGTGCTTTGAGACATTAGGTAATTTAACTCCGTCTCTTGTTGTGTGACGCTTTACAGACTCTTCTGTGTGCGTTCATGTTTTTTAAAGGCTTTAGAGACTCTCTGAAGGGAGGGTGGTATCCCATGCTATCAAAGTTAGCTTGCAATTGCTAGCCTCTCTGAAATTGCCTACTTTAAACTATTTAAATACATTGAAATGGCTATTTAGCCTATTTAACCCTCTGGGGACGGATTGGGCGGTACCGCCCAAAATGGCATACTTTTACAAATGTGTAATTATCATAAAAACTATTAATTATAGAGAGGTGCGGTCTTTTTTACCGTGTTCCTCAGATTCCGCTGAAAACGGTTTGTAAATATACACACTTCCTTGTTGCGCAATACCACGATGTAAAAGGCCAATGAAATCGATGTTGTTTGGCAGATTCCGCAAGCAACAACCAATGGAAAAATTGCTGATGGAGAAATATTTTTCTTACCCAATCAGAGGAAGGTTACCATGACGTATCTAGAAAATCAGAGGACTCTGTAGCCTTGCAAGGGGTGGTACTATATAGTTAGGGATATGACGCAAACAGCGTTGAATGGAGAGAAGGAGACCGAGCGAACGGAGGCTTGGGCTTACGGAGCGGATTATCAGAGAAATATGAGAGAGACAGAACAATTATAATATATATATATATATATATATACATACAATTATAGCATTATTTATTGTTTTAGCACTTTTATGATGGCAAGCAGTAAACGATTTACGGTGGAACAAGCTCTGGAACAATTACTGGAGAGTGACGAGGGGAAAGCATTGCTTAGAAAATTCTAAGCATTCCTAAGAAAAACGCCTGGGACTATTTATTTAACAATTACACATGTGGTCAAGCAAAGGCTTTGACAAATATATTTTTTTGTTAAAAAACTGTTTTGGAAATTCTCTAGTTTATTGAACAATTTTCACTCATACTTCCTTTGTAAACACATTACATGCATGCTTATGTTAGCTTAGGGTCTTCTGAATCCATGTATACCAAACACATAGTGTTCCATCTCCATTACATATGGTTTATAAGCCCAAATGTAAAAATAGAGAAAACGGACCAAAAAGGGCTTAGTCCCCAGAGGGTTAAATTAGCTGCCATGGTGACTGGTGGTCATTAAATAGCCTATTACATAGGATTTTTATCACATATGGGATAGATACTAGTGTCTCATAAATAAGTAGCTAGTACCTAATAAAATGTTTCTAGTAGAACTGGAGTATAGGTATCAACAACAATTAATAGTAGGTACTTAATAATCGTAAGTGAATAGTTGACATCTGGGGCCAGCAATTCCAAAATGGCGCCGATGGGAGTGGAAAGTTCTGTGCGTGATCTACTGACGACGGTCAAATTAAAAAACACAGACGCAGCCGGATCATTTCCATAATGACCAACGCAATCTACAGAAAATATACTATTTATTTTAAAGGAATAAATATTAAATTGGCTTGCCATAAATTTCAGGGAGTTGTGGAGCATATTTTGGGATGCATGCTGTGTGTCCCATATTGGAATGACATATGGTGCCAGATGAGGGATTTATTTATCGCCCGGGGCAACTTAATCCTGGGCATATCACTTGTTCTCAAAACGAAAAGGAATGTTTAGCTGTCTTCAGTTGCATTTTTATTGATTAATCTATTGTTAAGCCAATGGGTTTGATTAAATCAGCCAATGCTAAAGCAACTGAATAATGATCAAACCATATGAATAACATCTCACATCACATTATTTTATACTGTTTTGTACAAAAAAAATTAAAAAATTGGTACACATTAAAATTTCGTGTGTCAGACTTTGTGATTTATTGCGGGTCTTGGTCTCTCCAATAACCACTTACCCATTATGATACACTCTGGGCTTCACTTTAATATCCTGCTATTAATATCCTGATAATACCTCTCACCTCCAGGCCGGCACGTGAAACACCCTCTGTCGGAAACTCTACGTGACCATCGGACCAAGCTCAACGGCTCTCGAGAGGAAATGGCCGACCCGAACCAGTATCATTCTCTCCCCTTTTTCCTTCAGAGGTCACTTTACCAAGACGACACTTCACTACCAAGACAAAATCAGGAACGCTTCAGACACCACAGACTGTTCCCCTCCTCCTATCTCTCTATAGCTCACTTTCATTGCTGCTCTTAGAATATTTCATCAAGAGATTGAACATGAATCTATCCACAAGTAGATCTAGATATGATCAGTGTATTTGGATTACAAGAAAATGGGTTTATATTGAGACTTCCATTAGAACTGACAATTTGGGGGAAATGTGTTACTTATGTTGTGACCCCTTTACAAGCAACATTAGTAAAGTTTAATAATGAAAATGCATACTATAAAAGGTTTGCTCTTGGCATAATATTCTTCAAAAATACTTTGCAATGAGGTATATGTGCTTGCTGACAGAGATATGAATAGAGTATTGTTTTTAGGAATTTATCTAAGATCTTTCGCTGGTCATTTTTAATGTTGAAATAGGTTCTATGAATAGCTGTGTGCTGGTTATGAAAGAGTAACTCATGACCTGAAATATCTTCCACATTTTTAGCTGCAGACAATTCAGCAAACATCTTGATTACTTGGCTGCTCATCTAATGATCCTGGCACAGTATTTTAAGAGAAACATTGTTCTCTATATACAGAGCACATACAGTCTTATTTTCATTGAGCTTTTCTGGGGTTTGGAATGTTAATCATTTCTGGCTCATTCGTGGTTTATTTTTATTTATTTATTATTACATATATTTTGTCTTCAAGATTTGTCCATCATGTTAGACTCAGTAGGGTCAAATCTGAGGGATCTTAACTACTCACACATGCACAAGCACACACACATATACTACTGGGTGGGTGCATAAGATTTTTTTAAAGAAATTAATACTTTTATTTAGCAAGGATGCATTGAAATGATCAAAAGTGAGTGTTACTGAATATAAATCTCTTGAAACATTATTACTGCATTTACTCTTTATTTCAATGGTCCACTTTAGACATTCTTCTAACTATAAGTAACTTTGCTACACACTGTAAAAAAATTGCTGTAGTTATGCAGCTGTTTGCCAGTAACTTACTGTAGATTTAAATTGATGTATATTTACTGGCAACAGTTTGTTCAAAGTTAAATGAACATTAAACAAGAACAAGTCTCTGTCTTTACAGAATAAAATGATAAAATAACAATCTAATGCAAAGCATTCTGGGAACCAGAAATCTTCATCAACCTTTTTCTGTTTTTTTCCTTCAGATTTTGGTTCCCAGAATGCTTTGCATGAGGCTGTTATTTTAGTTTTATTCTGTAAAGATAAAGACTTGTTAATGTTTAATGTTCATTTAACTTTGAACAAACTGTTGCCAGTAAATAACAACAATTTAAAACTACAGTAAGTTACTGGCAAGAAGCTGCCAGTAATACT